ATGTCAAAATTTTAACAAATAAAATTGGCTTTAAATTCTGTTTTGTGTTCGTCGTAGATAAAGTATAGTATGCAACTCGTTTATAAACTTCTCTAGACACTCGTTTTTATAAAACACTCGCTCGCAAGCTTTGCTCGTGCTTAATTAAACTCGTAACTAAAATAGCGTTTATAAAACTTGATACATAATATACTATTATCAACCACAATATTAATAAGAGTTTTATAAAAGTTGAGGGATATATCAAGGAAAATGCTCTTTTTAAAGTAAGGTTAAAAGATTTTTCGTAAAATCCTTTTTAAAAGATTACGAGGCTTTTATAAATTAATCCCGGCGCATTCGCCATTTTTTGCGAAAACAATAATTTTGAAAATTTTAGCTTACCAATTAAATACATATTTGTATATTGAAAAGTATTCCCTGGAAATTTCATAAAGATTAAAGCAAAATTGTAAAATATATACGTTTTTAAAAAATTAATTTTTAATTTTTTACATAAAAAATTTTATCAACCACAATTTTAATAAGAGTTTTATAAAAGTGGAGGGATATGGAAAGGAAAATGCTCTTTTTGAAGTGAGGTTAAAAGATTTTTCGTAAATCCTTTTTAAAAGATTACGAGGCTTTTATAAATTAATCCCGGCGCATTCGCCATTTTTTGCAAAAACAACAATTTTGAAAATTTTAGCTTAAAAAAAAGTACCAAACGTACTTTTTTAAATTTTACGAGGATTTTATAAATTAATCCCGCCATTTTTTTCAAAAAACAACATTTTTAAAATTTTCAGCATACCAATTAAATTAATTAGGTAAATATCCGTATTTTGAAAAGTATAGCCTGAAAATTGTATTAAGATTAAAGCAAAATTGTGAAAAATTTAATCTCAAGTCAACTTTTGAGTTTAGAAAATATGTATTATACCTAATTCAAATTTTTTTAAAAAAAATATTTTTTTTTATATGATGACCGCAAAGAAATGGCTAAAATCTCACGTGGGGGATAGGGGGATCAACCAAATCTCACCAAGGGAGAGGGGGTCCAAATTATAGTTATCAGAAAAATGGCTCACGTAATTAAATGTCCCCTTACTACAATCTTTAACAAGCGTTAAACAATTATTTTTATGTTGATAATCTGTAAATACTTAAATTAAGATTTTCTTTATCTGAGTGTACCTATGTAAGTATTAAAACATAAAATCACTTAAAAATGATCATTACTAAAAAATATTTAAAAATCACTTACTACTTTGTTGCTGATTGCCTAGTTAATCAGTCCCGTACTGGACCTACCTATAACAAAGAAAAAAACATTAAAAAACAACTCAAACAAGCAAAATCACAAGTTTTACCTTTAAAGCCCTTTCCCTGTCACCATCGTTGTTATTGCAACTCCAGACAAAAAAAGGTCACTCACGCACTAAAATACCGCACCGAAACTCAAAAAAGTCAATAATATCTGCATTTTTATCAAAAGGACGCCAAGCACTTTACCGATTGTTTTGCAATTATGGCTGCCAAAGTGACAAAAGCGAATCGCCGGCCGGGCATGCGCGGTGGCACTGTCAATGATGACACGATTTAAAAAAATGCTTCTTAAACTTGGACCTTTTAGTGTTATATTAATTTAATATTATTTTATCGATTGCAGTTGTATTCGACACTTACCTACACGAAAGATTTTGTTTTATATTGTCTTTACACTGTAAAAATAAAAAAAACATTAAAAAACAACTCAAACAAGCAAAATCATAATTTTTACCTTTGCAGCTCTTTCTGTGTCACCATCGTTGTTATTGCATCTTTAGACAAGAAAAAGGTCACTCACGCACTAAAATATCGCACCGAAACACAAAAAACTGCAATATTATACTAATTTTTATTAAAACGACGCCTAGCATGTCAAATTACCGGTCGTTTTGCTATTATGACTGCCAAAGTGACAAAAGCGAATCGCCGACCGCGCATGCGCGGTGGCTCTGTCAAAGATGACACGATTATACCATATACTTACCAATATATACAGTATGTCCACGGATAGAGGGCCCAAGAGGACAAATGGACTAAAATTTTCATTTTTCGACCAAAAGTCATTCTTTATAAAAAGTTCTGCTTGTGTTGAAAAGTCTATTGTCATACTTTAAATTTGAAAATATTATACAGGGGGGTCAAAAAACAAGAAAACATGAAATACTATCAAGATTAAACTACCTTTATTTTTCGTTTTGGAGCAAAATGACAAATAAAAAAGGATTTCAAATCATATTCAAAGACCAATTGTAAAATTTCAACTCAGTATTCCTAATTTTATTTTTCTTAAAATTTAATTTCTAATTTATACTTTTGTACCCCATTTTACGTTTCCTTTACCTGGTTATTTTGTGAAAATTTACATTAATTACAAAAATAAACAATGCTAAAATGCAAATTGTTAAATTTACGTTACTTGATAATTGTTGATTGTGTCATTTTTGTAAATTTACTGGATTTTTCGAGGTAAACCACTGATTTAAAAAAATTATAAATCGCATACGAATTAACGTCTAAGGAAAAAATCACAAGGGAAGTCATAGCAACGCGTCGCTAAGAGAAATTTCTTATTCATAAGGATTTTTCCGTATTGATAACGATTGATAATGGTCGAATAAGGAGAAATCATAGCGTAACGTCCACATAATGTTGAACGTTGGTCTCGCTGATTTTAGAGTGGTTTACCCCTCGGTATTTTTTTGACAGAAGTTGGAAAGCCTACTTATGTATGACAAAAAATGCCACAGTGACAGTCTAAGATTATAAATTTCGTTTTATAAAATATTTTCAAAATGCTAACTATTTAACAAAAAATATTTTTGGTGCAGTGTTATGGAACTGGCGACCGTTCATACAGATATGTACAAGAACGATTTGTTGAAAAATTTCCAGGGGTTTCAGTTTCAATACATGGAATTCGTCAACTGGTTAAAAAATTCAAGAACACTGGGTCGGTGGATAATTTAAAAAAGAAGAAGAAACTTTTTGACGAGGATGATGCGGCTACAGTTGTCGTCTTGCAGTCTGTTGTGGAAAACCCTATTCTGTCGTTACGAAAACGAGCTCAAAATTTACAGTTGGTCCAAAAAAGTCTAATCCAAAAAATATTAAAAGCCAACAATTTTTTTCCATATAAACAACATTTTAATCAAGCTCTAGAAGATGGAGACCAACCAAAACGATTAGATTTTTGTTTTTGGATAGGGGACAAAATTTTAAATGAAAATAATCAGTTTCACAAACTTATTTTATTCTCCGACGAATCCACTTTTTCCACAAATGGTACGGTAGCTTCCCAACACGTACGATACTGGAGCACTGAAAATCCAGAATTCAGAATTCCTGCACGTCGGCAATATCTTAAAAAAGTTAACGTTTGGTGTGCCATTACATATTATGGGATAATGGGACCATATTTTTTTGAGGATACATGCAATAGGAATTCATACATGAAAATGTTGGAAACTTTTCTTTCGGACAAGCTGGATGAGCTGTCATTACACTACCGTGGACAAATGTACTTTCAACAAGACGGCTGCCCTGCACATTACGCTCGCGAAGTCACGGAATGGCTAAACAATAAATTTAGAGATCGATGGATTGGCCGAAATGGACCAATTGTGTGGCCTGCGAGGAGTCCGGACCTCACAATTGCTGATGCGTTTCTTTGGGGTGGTTTGAAGCAATTAACGTATCACCAACCGATTGAAAATAATATCGATATTCTAAAACAAAGGATTTCAGAGTCAGTTCAAATGATTTCACTTGAAGAGATAAGAAGAAGTTATGATCACATTAGACGGCAGTTTGAGAAATGCGTCGAATACGGTGGAGGGGTTTTTGAATAAATAGGATAATTTTATATGCCCAATTGCCCCTGTATAATATTTTCAAATTTAAAGTATGACAATAGACTTTTCAACACAAGCAGAACTTTTTATAAACAATGACTTTTGGTCGAAAAATTAAAATTTTAGTCCATTTGTCCTCTTGGGCCCTCTATCCGTGGACATACTGTATATGGATTATACCTACAATAAAATGTTGCTGAAATTTAAACTTTATAGTGTTATATTATTTTATCGATTGCAGTTTTATGACAATTAATTGTAATTACCTACACGAAATATTTTATGTTTTATATTGTCTTTACACTGTTATTGACGTTTACAAACAATAATAATTATTATTGTAAAACAAATGTTCGTTTTTTATGTACTGTTACAGCGAAAATTTGGGTGGGGCTAAGAACAATTTTTTTTTTATATAAGTATTTATAATTTAATCTACACTTAAGATGATTAACTATATTAATGTAGTTAAAAAACCTGAAAAGAGTAGTAAATAAACACTTTTATAAATACATATTATGTAAAGCGAGGTTTTTTTCTTACTTTTTTACCCTTCTGAAGGTATTCCCAAAGTTTCAGATTTTTAAATTAATTTTTAACCTGAGCACCGACCCCTTTAACAAACAAAAATCAGAAAGTATCCTAAACATTTTTAGGATACTTTCTGATTTTTGTTTAAAAGTGGACAAAATTCATATTTATTTTTTCAAACGAGGTTTTTCTAACTCTTTGACCCTTCTAAAGGTACTCCCAGAGATTCAGATTTTAAAATTAATTTTTAATCTGAGCAAAAGAACAGAAAAAATCCTATAAGTGAGAAAAAATTAGGTATATTTTTTTTCAAACAAGGTTTTTTCTTACTTTTTGACTCTTCTAAAGGTACTCTCATAGATTCAGACAATTAACTCGGGAAATTTAAGGAATTTTCCATATGGGGTCGTAAAAAGGGTCAAAATATTCTTATTCACACACCTAATTTTATAATGTACCAATAGGTACCTGTTTGGGTGGGGCATATATGTAATTAAAATAATGAATTCTAAAACTCTAAAAAATTGGTGGGGTGGTGTAAACGATAAAGAAAATAAGGTAAGTTTGTATAAAATATTTTTATTAAAGGATTTTTATATTTTAAAGCAAAAATTTTAATTGTAATGTCAAACTGACAATTTGTTGTATCTCAAAATTCAATATATTTTCAGGCTAAATATAACTTGTGGTATGAATCTAATATATAACTTGATAAAAAACAAACACTGTTTTTGAGTTTCACGAATTTATTTAAATTTGACAATTGTTTCGCTAACACTGTAGCTTCTTCAGAAAATGGTTAATATTTACTCATTAAAATTGAAGCAGCACATTTAAATTTAAAAATATTATTGATACTAATCATACCACTTGTTATAGGTATTATTGGTGAAAATAATTTGAAGTATTTTTTTGACATTTATTTTTATTGCCGAGGCATTAATGTTACGTCAAAAAATAATACGAATCCCACACAAAAGATTGATAAATTAAGAATAATTCCACACATTTTTTATTTGTACCTGTTGCTGTTTGGTCGAATTATTTTCAATTTATATAAATGCTCAAAAATGTATAAAAATAAAAAAAACATTTACGAAGTTTTGCAAATGGCTAGAGCACTCAACGTCATTATAATTATCCATCAAAATGTAAGGAAAGTTGCACATTTAAAATGTTTAAATAGAAGACTTTTTGATGCGGACTTTGGAGGTCGGCGCGTTTGGATTGACGCCTTGGTAAAACTCCTTGAGCAAATCCATGGCCAGGTCGCTCTTGTAGCCGCCTTTGACGGTGGTGGTGGTGGTGGGGATAAGTTTGGCAACGTCGAAGACCGTTTGTCCGCCGAAGCGGTCGTTTTTGCAACCGAACACCACGTTCTTGACTTGGAGATCGTAGAGTGCCGCTGCGCACATAATGCACGGCTCCACCGTCACATACACCGACAACTCCCTGAACACTGTTCGCGAATTTTCGATCGAGTGTTTTTTGCAGTACGCGTTCACCTGATCGATGCAGTTCATTTCCGCGTGCCTGGTGGCGTTTTTCGTCTCGTTCACGGTGTTCCTGCCCAGCGCGACGATTTCCCCCTTTTCGTGGACGAAAATGCACCCGACCGGAACCTCTTTGACGCGCAAAGCCTGCTGCGCGTACCCAAACGCTTTCTCCATCAGTTCTTTCTCCCTTTCACTGAGTTGCGACTCCATCTTGGCAAAGGAACGGCAAGATGTTCTTTTCTCGCAGAACTTTGAGCGTGTCTTCGCGCCAATCGAGTTGGTCGTCACTTTTTTTCTTCGCCGCTCTACGACTGGGGTGTTTTATTTTTATTATGTTTATGCTTCCCAGTGGCGGACTGCGCACCCTCAGCAGCGACTTTGATTTGGTTTCTGCGTACTCGCCAACGCAGACGATCGTTTTTGGCTTCAGAAGCTCCACCAACTTAAACAAATATTCGTCGCAGATTTCCTCCAGTTTCTTTCTTATGTGCAGGTTTTCTTTCTGAAAATAAATGGGATGGAATTATTCGCACTTTGAAACGCATCAAAGTAACATTAAATTTTAAAGTTAAAAAGAAATTGGTAAGCATGCTTTGCCAAGTAACAAAAAAAAATGTTTGTCATTTTGATTCAAAGCGAAAAAAAATGTTTTTACCTACATTATTTTTACAATACAACCTTGACCTTTTTTTAATAAAAAATATCAAATTTCCAAAGTTATAAGAATTCCCTCATATTCCCCAAATAAAACAAAACAAAAATATTTGTAGTAAAAAATGTAAATAGTTAAAAGTGTTGATATGAATAATACATAGTCTACAAATCACAGTATGATGTGTCCAAACAATTTTTTGAAAAGTATTTCAAATATTTGTGACAACCAACCTTAATTTCTTTTGGTGTGACATTCGCCCCATCAGCATTCATAAAAGTCAATGGACAATAATTATAAACAAACGAGTGTTTAAAAAACACTTGAGGAGTGATAGAAATTTCCTTCATTAGCGACCAAAATTCCTTTCCACTGTGTTCCCTTCTGGTAATGTTAAAACCTAGAATTGGCCTTTTGGGACATTCTACTGCAGGTTTTAGCACATGTCCCGATATTTGGAGCCAATTTTTAACAAATTCAATTTCCCCAAAAGGAACTCCTGTTTGGCACATACCAAAAGGTCCCGGATTCATTCCCAAAAACAATACTTCTTTACAACTTTGGCAATATTTCCCAATATAGTCTCTGTAGGGTACAATTGCATAATCCAAGGGATTGTAAACATAACGCACAACATTGTTTAGGTAGTTTATTTTGTTTAATGCCGCATTAAACTCCAATTGAATGTTTAATAGTTCATCAGGCACGTTTATAATATTCGGAAAGTTTATAATATTCGGAAAGTATTTTGAGATAGTCTCTGGATGCGTTTTCTTGCAATTCTCAAAACTCAAGTCCAAAATATCTGAATCAATCTGCATTTTATGTTCATCTTCATGACGAAATAGTTTTTTACGTATCATTTTAAACTAACCTTTTGAAAACACAGCTTCAATGTCAAGTTGACAGGTGCACAACAATGAAGTTAGCATCAAAGCAGAAGAAGACTAACCTCCAATCGAGTTGTTTTTAATGGTGTACTATGCCGGATATAAAAATAACGCCGCTGGGAGCGGGTCAGGATGTCGGCAGGAGTTGCATTCTGCTTTCGATGGGCGGTAAAAACATCATGTTGGACTGCGGAATGCACATGGGCTACAACGACGAGCGAAGATTCCCCGACTTTTCGTACATCTGCCCGGACGGGCCCCTGTCGCCCTACATAGACGCCGTCATCATTTCCCACTTCCATTTGGACCACTGCGGGGCTCTTCCGTACATGTCGGAAATGGTGGGCTACACTGGACCCATTTATATGACGCATCCCACCAAGGCGATAGCTCCCATTCTGTTGGAAGACATGAGAAAGGTGTCGGTGGAGAAGAAGGGCGAGCAAAACTTTTTTACTTCTCAGATGATCAAGGACTGCATGAAGAAAGTGGTGGCTGTTACTTTGCATCAATCGGTGATGGTGGACAACGAGATTGAAATTAAGGCTTATTATGCTGGTCATGTGCTGGGTGCTGCCATGTTTTGGGTGAGGGTCGGATCTCAGTCCATTGTTTACACTGGCGATTATAACATGACTCCTGACAGGCATTTGGGGGCAGCTTGGATAGACAAATGCAGACCGGATTTGTTGATTTCCGAGTCAACTTATGCCACTACAATTAGGGATTCGAAAAGATGCAGAGAAAGGGATTTTTTGAAGAAGATACACGAGTGCGTGGATATAGGGGGTAAAGTTTTAATTCCTGTTTTTGCATTGGGTCGAGCTCAAGAGTTGTGTATATTATTGGAAACATACTGGGACAGAATGAATCTCAAAGCCCCTGTTTACTTTGCCCTAGGTCTAACAGAGAAAGCAAACAATTATTATAAAATGTTTATAACATGGACAAATCAGAAAATTCGTAAAACTTTTGTGCAAAGGAATATGTTTGATTTTAAACACATAAAACCATTTGATAGGCAGTACATTGATAATCCAGGGCCAATGGTGGTTTTTGCGACGCCCGGTATGTTACATGCTGGCCTCAGTTTGCAAATATTTAAAAAATGGGCTCCTTCCGAAAACAACATGATTATTATGCCAGGTTTTTGTGTGCAGGGTACTGTTGGTCATAAAATTCTCAACGGGGCTAAAAGAGTAGAATTTGAAAACAGGCAAGTGGTTGAAGTTAAAATGTCTGTTGAATATATGAGTTTTTCTGCACATGCTGATGCCAAGGGTGAATTATAAAAGAAATAGTGGAATAGTGGTTTGATTACTTAATGTAATTTTATTACAGGTATTATGCAACTAATTCAGTATTGTGAACCTCGTAATGTGATGCTTGTTCATGGGGAAGCCGAAAAAATGGAGTTCCTGAAGGAAAAAATCCAGCAAGAATTTAATTTAAAATGTTATAACCCTGCGAATGGAGAAACGGCCGTTATTCAAACGCCCGTAAAAATACCAATTGATGTGGCACTGCCATTGTTAAAAGCTGAAGCGAAAAAATTCAGCGCCTTACCGCCGGATCCGAAGAGAAGACGAACATTGCATGGAGTTTTGGTAAGAAAAAAAATACGATTTTGTTACTTAAAGGTTGTAGGTTATGTATGCAATGATGTTTGTTGAATTAAAGAATGGTTTACGACATTAATCACATCTTAAGGTGAATGCTGAATAAGTTAAGTAGCTACAGGTCTATTTATATTCAAGCCGGATGCACAGCGGTGACCTTGGAATTCATACACCTTGATGCACCTGGATTGAATATTGACCTGTTGCTACAAAAGCATTCTTTGGTTCATAAAAAAATATGTATGCAGCCATACCTCACAGTGCGTCGATTAAAACCGGTTAAAATCTTAGTTCAATAGTTTAAAATTTATTCTCCAATTGGAATTAATTCGAAAATAAAGATTGACAAAATTAAAAGCTGATTGGAAATAATAACGATTCGATCCAATACCAAAGCCAATCACAGCTCAAACTGGGTGGTTTACTGGTATGCAGTGTTGCCAACCTCAAAATAAAAATTATGGTACACATTTTGAAAAATTATGGCACACATTATGGTACATTTAAAACTAGGCACTTTAAGAAAAGTCATATTTATTTAATCACAAACAAAAAATAAAATAAATTAGATACAAACAAAAAAATAAACTTTGGTAAAAAAATATCGTATTCATCAGTCTTGATTAGGTATTGTATATATTGCACATTTTTACTGAGGGCTCGAAGTTTATGCATATGTTTTTATTTTTTGCATTTAATTTTTTATTTTGCTTGAAAACATCTTTTCATGATTCCATGGACAAAGAATCATGGGATATAGGGATAATAAAACCAGAGAGGAGAAAAACAAAAGTTTAAATAGAAAAGAACATAACAGTTGTAACTGCTGCCAACCTTGAACATTAAATTTTCATTCTGTTTATACTAATTTCCTTTCGGTGCAAAAGCATCTTGAAAATGAATGCTTATGTTAAATGTTAAAAGAATTTGTCGGTGTAAACAGGTAATGAAGGAGGGTGGCGTGTGCATGATGGAGGTGGAGGAGGCGTGCAAGGAGGCGGGCATCGAGAGGCACATCGTGCGGTTCACGTCGACCGTGCAGATAAACGACGCGGGCCCGTGCCTGTCTACTGCGCACAAGTTGCACGCATACGTGGCGGAGAAGTTGCCGCAGTGGAGCGTGCACTTTTCCGAGGGCGAGATTTCCGTGGAAAGCGTGCTGGTCAAGGTGGAGGGCGACGACGACGATCAGAAGAGCGTCTACGTCTCGTGGACCAATCAGGACGAGGATCTCGGCAGTTTCGTTCTGAACGCGCTTAATGCCGTCGGGAAATGATTCACTTTCTTATACGAGTCTTATATAGTTAGGTTAAGTTATTAAAGTATTTTTTTTACAATAAATTCACAGTGTTTTATTTTTAAGATATTTCTTGCCATTTACTGCTAATATCTGAAAAACTCTTTTTTAAGAATATTTAAATTTGTTCTTTGAATATGATCATATCGCTCGAGCGATATTCGAGGAAAACAAAATTTTCTTACCTGTTCTTCAAGCAAAATAAAATACACACATCTTTAAAGTTACACCCTATGGGGATATTTAAAAATATAAAATAAAACATTATCCCACTTACTTGAAATGGAGACATTTACTTGAAAAAATAAAATAATTCTAAACTATATCTTACCTATTTAAAAATGTTTAAGTGTTCACATAGGTAACATTATTTTACTTCTATTTAATAAAATTGCAATAGCCCTTTTCAGGCTATTATTTGTATATGTTACTATAACAGATATGGCAACTTCCAGTATTAAGTTAATGGGACTATTGAAGTGCCAAATGTTTTCTCTACATAAAACTTACATGAACATGAACGCCATATTATAAAAATGTTATATAATAGTGTGATATACCACATCAAAAAAATACCTAATGGTTGTTCAATTTAAATGGGTAAGTAGGTGTATTTTTAATTTTACAACTCTTATTACAGAAAAATACTACCAAAGAATTTAGTAGAAAGGCTTAATTGAAAAGGTAAAAATTGGGACAATTGCGAATAATAAAAATTAATAATGGCAAAGAAAACCTGGTTTTCTTTGTTATATAGGACAATCTACCAAAAAAATCAAGTGAACTTATTTGTAAATACATATATATTTTAATACACTGCGCGTCAAAATTAACGCATAATAAGTAACGTTCTAAAAATAACTTTTAAAGAATTTTTTTAAGTAAATAAAAAATGTGCTGTTAAAAGATCGTATTTTTGTTAGTATACTCTGAAAATTTTGTACAAATCAAACGAATAGTAACGAAGATACAGCCTCAAAATTTTATAAATTTATAATCTTAAGATTGGTAAAGGCGTTTTAGTTTGATTTTTTTACTTGTTATGTGCAGTGTATTAAATATTTTTTATTTATTGAAATCTTATGGATTCCATTTATTTATTGAAAATAAAAATTGTTTGTTTTACTTATTACAACACATTGCTTTGTATTTTTTCTTGTAAATTTATTGTTTTGGTATTACATTTTACGATAATATATTAACTAATGTAATGGATAAGTATTATGTTGGATTAAATTTAGTTATTTATTGGGTCGAATATTTCACGATAATCGGAAATTTTTATCCCAAACGTCAGAAATTGTATTGTGAAGGAATAACAACAACTAATAGAGTAAAACAAGTTTATTATAAAGTTCTAAAAATTCTAAATTCTAATATAAAAAATACTAATTAATAAATACATTTAAAACTATCAATGAAATAATGAAATAAAATTAAAGCGCCTTCTTGCCGACCATCATCCTGAAAGAAGAATAAAATCGTAAGTTTTGGTCGTTTGCATATTGTTACACTTGCCTATAATATGTCTACGAGCAGTTCTCGCAGCTCTTTTTCCAAACGCACTGTAGCATTAAACATATTGCTTAATTCGTTTAATGCACTTTGGTATAATATAATAAGTTATTAAAAATCCCTACGAAATTTACTTACTTGGGTTTCTTAAAGTTCTCGTTTTCCGCGGTTTCGACGGCAGCCTGCAAAAACATAAACATAAAATATTGCAGGTGAAATTTTTGTGAAAAGTAAGAAACCTTGTCGGAGTCGGAGGGGATGTTGGAGCACATTTCTGCGTTGCATTTGCAGGAGTCTCCGCAGGACCGGTTCATTCTCCTGCAGCCGCATCTCGCGTTGCAGTTCGTTTTGCATGTGCATCCGCCCGCTGACGATCTTTTCAGGCTTGCGCGCTCTTCACTTGAATCTTCGTCGAAATTCACTGGACAACATTTTAATTTCAATTTATTTTACATAATATGTATGTAGTTTGAAGAATAAAGTTTTGGTGGTCAAAAATTTATATAATAATATATATAATATAAAATACAACTGTAAAAATATTGATTTTTCAAAACTTTAGTTCAAATATTTTATTTTACAAAATTTTTTGTTTAAATTTGTAAAGAGTCATTTAAATGACGGTCGATAAATTTTTAATGCCAAAATTCTCACATTACATTTCAATGCAAGTTTTAAATTTTAAAGTGATAATTTTTGGAAAAAAAATTATTGACGATCATTTAAATGACTCTGGAAATTTAAACGAATTTTTTTATTTTTATAACTTTGCATTTAAATGTAATTCGATAATATAAAAAAAAAATTTAACTACCAATTTAATCTAAATAATTTTATAAAAATTTATTTAGGATTTACAAAATTTTGCCCATACGTAAAAAAATATTTTTATTAAAAAATGATAGCAAAAATTGATTGGAAATAATATTGTTTAATACAGAAGTAAACTAGTAAATTTTGTCTTTCAATACATTGCTTCAAATATTACCAAGTTTGGAGGAAGGAGAATAACACAATCTGATCTGAAATGGACAAATAAAAACATTTTTGACATCAATCAAAAACTATTATTTATCTATAAGTGATATATATTTGTTGAATATTTTTATTTTTCTACTATTGTACCTGCTATGGAATCATGTATTCTTTTTGGGTTTAATAAATAAATTAAAAAAAATAAATTTTAGTTACCTATAAGTTTATAAAATCTTAAATTAATAAATTATTTAATAACGGCCATAAATTCAACTTTTAATTAAAAATTTTACGTTTCTTACATTTGTGTATGTACGATGTTAGCCTCTTTTTTTCCTGGACGACCCTTTTTCCCAGCGGGGTCTTTCGCCAATCGGGATCGTTGGGATCGTCCTCCATTATATCGTCAATGGAGGAATTGAGGAAGTTTTCCTTAAAAAAATTACACCTAAGTCCAGGATTCGCCTGATTTAAATCATTTATAAGTGATTTAAATCAGTTTTAAAAAAGTTTCTAAAGATCTAAAACAATAATATCTTGACGCTATTTAAATAAATTCATATGCATAGAAAAACTGCCTATTTTGTTAAATAAAATAATAAAGGAATATACAACAAAATATATGGCAGTTGCGGACGGTGTTTTATTTGTTTATAAAGTAGTGCCAATATAATATTATTTTGGTTAAGTTATTTTTAGTTTTTTTAAGTAAACTTTATTAAACAAAGCCTATAATTTAAAAAAAAATTAAAAAAAAAACAGTGATTTTTGATTTTTTTAATCATGATTTTTTCGAGTCAATTTAATTTGTATATGTATTTCCCTCACCTGTTCGTCATCAATTATTGTTCTTACTGCCAGATTCCGCGGCGGTACCTCGAGAAGGTTTGGAGTCATCGGGAGCAGATTAGCTTGGTAGGTTCGGTCTCCTGTCTCCTGAAACAACCCACCTAACAATGTAGGTAACAATCCCAGCAAAACATTTAGGGGTGTATATAATTAGTATTTTTTTTAACCATCTAGGTATGCTATTGAAAAGTAAACATTTATGGAAAGTATGTATGTTTTTAATAATAAAAAAGTATCATTAAATATTTTCACCCAAGTTCAATTTTAGAATATAACTAAAGCATTTATATGGCACGCCATTTTAACATTTATTAAATAATTTTTTAGTTTAAAATTTTCTTAACTATAAATTTTAGGTTTACTTTTATAAATTTAAAATATTTTATTTTTGAAAGACAAAATTTACTAACAGTTCACTTCTGTATTAAAAAATATTATTTCCAATCATTTTTTGCAAAAACTTTTATTTTTTATAAAAAATAATTTCTTGAGTATAATTTATTTTTGCAGAATTTTGTATATCTTAAATATTTTTTTTATAAACTTGTATTTAAAAATAGATAAAATATTTTTTACCAAAAAAGTAAATTTTTTTTAATCTCAAAACAATTGATAATCAAAAAATAACTTTAACTTTAAATTTATGTTAAAACATCATTAAGGTGCTAAATTTTAATCTTTAACATATTATCTAATAAATGGTAAAACAGCGTGACATACATTTAAAAAAATATAATAATTATATACTTTTTATAGTTATGTTTACATTCTGGATTTATTTTTTATATATATTTACAAAAAAAAATACTGATTTTATTGGCCAAAAAACAAATCTAGTAATCATGACTTATATTAGCAATTATTAAATTATTTCTATAGTTAAAAGGAAATGTCCTGATGAAATTTTATATCCAATTCAAAATGTCAATGTGTAGAAATCAATTCTTTAGGATAATATAAACGTTTTAAAAATAATTACCCAATTTAGTTTATAAATAACAGTTTTTAAATAAAATTACTGCATTGCCATGTCGTGCAAAAACTTAAATCCACTGATACACTAAATCAGTTGATATAAAATAAATTAAAACATACCTTAATTTTGTCTATCACCGATTGCAGCTCTAGATTCTTCCGCTTCTGACTTTTCATTTCTTCTTCGAGTTGTTCAAACCTTGCCCTCCAATTTTCGTTCTGCTCCTCCAAAATGCCGCAGCGCTTTTCAGCATCGGAATCCTCTCCCTCGACATCTAAAACCACCAAATCGAATATTGAATGTTTTGCGAAACTAAATTTAATTTAAAATCAAACCTCCTCTTTTTACACCTCTGAGTTGCCCGAGTAAATAGGCCACCTTCTCCTCATAATATTCTTCGAGCTCGGACATTTGATTGCCGTATTTCTCGTCTAAGGATTTAAGGTTCGCTTCGTACATTTTTTTGTGTTCCCTAACCTAAAAAATAATCGCATTTTTGTATACTTTCAAGCAACAACCAATCCGCAAAGCAAACTTTATTTATACAGTAACAAAAATGAAATTGAAAAAATGTATTGCTATTTTACTAAGTGATCTGTTTCTCTTGTAATGTTTTGTGCTTAATTTTTTGTCAAAACTGAGTAGTTCCGTTGTAATACCGAAAAATCGGCAAAATTGATGGTGAGTTGCACTTTGACCTTTAATAACTTTTTTACAAATTGGTTTAGCAAAAAATCATAGAAACTTTTTTTGTAGAGCGTTTATTTCTTTACAAAAATAATCAATAGATTTTCTGTTTGACCTTTGACGTTGGCAAGTTACAAAAATCAGAAGGAACAAAAAAATTCGTCCGGAGCATTAAGGTTTTAAAATTAATAATTCACAGGCTCATTTTAATACCTTAATGAAAGTTTTGTTTGCAAAAAAAACAATTCGTTTTTTTAATCACCCTTGTGTAGGGATACAAAAAAACCTATTTTTTTCGTTATTTTTAAATCCACTACAATAAAGCATACTCTGTTAATAAATAATATCAATATGAAATTTTGAGCAAAATGTACACTGCGCGTCAAAATTAACGCATAACAAGTAAAAAAATCCAACTTTATAAAATTTTTGATAAAAATACTTTAACTTATATCTCAGTTTACGTGTTCAAAGGTTTTTCGAGAAAATAGCCCGTTTATTTAATAATAAAAAAACGAAAAATAACTTTAAGGGAATTTGTTTTAAGTAAAAAAAATATGCTGTGAAAGACCGTATTTTTGTTAGTATACCTTTAAAATGTTGTGCAAACCAAACGAACAGCAACGAAATACGGCGCTTCAAAGTCGTAAAAAATGACCACTTTTCAGCAAAATAATCAAAAAGGGTTCATTTTTACCGACTTTGAAGGGCTGTATCTTCGTTATTGTTCGTTTGATTTGTAAAATTTTCAGGGTATACTAACAAAAATACGCTCTTTAACAGCAAATTTTTTTTTACTTAAAAAAATTCCCTAAAAGTTATTTTTCGAACGTTTTTTTATTATTAAATAAAAGGGCTTTAAAAATATTTTTTCGAAAAACCCTCACGAAAAACACGCAAACTGAGATATAAGTTGAAGTATTTCTATACAAAATTTCATAAAGATCGGTAAAGGCGGAGTGTACATTAATAATAGGAGTAAATATTAATAATAATTTTTTTATAATTTGGTAGTTCCCACATAAGAAACCAATCACAATGTAAAACTTTTTGCACTAGACTATATTTACATTTACTAAATGTCATTTAGTGGTGAAATTGAATCATAAAAAAATAGGCAAATGGAAGTGGAAAAAAAATAATCTAACCTGATGCAGCCTTACTAAAAAATTTGATTTTTTATACTTAATTTTGTAGTTCCCACAAAAGAAACCACTAACAATGTAAAATTTCTTGCACTAGACTATATTTACATTTTCTAAATGTCATTCTAGTGTTGAAATTTAAGTCTATGAACTGAACTTGAATGATAAAAAATGAGGCAAATGGAAGTGGAAAAAATAAAATAAAAAAAGTCTAACCTGATGCAGGCCCTCTTGCATTTCGGTGATCTTGAACCGGTTCTGGACGGACTGCCTCTTGATGTCCGCAGACTGATCCCAGAGGAACTTGGCGATCGCCTTGGCCTCGGCCATCGTCTGGATGTTGTCGAAGCGCGCCTTGGCCTTGGCCTCCTCGTCCGACTCGAGGATCCTCTGCTGGAAGTCCTGGATCTGCGCGGACCGGCACTCGATCTCCTCCTCGAGGCAGCGCGCCTCCTCCTTCTCCTCGTTCTCCTTCAGGCCCGTCAGCTGCTCCTGCAGCTGCGCGCGGTCCTCCAGCAGACATGCGACGGCCACCTTGGCCTCCGTCAGGTTCATGAACACGTCGAACTCCTGTTTCAGCTGAAATTAATCGCACACTTTCATGGCATGCCGCACTATGCTTTATCGCTTTTATTGTGGGGATTTTTATTACGATAATTTCTTAAAAATTAATGTTTTTTTTTAAATAGGTTTAAAGTATACCATAATCTACATAAATATTGGAACAAAAAAATAAAACTAAAAGTTACAGCGTTTTAAAGACACAAATTCATAAGTACGATTGCCTCCGATTTCCACGTTCATATCTACATGAGGTTGTTTAGTAAACTTTCTTTTTAAAAGTACACAACATATTAGCTGCATAAAAGCACATATGGAAAAGTTATGAGTTTTTATTTATCGCGCTGCATGGCTAAATCGCGAGCGCTCGTACCTAACTAAGGCATTGTCTACGCGTTCAAGATTTTCCTACCCACAGATCTAGGCTCATAAGTTTTAGTCAAATTTATTAAATCAAAAATTTGTATAGAGCGCCATCTATGAAACAACAGGGGAAACTGTCAAATGTCACATTTTTACATTTTATAAACACAATTAAATAAATCGAAATGTATCTTGAAAATTGACAGTTTTTCACAGTGAAACTAAAGGAAATGTTTTATGAGGACTTTACAGTAGAGTCCGTGCCCGAATTTAAGTTATAGTTTACTGCCGACGAAATTAAAAGGTCAGTACAATGTTCATATAAACTTTTTAAATATTGGCGTTGAGAAACTATTTAATACTTTTGTATTGTGATAATAAAATAATTTTCACAATTAGTATTATTTTACAAGAAAGGCACTTTATTTTAATGATTGTATGACATTTGACAACTGTCAACTAACTTAAAGCTAACTTCAGCCCGTGACTAAAAACCTGTTGCTAACTTCAGCCCGTGATTAAAACGCCGTAAAGCAACAACTTGTCAATGTGTATTTAAAAGGTCACTTAGTGTCATGGAAACATGTACGATAAAAAGCGTTTTAAAGGTGGGAGTATAAAAAATATTTTATAAATTAATTAATAATCCCTTGTTTTTAAAGGTAAAAACTATTAGGTAGAACATTATTCATTCATTTATAAGGTAATAATATTTTACATACCTATATAGCGAAAGCAAATTTAACTTGGACCAATGCATTTTGTGATTTTTAAAAATGATTACTTTCTGCGTTTCTTTTTAGTTTTTAACAGAACTATTTTTAAATAGTGAAGCTCAAGAATCTAGAAGTTGGAATTTTAAAAAAATTCGATATGTTTTCGAGAAGAACCAATCGAAAATCAACAAACGAGGATATATTTCATTGTCTTTATTGTATCAACTTTAATTTAAAAAAAAAAGATTTTTTTTAGCACAACTACCTTAATTAAACGCAGTCAGGTTGGCCTATTTATATTTAGTTTATAGGGTTTTAGTGTCAAAAAATTGGGGGGGAAAATTGTTTTTTTTTTTTTGGAAAAACTTAAACACATTTAAAAAAAATACCAATCAACAACTTAACATTATTTTAATTTGAAAAAAATATCTTCTATTACAGAAAAGCAAAGGAATCCATTGAAAATATCCAAATAGAAAAATAATAAATAATTTATAAAGTTAAATTACAAAATTATTAATAAATTATTAAAACGAAAGTACCGAATGTTGTTTTTGGGGACCGATAAAATTGTATTTTTTTTTCGCATTATTTTTTGAATAAAAATAAAAAAATGGAAGGCAATTTTAAAAATTTCCAAATTTGTCCGTTTAAAAAAAAACCCTAGGAGATTAGATTTAAAAGTTTTAAAAATAAACATAAAAATATAAATAGAAAATACGAACCCAGTTTCCGTTCTTGCCGCCTTTGGTTTTCGACTCCTGCGCCTGCTTGCGCACCTGCAAGGACTGCTGCAACCTCTTGTTGAGCGCGGTGGCCTCCTCAACTTTACGCTTCAAAACGTTCTGTTGCTTGCTGTTCATCAACTTCATTTTTACGATCTCGTTCGCCTTAAAAAAATCAAAATCAATAAATATTTTTGAAAGCAATAAAATCCACTTTTTTCACCTTCTTTCTGTCTTCGTGCTTTAGCTTGGCCAACTCCCGCTCCCTCACTTGCTTCCACGCTCTGAACTTGTCCGACTCCTCCCTCATGTTCCTGATCAGCTTCACCTTCACCTGCTTCATGGCCGTGATCTCCGAGTTCAGTTTGTTTATCCTTTGCTCGTCCTTGTCGCGAATCTTGATCAGCCTCGCCTGATCGGACACCTTCCGGTTGAGGTCCGCGATCTGGCCTTCCAGATCCTTGATGCGCTTCCTGCGCTGGTCGGCCGCCGTGGAGTTGCCGTGCGCGTTGTTCTTCAGCTGCAGCAGCTGCACCAGCTCGTCCTTCTCCTTCTGCAGCGCGGCCATCTTCAGCTCGTTCTCCTGCATCGACTGGTAGTCGACCATGTGCTGCGCGTTCGAGATCAGCTTCTCCGCCAGCGTCTCCTTCATGGCCAGCTGCTTCATCACCTCCTGCAGCTCCGTGTTCAGGGCCAGCTGCTTGTGCGTGTGCGCGTTCTGGTGCTCGGTGCCGCTCTCGTTCAGGTTCTCGTTCGAAGAGCTGAACAGCTGCTTCACGAACGTCTGGTCGTGGTTCCTGAACAGTTTTTCGTCTTTATCCCGTCACGATTTTGCTTCCCAGAGGGGTGTTTCTTGAAACTTTGCATACTCGCAAGTTTCAAGAAACACTCATCAGGAATAAGATCATCACTACAGATAGGATTTTAGTGTTATTACCTATTTGTCTACGCTAATTATACGGTTAAATTACAAATTTTATTTAGGAATTTAGGAGGTTTTTTGGAGAATTTTAGGAGAAAAAAGTATGCAAATGAATTTATTCAATTAAATAAAAACAACTCTACACTATACATAAAAAATAAGAAAAAAATAAGTAATTATTAAAAAAAAAATATATAAATAAATATCACTTCTTTTGTACAAATAGGTTATATTGACTAGTTTTTTAGCCAAATCGCTCGACGAGTTTTTTTTTATAAAATGAAAAGTGAGGTAAAATTACTACTTTTGTATATATTTACAAGTAGAAATTTCACATTTTTAATTTTATAAAAAAAAGCGTCAATATGGCTAAAAAAGTAGGCCAAAGTTTAATGATGTTATATTTTTATTTTGAAAAAAAAAAATTTAACAGTTTAGTTAATAACTAACAATAATTGTAATGTTATTGTTACTAAAAAATCTCATAATAGAAAAAATATAAAGTGCATGATACAGCAAAACATTCTTTAGATTGTTTACTATTTTAGCTATCATTTAAAGGAAAATTAAAAATCCTTTTGTTTGATATATAACACGGTATATTTTTATCGAAAATTAACGAAATATGGCTAAAAATTACAATTTTGTAGAGGTCTAGAAGCTACTACATGGATTTTGTTTTATGGTATATTTTGTTGTTTTTTAAGAAAAATGTAGGTTGTGATACCTTTATCATTTTAAAAAGAATTTAATAAACTAGAACCCAAAAATATATATTTTTTAAATTACTTTTTAAAAAAGAAATTTTTTAGCACAACCACCTTAATTGAACGCAGTCAAGTTGGCCTACTTATTATTATTATTATTTTTAGGAGTTTTAGGAGATTGATAGCAATTTTAGGAGAATTTAGGAGTTTTTAAGATTTAAGCCAAATTTTAGGAATTTTATGAATTTTAGGAGGTGTGGGAGCCCTGTTATAGCTTTAGGTGCAATGGAATGAAATCCGTTTTGAAGAAATTATTTGATTTGAGCCTGATTTTATTTTACCTAAATATTCATTTAATTTTACCTATTTCACCTTGATTCTTATTTTAAACAGAAATTTTTAAATTTTACCATCAAAAGCATGCTTTTTTGTAATATTTATGCACCATGTAGTTATTTTTGTTGTACAGGATTGGTAACCAACCACTCCCAACCTACCCATGGTTGGGAGTGGTTACTGCCATACTTTTCCGTACTTTTGATTTCATTTACATTGTTAAATTATTCACTGTATTTTCTTAAAATTATTTACTACAATGTGCTTCAGTTTTTATATCCATTGTTAACGTTTTTTATTTGTTTACTTTTGTTGTTGATATTTTATTAATATAACTTAAGGTTATTAATTTAAATTTCATTTCATATATCGAGTGTTTCATTATTGTTTGTTTAATTATTTGTTCTATAATTTGTTTATTATTTATTATTATGTATAATAATAAAATAAGTAAATTTTTTTAAAACCAAAATTTTTATAACGTTTTTATTTCTGAGAAAAACAAATAAAATAATAATAAATAATTAATATTTCATATGACTATAATCAGGGTAAGATATTTTTTCTCGATATTGGTGTGCAGATGTTATTGGAAGGTTTCAGAAAAAATGATTTTTGCATTACCCTTTAAATAAAATGTCATTTTTTCTAAAAAATTTCCCAATTTTTCCGGTAAAAAAGCGTTTTTTCCACCCGGGCAATTTCCTTCAAAAATTACCCATAGCATTTGATTTTTTTAAATTTCAAGATTCAAAGACATAAAACATAAAAAGATGATTATGTTTTAGGTTTTTCATGGTTTATTTAATATTTTTTATATGAACTTACTTAATTTCACTGTCGAGCAATTTATGATCCTGATCAATCTCCATGAACCGATTTTGAATGGCATTTAATTTTTCGACGTTCTTTTTGATGAGTTCAGCGTCGTTGTTTTCCAAGGCATCGGTGATGTTTAAAACTGTAAGGTCAAAATCAACCCCCAATTCCTTGTGTTTTGCACTTAACTTCTCCACAGCCGCCTGCAGGATCAAGTTTTTCTCCAAAACCCCCGTCTTGTCCACCAAACTGGCCGACAACTGCAAATTAAGCTCTTTGATCTTGTGCTCCAATTCCATATTTTTCCTCTTTAGCAGCTCTATTTCCGCCGGGCATATAACTGGACCGCCTTGCGCCACAATTTGCAGACGAAGATTCTGAATGGTTTTCTTGAGATCGTTGATTTCCGCGACCTTCGAGTCCTGATTCACCACCGGCTTATTTTTTATTTTTTTCGCTCTGTCTGCGTATCGCAAGGTCGACAGGGTTTCATCGTGGTTGTAGTCTGCCGGACTCACACAGGCAATCATAAGGGTTATACTGTTACCACCCAAGGAATCTAAAATTAATAAACTCTGCGTCATTAGGGTAAAATAATATTTCATACCTACAAACCTTTAAGAAGACGAGTTAAATTGCTATCTCTGTATGGCACAAAGGTGCTTTTATTCTTCTCGTCCCCCAAACAACTGATTACGTTTCCAAGCACCATAAGTCCCTTATTTATATTTACGCCTTCCTTAAACGTGTTACCGACAGCACCAGTCTTTTTTGGTCGCTCAGAACCTGCTAAATCGACCAAATGCAACTTTGCTGTCTTAATATTGGCCCTAAAAAAAATACTTGTTCACAATGTTCACAAAAACTTGTAAACTCAAAACTTACGGATCATCTTTGCTCTGCATTGTTATGGTAACAGTTAATATTGCATGACTTCTTGAACTTTGAGAATTCATATTGGTGGAAGCAGTGGCCCTGCCTGCAGAACCTCTTGATAAAATTTCCAAAACTTCATTGGCACTCGTTACTTGTATTTCAGTCATATTGGGAATATGGATCCCTTTCTGGGTATCTTCCCTTATGTCCAACACACATTGATCCCTTGGCTTCCCAGACAACAAATCATATAATACTTCCTGATATAACTCGATAAACGATACTTGTACAGTGAAATCAATGGCAAAATTGTCCTGTATATGATTAAATATATCACTTATGGCTCGGGGAATCACCCCTGTGTCCCCCTCCCCTTTATAAGCTGTCCCCATAGAGTACGTTTTACCTGAAAGCGTTAAAGCCCATTATAAAAATAATAATAATTTATTGAACCAGATGAATAGGGATACATTTTATGAATGGGACATTACATAAAATCTGCAAGAGGTTTATTAAACCTGTGCACAGACCCAGTTTAAATTACAAACTAAAAACTTAAAAGTAAGAAAACTTGTTCTTTAAAGATTGTTTGATTTACTAAACTTTTTGATGTTATAATATAGAATCTAATTATGAGGTGCATATAATTTAATTTTGTTCAGTTTTAGGGCCGTATGCAGAAACGTTGATTTATTTATATCAACTGATTTTCGCATATACACTGATTTCAGTTTGAACCAATTTGTCAAATTTTGACAGTAAAGATTTGTTAGGTTATCTTACGTATACTTAAATATGTGTTTATTATCATATAAGAGTAATACATTTCTAAAATGTTTATTAAATATACACATTAAAACATTTATAACTGACTAAACCTTATTATTGATAAAAACTAGGTTTGAGAGGATTGCCGAAATATAAAACATACACAATTGGGTTATGTTCATAGTTTGCAATTTGTTCTGGTATAAGTAAATTTGCATTAGAAGGCACGAAAAACGAAAATTACGGCTTAAAGCCTCTGAAAAGAACAAAGAAATTTTGTTGAAGTTGGTGGAAATTTTATTTAAGTGTTTGTTCTTGTAAAAGATTAATTAATTAGGTATATTATAACTATAATAATATTAGTTATAGGAATACTAGACCTGTTTCTAAAAGGCAATGCTCTTTTACCTATTCCTTTACAGGTACCAATAACACCTTTTTAGGCATTTAGGCAAATGTTTGAAAAAATAAATGCAATGATGCCAAAGACATTTAAAATTTGTTACAAGAAAATAAAAAATTAAGAAACAAACTCTAGAGGCTAACATATGTTAGTTAATGCTTGATATACATAAATTATGGCTTCAGAATAAAAGGAGGGAGCTATACTCAAAAATTGCATGTCCAGAAAAATTGTGCTACAAAATGGGTGGAAGGTGGAGTCTCAAAACTTTTTGTAGCATGAATATAGTTTACCATTGCCTGCCCCCTTGCTGGAAATGGGGCAAGAATCCCTGCTTTTCTAAAGGGTTAAATTAAACCCACTTTGTTACTTAAATAATTTATATTGAAAAACATAGGTACACAAATTTTAAAATTTAACTGTTGCAGTTCTAGTCCAGATTTTTTTACCCTGTGTATTTTATTTTAAAAATTAAAATATTGTTTTAGAGCATAATTTAATTATTTGTCAAATAAATATTACAAATGATAAAAACAATTTGAAAATAGTTTCATACACTGAGCAAATACAATTGTTTTTACCTACAGGGTGTATTTTTTATTTTCTTATAAAATGCCTTTTAAACTTAACAATTGTATTACTGACAAGAACTGTTAATATTATATATAATATGCAGTGGCGGCTGGTGGATTTTGACACACCCATATCTCAGTTATGTCTAAAGACATGGAACCCACATCAAATTTATATGAGTTTATAATGACATTATATAGACAAGTTCTGCGCAAGCAGAATTTAAATTAAAGTTTGCGAAAAAAAGTTAGTTTTTAAGTGCAACCCCTAGCCTCCTGCCCCTCCAAATTAAGATAATTCAAATTAAAGTGGTACAATATTTAATTCACTGAAGTTTATCAAAAAATTTCAAATTTTATTAAAAAAATTCAAGTATTACAGATTTTATACCATTTCAAAATTTTTTAAATTTAGTAAAAGAAATAATAAAAATTATAAATGGTATAAAACCTGTAATTCTTGAATTTTTTTAATAAAATTTGAAATTTATCGATAAACTTCAGTGAATTAAATATTGTACCACTTTAATTTGAATTATCTTAATTTGGAGGGGCAGGAGGCTGGGGGTTGCACTTAAAAACTAACTTTTTTTCGCACTTTAATTTAAATTCTGCTTGCGCAGAACTTGTCTATATAATATCATTATAAACTCATATAAATTTGATGTGGGTCCCATGTCTAATAACTGAGATATGGGTGCGCCCAAAATCTACCAGCCGCCACTGATAATATGTATATTCAATTTGAAAAACCTATGTTTTTGTCCCTGAAAATTAAATAGAGTTTAAATTTCCTCAGAGTCCCCTACTGTTTATATTTGAAGAGCAAGCACATAATTTAAAAATTTAAAAGAAAAAATAAGTTGAAATTGGTCTAAAATTTAAAATACTTCAAAAGTATTTTAAAAATAAGACAAATATTTTTTAAAACAATTTTGGTTTTATTTTATAATCCTTATTATTTATTAAATAGTAATTTTTTAAAATTATCTAGGTATTATATTAAAAAGTATACATTTATGGAAGGTATATATGTTTTTAATAATAAAAAAATTAATCAATAAATGTTTTTACCCAAGTTTCATGTTAGGGGTAATTATTTTACAATGAAACCAAAGAAAGTAAAAATCAATTGAAGCATTCAGCTTTTCAATCAGACAAACAAACAGCAATATAATTAACATGGTAGTAATTTTATCTTTAAAAAAATATATTTTTTCAATTATATCTAGGTATGTTAAAATTCTGAATTTATTTTTTCATATATATTTACAAACAAAAATACTGTCTATAGTCACGGCCAAATCTATATGGGTGCACGTCATCAATGAGATATAATGACGTCAGCATTACCAACTTTGAATTGTAAAGTTACTGCCGTTAAATTTGCTTTTTTAAGGCGTAATTCTGATGTGTTATTAAAAAGAAATCATTCATTTGCGTATTGTTTACCAAAAACTGTAACAATTTCCTTGTTTTAAAACGTTTTTTCACGAAATTATCAAAATAAATCCATTCACTTAGTAATTTTTGTGTGTGCCAGTTGGTAATAGCTTAAGGCTGGCGCGCACCGTTCAATATTATTGATGGGTCGCTGTCATTTTATATTTGACGTATTTTTGTAATTGTGACATTTCGTCCGGAAGCATCGTTTGTTGCAAATTATTATAAATAATATTATACATTATGTTTATAAGATTCTATCCCTGGATTGTGCAAACAATGATATAAGGCTTGTTGGCAACTAGCCGTTATTAGATTTCGAAGAGATTGCGCCCTTAATAATAAATTTTGGGAAATAATCAGACTTCAATTCTGACCTGGTTTGCTCTGATGACAAGGACGACTGGTAATTTATTATTTTTGTGTTTCTGATAATTTAGTATTTTTTTGTTATGTGCATATGTAATAAAAATGTAATAAACTCCGTTTGTTTTCTCTTTAAACACATTTAATAAAAATTTGCCTGTAACAAACTCCTAATTAGTTAGTGCAGAAGATTATAACAAGGATGTTATAATTCCATCTTAATAACAGCCCCCACCGCTATAAACAGTCAACAATACACGAGCGTTAGATTGTGTCTGGGCACGTATGAATAGACCTTAACGCTGACGTCATATGCCGTTGATGACGTGCACCCATACAGATTTGGCCGTGACTATATTTGTATCCATATTTTAAATCAGTTGTTAACAACTGATATAAATTTTATCAACCAATTTACATTTTAGATGATTTTATTGGCCAAAAAACAAATCTAGTAAACCATGATTTATATTATTTTCTATGGTTAAAAGCAAATGTCACTAACGTCAAATAAATCTTGATGAAATTTTAATTGTTTTAGGTCTAATTTAAAATGTCAAGGAATAGAAATAAACTTTTTTAGGGAAAATATAAACGTTAAAAGATAATTACCCAATTTATTTTATAAAACAACAGTTTTTAAAGAAAATTACTACGTTGCCATGTCATGCAAAAACCTATATCCACTGAAAGGCTAAATCAGTTGATCTAAATATAGAAGTATTTGATTAACAAAATTTATATACCTACATATTGTACTTTTATAGGTATGCATAATATTATGTTTTTTTTATTTTCTATAGAAACCAATATTTCAATTTTTTCTTTCTTATATTCATATATTTTATTTAAAATCAAATTAATTAATAATTACTGTACTTTGCTTCAAACATTGAAAACTACATATATAACATTATATTCAGAAAATGGACAAAATTAGATTGACACTGACAAAAAATTAACCTTAATTATTTCACAAGCATAGTACATATACTATATAATACCCCTATAATAGGGGTTGTTATCTATGGGGGTTGACAGCAGGGCACAGTAGTATAGTAGTTGTATTACCTGATCCAGTTTGTCCATAAGCTAAAATAGTCATGTTATAACCCTGAAATAAGTTTTCTATGGTGTCTTTCACGCAGCAATTATAAAACTCTTCTTGTGTTGACTGTGCATCGAATACATAATTAAAAGTGAAAGGTTTTGTGTTATTAACGATGATTTGTTCATTTTCAGGAATAACATCAATTATCGTTTTGCAACCCTTGCTGATCTCATAGTCTGCAAGGGGTCGGATTCTAACGGCCACTTTTACTGATGTGGCGTCTATAGACATCTAAAAGCCGGTTTTTATAAGATAAGAAATTAAATACAAAAAATATACTTACTATGGTCAAAAATAAATAAAAACAACGACACGAAACACTACTTAACAAAAATTAAAATACTTGATGTCTTAAATGAATAAATTCAAGAAGTAACAGCAAAATCTACTTTCAGTAACACGTCAACGACGCTTTGAAAAATGGCGGTTGACTGGAATTCCGTTGCACTTTTTAAAATCCCCTCTTACGTTTGACGTTTCTTATGCAAATTTCTTATTGGTCGACGAGTAGCTTGAAGTTGGCTACAAATGGCGCCACTTTGTGGTTTATGGTATTTTAGAACTACTTAAAATTAATTTTTAATAAATAATGCCATTATTTAAAGTTTTTTGATAACTAGAGTGGTAAAAACCATGAAGGCTTTATGATAAAAACGTTCGTTATATTTAATGTAAAAAAACATAAAAAAACGTTTAATTTATTAAAAAATAACAGGTGATCTATAGATATATTGATGAGCCTGTGGTGGCGGGAATTTAACTGTCAAATAGGTTAAGTACAATTTTGTCAATGTTTTGCGGATTTTATTGCGTTTTATTGTTTGAAAATGGTGCTGCAAAATTCGGGGAAATATAGAGCGGAGCGGAAGGAAAAGCCTGAACAAGTCGATACAGGAAATGCACCTGTAAATAGGTATATTATAATAACAAATATTTTACTTTACTTTGATTTAAAACTTTGTGTTTATAGAGAGGAAAGTTCCGAGTTTCGATTACGTCAAGTAATTGAAAACGATCTTATTGATGCTAAATATGGGTTTGAAAGGGTTAAAGATCACAATGAACGGACAGGGTTTTTACTTAATATGCATTCGGTAAGTCCCTTGCAGTAATATTAAGTCTTAATTTATTATTTAGTGTGTTTTAGACTGAAATCTTGGATGAGGATAAACGATTATGCGCTGCTGTGGATTTTTATTTTATGGAAGAGGATGGGACTAGATTTAAAGTTTCTTACCCATTTATGCCATATTTTTATGTTTTAACCAAAAGGGAGTTGATTCAAGAAGTCACACAGTTTTTGTCCAAGAAGTTTTCAGGCACAATTGGAAAAATTGAGACTGTTACAAAGGAAGACTTGGATTTGGTAACATTTTGATTTTAATGTGAATTTAAAAACAATTAATCTATTGTTTTAGCCCAATCATTTAATAGGTTTAAAGCAAAAATACATAAAGTTGTCTTTCTATAATCAAACTGATTTAATTAAAGTGCGAAAGGACATTTTAAAGGTAGTTCGTAAGAATAAAGAGAAAATAAATGAGAACACATACTACACAGAAATGTTGACAAGTACTCTAACAAACAATGCAGCTACAGTTCATAAAGGCACAAGTGACCAAATGGAAAATATAATGGATATAAGGTACCTACCTACCAAAACATATTAATTTTCACTCACCAACTATTTTTTTTCCCTAGGGAATATGATGTTCCATATCACGTGAGAGTTTCAATAGATTTGAAAATTTTCTGTGGTTCTTGGTACTCGGTAAAATGCAAGAGTTCCAGCACAGAGCAGCCCATAATTACAGCAAGGCCTGACTTGATTGAAAGACCTGAACCAATCGTGCTTGCCTTTGATATTGAAACAACCAAGCTGCCTTTGAAATTTCCTGATGCCGCCTCTGATCAAATTATGATGATTTCATACATGATTGATGGCCAAGGTAAGAAATCATTTTTAGATTTTCAGGTGTATAGAACTAAAACAGGAACACTTCTTGTTTAGGTTTAAATTAAAAGTAAATATTAATCATTATCAACACAATTAATAAAAAAACAAATAAAACTAAAAAAAAAGTCCAAATAAAGCAGCAATTTCAAAAAATAAGTTTATCAAAATAAATAATAGCATTTTGGTCCTAGTAGCACCATCCTCAGATATCTTAATATTAGGGTTTTCAAATTTTCGGAAAAATTCAGCCGGCTGAAAAAAACCGTTTTTTCTCTGGAAAATTGTGAAATTTTTCGAAAAATTGAATTGCATTTTTTTCATTTTATTCCGTAGGTATTGCATAAAAAGTCAATTTTTCAAAAAATTTCCAAATTTTCCTGATATTGAGAAAAAAGTGAATATACGACGCTGATTATAATCATATAATATTATGATTAATATAATAATAATAATTATTCCTTTCATTTTAATTCAGTTAGATTCTATTTTTTTTCTACCGGGCCGCAAAAAGAACATATTCGGTGCTGTATTAACATAACTTTTGTTTTATTTGACACTTTGACTTAAAAAATTATAATTTTATAATTTAATTCATTATTTTTTAATTGAATATTTTGAATGGACTTATTTTTGCAAAAAAGACTCAACTGACAATATATTTAAAGTTTACTTATATTTTCTTAAATCAATTTAATTCAATTCAATTTAGTTTTTTTTCTGTAATAAAGTATATATTTTTTTAATTGAAATAATGTTAAGATGTTTGCTACTTAAAAAAAAAATCAATGTTTTCCAAAAAAGTCAATTTTTCGGTTTTTTTTTTCGACACTGTTTTTTATTGAAAAATGTAAGTAAAACAAATTTTAGGTTTCTTGATAACTAACCGCGAAATCCTGTCGTCGGACATTGAGGATTTCGAGTACACCCCAAAACCGGAATTCGAGGGAAAATTCACCATCTACAACGAAGCGAACGAAATGGGGCTGATACAGAAGTTCTTCGACCACATCATGGACATCCGACCGCACATTTTCGTCACGTACAACGGCGACTTTTTCGATTGGCCGTTCGTGGAGGCGCGCGCGGCCTCCTACGATCTCGACATGCGGCAGGAGATCGGGTTTTTCAAAAACAAAGAGGGCGTGTACTGCGCAAGGCCCGCCATGCACATGGACTGTCTGTGCTGGGTGAAGAGGGACTCCTATTTGCCCGTCGGCTCGCAGAACTTGAAAGCCGTGGCTAAAGCTAAACTGAGGTCAGTACAAATACAGAACAATTCCATTTTATTCATTTATCTACACATCTATTTTTCATGCACCAAAATTTTAATAAAATATCTAGTTTATACGTGTACTTGGTATTTGGACGCCGTTTTTTTTATTTAGCAATTATTTTTAGGTTATATTTTTAATTAGATAAAAAATATCACATAAGAATTTTTATTTTGTGAATTAATAATATCATTGCAGATATTTTAAAATTAGATTTAATTTTTATGCCCAAGTGATATTTTTTATTTAGATATTTTAAAATATTTTCTTCTTATATTTGTATGTTTTTGCTAAACACATATTTTAATTTGCTTAATTAAAAATATCATAAGAATTATTTTTAATTCTATTTAATTTTTATTTTATTAAATAAGAAGACAATTTTATTTAAATTTGATATTTTTAATTCATAATTCAAAATTAAAATTAAAATGAATTAAAAATTTCTCTTATGATATTTTTAATTTAGCGAATTTAAAATATGTGTTTAAATAAAAGAAACATATTTTAAATTCACAAAATTAAAAATATCAGTTTGTCATAAAAATTAAATTTTATTTTTAAATATCTACTATGATATTTTTAATTCGATTTCATTTTTATTTTATTAAATAAGCAGACATTTTTAATTAAATTTGATATTTTTAATTCTTAATTAAATATAAAAACCTATGATATTTTAATGCATTTAAAGATTTCTCCTATGTTATTTTTAATTTAGCGAAATATGTGTTTAACTAAAAAATACAAATTGAACAAGCATATATTTTAAATTCACCAAATAAAAAAATATCACAGTTTGTCATAAAAATTAAATATAATTTTTAAATATCTACTTTGATATTTTTAATTCGCAGAATAAAAATTCTTATATGATATTTTTTTCTAATTAAAAATATCACTTGAATAAGAATAATTCCAAAATAAATTTAAAAAAAACCATAGGACAGTTAAAACGACAATAAAGATATAAAAAAATTAACCTAAAAATGCGTTTTTTTGAAAAGATATTTTGAGACTATTTCACCTACAAAATATAATTATTTTTATGGTAACATGTTGTAATCAAAGTTTGATTGCAATAAGAGTTTTTAGAAGGTTATGGAGAAATTATATTATGAAAAAAAAATTCTTAGATACGACCCTGTAGAGTTGGATCCGGAAGAAATGTGTCCGTTGGCCGCCTCTGATCCACAAGTGCTTTCAAATTACTCCGTGTCCGACGCTGTTGCCACATACTACTTGTACATGCAATATGTGCACCCTTTTATTTTTGCGCTTTGCACCATTATCCCCTGCGAACCGGACGAGGTTCTAAGAAAGGGATCAGGTAGAGAAAGAGGAAAAATAATTTTATTTTGTTTCTAAAAAATATCTCATAGGTACTCTATGCGAAGCGCTGCTCATGGTGGAAGCTTTCCACGCCAACATCATATTTCCAAACAAGGAGGAAGCGGTTCTCAACAAACTCACCCATGACGGCCACGTTTTACATCAGGAGACTTACGTGGGGGGCCACGTGGAGGCGCTGGAGTCGGGGGTGTTTCGCGCGGACATCCCTTGCAGGTGAATGACGGCAGGGAAATGAGCAGGCTTAAAACTTGTTTTCCTTACAGGTTCAGGATGGTTCCCGAGGCGATAGACAAGTTGATAGAGCAAATAGCGAAAACCCTGGAACACGCAATCGTTGTGGAAGAAGGCGTGCCCATGGAAATGGTGACAAATCTCGATCAAGTCGCGAAGGAAATCAAGGATAAACTTACATCTCTCAAAGTAGGTACCACACCACCCAAATAAAGTCTTAATCTTCATGTTTAGTTATCTCTTAAATTAGGAACACCCGATGAGGCTGGAAAGGCCGCTGATTTATCACTTGGACGTCGGTGCAATGTATCCGAACATAATTTTGACGAACCGGTTGCAACCGTGCGCCATGGTCCATGAAACCATTTGCGCGGCTTGCGATTTTAACAAACCCGGCGCCGCATGTCAACGTACCATGACATGGATGATGAGGGAAGAGTACTGTAAGTACTTTTTTATTATAGACATTATATATATATATATATATATATTGTTTAAAAATATTAAATAATACACCCAATAAATATTATCTTAAGGAAGCTTGTAAACATCAATTTTAAAATTAAAACAGTTAGTTTTAATGTTGTTAATATGTTAAAATGGTAAAAAATTTTAACGTAAAATGGGAAGCTACTGAAATTTATCAAATTTGGAAAAAGGTTGTCATAAAATTAAATATACCAAGTTTTAAGTGTAGCTTCTCAACATACTTAAGATATCTAAATAGTATAACTATACCGTTGAGTGAGGAAATTCTTTAATCAATGCCTATACACTTAACCATCTATCATATATACAGGGTGTCCGAAAATAGTGAGCAATACACGTGGTTTCTAAAGACAAAAATCTTCTTATAAAACATAGGTTGGCAAATGGCCCCTACAACCTTTTAAAGGTGCGCCCCTGAAGATGGTTTTTTTTTATTATTATTTTTAAAACAGTTTTAAATAAAATAATAAAATTTTGAAACTTTATTCTGAATTTAAAAATAAAAAAAAATTAAATATTATAAATTATTAGTGCAAAGGTATAAGTTTGCTGCAGAATATAAAATTTTTGGATAAAAATAAAATATCAAATAAAAAAAAAATGTTTAATTTAATATACGTATTTAACAAGAATTATTGATAAAAAATTACATAATTTTCCTGAAAATACATATTCATATAAATTTTTCTTTTTTTTTGCCCCAAAAACCACTATTTTCGGGAAAAAACATGAATTTGATAAATAACACAAGTTAAATTTTTGTAATAATTTCTTAGTGCCGGCAAGCCGCAACGAGTACCACAGAATCCAGCAGCAGTTGGAGATGGAAAAGTTCCCGGGGCGGTTCCCCGGGCAGGCGCAGAAGGCGTTCCACGAGCTGGGGCGCGTCGAGCAGGCCGAGCACGAGATGAAACGCCTGCAGGTGTACTGCAGGCGCGTCTACAAGAAGGTGAAGGTCACGCGGGTCGAGGAGCGAGAGACCACGATCTGCCAGAAGGAGAACTCCTTCTACGTGGACACGGTGAGGGCGTTCAGGGACAGGCGCTACGAGTACAAGGGGCTCTCGAAGAAGGCGAAGCAGGCCGTGGTGGACGCGGTCAGGAGCGGGGACGCCGCCGAGATCAAGTCGGCCAAGAACAGGGAGGTGCTCTACGATTCGCTGCAGCTGGCGCACAAGTGCATCCTCAACTCCTTCTACGGTTACGTCATGAGGAGAGGGTGAGTACCTACCTACCACTATGCTTCAACAAAACACGGTATGTTCTTCACTAGGGCGAATTTCGGTTCACTTTGGTTCACCACCCACTTACCGCCATCTTGGTTTGATTTTAAATATTATTGATATTATTATTATTCGATTGTTTGATTAAATTGTCGAATAATTTAACAATATTAACATTTCAAGAAAATATTATTAAAGAAAATAAAATATGTTGTTTTGAAGTAAATAATATTTACTAAATAAGTACCAAATAAAATATATGACAAAAATGCTAAGAAAAATTTAATTTTAGTTTTTAGGTTAACGGTTTTCAAATAAAATATATAATAAATATCTTTATTTAGTCAAATGTTTTCAATAAAATAAAATATCCTGTTTTAAATCAAATATAAAGAATGAAATGAAAGTGTCAAGTTATAACATTAACATTGCAAGAAAAATTTAAACAACATATTTATTACAAAATTGCAGTTTAGTTGCCAAATAAAAACTCTAAATTGACCAACATTGAATAACACAAACTAAATTGAGAAAAATATTATATTATGGTTTTCTAATGTTTTTGGGATGTTTCAATCCCAGGCTATTTCATTATCAGCAACATGCTGCAGTTTCAGTTTCTGTTCTGTCTTTGGCACATTTCCTGCACAATGCAAAAAGAAAGATTTAATTTTGTTTTTCAAATTTTATTTTAATTTCTTACACTGCAGTACTTAATTTCTTAGTATTTGAGTTTCTGTTATGGGTTGTCTTCAAAGATCATATTATGCTTCCTGGTTTTGTCCCATTTCTTGTACACTGTAAAAAGAACTATGATTTATATTCCAATTTTATTTTTATTTCTTACAAAGTACTTAATTTCTCTTTTGATAGATCAGCTGTTGTGTTTAAACCATATCCACTTTTAAAGACTTTTTCTTATGGGAATGTAGTTTGTACGTTTTTTTTTTATCCAATTTCTTCAAAGTGAATAGAAATATTAACCTATTTAATTGTTTTTAAAATAAATCTGCTTGCTCTCCTTAACATCAATTTTTTCAAGCTCATACTAAGGAAATGTATGTATTGGATTTTCAGGGTTTTTTTGGCTTTGTTTTTACTGATTTTCACTTGACAGGTAGACATTTTTTACGCTTACAAAACAATCTGATGGAGTGGTGGAAACAGATGCGCAAGAACATACCTTGTTTTGTCGTACCACTTACGTACTATTTTAGTAAAATTTCCACTTGTGTGTTTAAACAGCGCCAGATGGCACAGCATGGAAATGGCCGGCATAGTTTGCTACACGGGGGCAAACATCATAATGAAAGCCCGCGAAATCATCGAACAGGTGGGCAGACCTCTCGAGCTGGACACGGACGGTATTTGGTGCATCTTACCCGCCTCGTTCCCCGAGAACTTCACCATCCACACCCGGCACGAGAAGAAGAAAAAGTTTAACGTCTCCTACCCCAACACCGTTCTGAACGCCATGGTCAAGGAGCACTTCACCAACGACCAATACCACGAGCTGGTGGACGGGGACAACCACAAGTACGACGTTAAAAGCGAGAATTCCATATTCTTCGAGGTGGACGGTCCGTACAAGGCCATGGTGCTGCCGGCCAGCAAAGAGGAGGGCAAGAAGCTGAAGAAGAGATACGCCGTGTTCAACTTTGACGGGTCTCTGGCGGAGCTGAAGGGCTTCGAGGTGAAACGCAGGGGCGAGTTGCAGCTGATCAAGAACTTTCAATCGTCGGTGTTCGAGGCGTTCTTAAAAGGCGACACTTTGGAGAGTTGCTACGCGGCCGTGGCTCAGGTGGCCGATTACTGGCTCGACGTGCTTTTCTCTCACGGCCGCAACATGCCGGACTCGGAGCTGTTCGACTTGATCTCGGAGAACCGATCGATGTCGAAGAAGCTCGAGGAGTACGGCGCGCAAAAAAGCACCTCCATCAGCACTGCGAAGAGGTTGGCGGAGTTTTTGGGCGATCAGATGGTCAAAGATGCCGGCTTGGCTTGCAAGTATGTTATCAGCAGGAAGCCAGATGGGGCCCCGGTCACTGAAAGGTACGCTTTCTTTTACTACTTATTTCGCATTTTGTTTAATTTTAAAAAAATGGCACTTTATCGGAATAAAAATTTCCGATTATCATGGAATATAAAACATAAAAATTTTATATTAAAAACTGTTTATTAGGTAATATATGGAATCCATAATATTTAAAAGTAGGTAAATAAAAAAATTCTTAAATTAAATAGAAAATATTTAAAATTATAATATATTTTTACAAATAAGTTCACTTGATTTTTTTGGTAAATTGTCCTCTATAACAAAGAAAACCAGATTTTCTTTGTCATTGCCCCAATTTTGACCTTATTAATTAAACCTTTTTACTAATTTCTTTAGCGGTATTTTGTCTGTAATTAAGTTCTAAAATTTTTTACTTATTTAAATTTAACAACCATTAGGTATTATTATATTTTTAAAACAATCCTGTAAAGAAACGCTTTGGCTAAATATGCCTATATTAAACCATAAAACTATGTAATGGGCCATTACATAATCATACTTATATGTTTGCTGGGTTATTATGTAAGAGCCACCAAAAATCCTGTAAACACAATAAAAAACATTGCTAAAATAATTGGTATACAACAGAAAACAAACAAAATGATTAATTATAACTTTGCACTAAATGTCATTTTTAAAATAGGATTTTAGGCAGGATTTAGCTTCTTTTGCAGCACATAAACTTTATCATCTTATAGATAATTAGTTGAAGTACAGTCTTCGCTAAAAATCTAATTTTTGACCAAAAGTGGAGATTGTCGGGCCTCACTTAGATTATATTAAGTTTTTAACAGTTCTGATAGAATAAATCCTACATTTTGATAAATTTTAAAAATCGTAGTTCTGAAATGTGATATTGCCACTGTTTTCCAACATAAATTATGCGCAAGTCTAGTTAAACTCAAAATAATTTTTAAGGGTTAAAAATGTCCATGAACAATCGCATTTTTAGGGCCATTCCTTTGGCAATTTTCCAAGCGGAAGAGGCCGTACAAAAACATTATCTAAGAAAATGGCTGAAAGATACTTCACTAAACGTCATCGAAATCAGAGATATCTTGGATTGGGGCTACTACATTGAAAGATTGGGTGGCACTATCCAAAAAATTATCACAATTCCAGCAGCTATGCAAGGGGTTAGTTTTTATAATATTATTATTTTATATAAACTCCAATCGAATTAAAACATGTAGGTTCCCAATCCAGTACCAAGAGTGTCTCATCCAGACTGGCTGCACAAAAAGATTCTGGAAAAGAGCGACAACTTCAAGCAACGCCGCATCACGGACATGTTCTCGCACAGCGCGAAACCGGCAGCCAATGAAAACGATCGCAACGGGGCGAATTCAGAGCCACCCGTGCGGGACATGGAGGACATCGTCGGCGACACCCCCAAAGTAACCAGACCCATGGTGACGGTAACGAAAAGAAAGCGCGGATCCGAGAAGGAGTGCGAGTTTACCGAGGAGGAACTGAACCTGAGCTGGAGAGAGGTCATAGGAAATCCGCCACCGTTTGGCGCAACAAAAGTAAGTCGAAAGACCATTCACGGTGCTGTTCTGAGAGGTGATTTTTGGACTTTCTGTGAAACCTAATTTTTTTTATATTCTAGGTCGTAACTAAAATTTTAAGAGCAAAATAAAAAAAATTTCACGGTTTGAATTGTTTTAATTGGATGTTTATTAAAAATATGTATGCACACTTTCAATTCTCCAATTAAAACTTGCGATTTTATTTAAATATTATCATAACTTTTTAAATCAGATTAAAGATTACTTAGTTAATTTCCTAAAAAAGGGTCTATACATTTTTTATATCTTTTACTGTTTTGTTGTAATACACGTTTAAAGTTTTAATTTAAGGTTAAATGTTTAGTATACATTTATTAAACAATAATTCTAAGGGTGCCACATTTTATTTAGGGCCGATTTATTCATTTTTGATTTATTTGACTTATAATTTCTTTGGATACTAGATATTGCCAAGACATGAAAGTTATCGGCCCGATAAACTTTACTAAAGATGAATAAACCGGTCCTTAGTTAAATTTCATGAATTTCTTCGTAACTTTTACTACAATTTTTCATTTTTGTTTGTAAAAAACACTTTAAAAAACTAAACAAAAATTATAGAATACGTATACTGAAAATTACAATTCAAACGTCAAATAAATTTTTAATAGATCTAAGTTTCATGGCAACCTTTAAGGATATATTAATTAAGGGAACATAAATGTATACGTCAAAGGTTACATTAAAAGTTTGAACGTTTATTGCAACAAAACAGTAAAATATATAAAAAAATTGTAAAAACCTTTTTTTAGTTATGCAAATATTAAATATTTAAATTAAATCGCTAGTTTTAATTTGATAATTGAAAGAGTGCATAATATTTTTAATAAACAGCCAATTAAAACAATTCAAACCGTCAAATTTTTTTATTTTGCTCTTAAAATTTTAGTTATGACCTAATTAACAAGAATATAAAAAAATTAGGTTTCACAGAAAGTCCAAAAATCACCTCTCAGAACAGCACCGTGCATTTCTTGCTCAATTAGTTCTCTAATGTTATTTAGGAAGGGCAACAGGCTTGGATAAGTTTCCAAAAAAGAAAGTGGGAATTCCAGTTGGCGCAGCGCAAAATATTTCAAACAACCGCGCACAAAAAATCCAAGCCAGCCATGAAATCCCTTGTGGGTTTCATACACAGGGCTCAGAGAACGCTGCTGACGTCCATGTGGCAAGTTTTGCAAATCGCCCCCACCAACACGCCGGGTGAATTCAAACTATGGGCCTTGGTAGGTTTTTCTTTGTTAATATTTATTTTCATTTTCTCTTGCTCTTGTTTGGATTTTAGGTGCAAAACGATTTGCATATGCTTAAACTGGTTGTCCCAAGGATGTTCTATGCTAACTTGAAAGTGCCGAAAGTGGCTGAAGAAGGCGCACTGTTCAAAAAATGCAACAGAACTTTACCAAGATCCAGACCCGTCTATAATTTGTACTTGTACTCAGTTCCAGAGGAAATATTTCAAGAACATGGAAAGTAAGTTATTTTACTTAAAAAACAATTTTTTTACAAAAATAAAGAAAAATTTAATAAAACAAATTTTCTAAAGAACAGAAAAAATGTGAGTTTCTCTGAGAATAAACTTTACAATAAATTAAAATTAGAAAGAAATAATTGGTTAGGAAAGTTGCTTTTTATTTTCAATTCATTTTTTTTAAGTAAAATACTGTTTCTGGCAATTACTGGGTGATTGGGAAATGAAATTTTTAATTTTATATTATAAAGAAGGCTGTACAAAACATTTCATAAAGTTTTATTTTAATTTTTGTTGGTTTGGGGACATTTTAAACAATTTAAAAAGTTTGGGTTTTTTTACAATAATTTTAGGCATATTTGGTCATTTTAAACAGTTCTATAGAAAGTTTGTTGAATTCTCAATTTTTGACAATTTCAGAAAATGTAGAAATTCAATGAAGGATAATATTATTTTTTAATTTAAAATTTAAGTTGATAAAGCACAAATTTTAAAAAAGTAACACAAAAACTAAAAATAAGGAAAATCTATCAAATTTTAATTAAAAACCCATTTGTTTGCGACTCACCCCTGTAAAATCTTTATTTATTGTGCGATTTTAACCGGATTTGTTTTAAACTGTAGATCTTGATAAACTGTATTTTTGAAGCAAAAAACGCCATATTTTTACAAAATACAAGGCTTACTATGTCAGTTTTTAAGAGTAAATTTTTAAGAATTCATATTAGCGATTTTTTAAAACAAAATCTAAGCACGGCACTGGATTCACCACCCCTCAAAACTACCCTATACTAAATTTTATTAAAAAATTTTAAGAAAAAAAAATGCAGAATAATTACAAAAATTTATTTTGTCAAGTTATCCATGAAAAAACATCGAAATAAAATTAAACTTATAGTAATAGTACCATGTTAATATTATTTTAATTTTATTTCAATGTTTTTTTCATGGATAACTTGACAAAATAAATTTTTGTAGTTATTTTTGTGCATTTTTTTTCTTAAAATTTTTCAATAAAATTTAGTATAGGATAGTTTTGAAGGGTGGTGAATCCATTGCCGTGCTTATATTTTGTTTTAAAAAATCGCTGATATGAATTCTTAAAAATTTACTCTTAAAAACTGACATAGTAGGCCTTGTATTTTGTACTAATATACCGTCTTTTGCTTTAAAAATACAGTTTATCAAGATCTACACTTTAAAACAAATCCGGTTAAAATCGCACAATAAATAAATATTTTACAGGGGTGAGTCGCAAACAAATTGGTCACACTGTATATAAATCAACTTAAGGGAAAAAGTTAAAGACAAAAAAATATTTCTTCAATTTTAAGCAAAAAAAAAATAATTTAAGAACTTAAACTTAAACAAAAGGCAACAAAAATGGATTGTTTTTAATAAAAAATTTAAGTTGTTAAGGCACAAATTTTAAAAAAATAATACAAGAACTAAAAATAAGGAAAATCTACCAAATTTGTATTCAAAATCCAAAAACAGTAGTTATTATAGGGTCAGAATTTCTCAAACGGGCCACCTGAATTAGGTCAAAATTAGTTTTTGATTGTAGATACATTTTTTCGATAGTATTTTACATCACTAACACAAATCCTAAAGGATTTTGTAAAAAAAAAATTTTCAATTGACATATTCATGATATTAAAAGTAAAAGTTTTTAGTAATTAAAAAATAAAAAAAAATCATTATGGCTAAACTAATTATCCGATTCCAACGATTTAACTAGCGTTGGAATCTTGTTTTGACATAGATTCTTTGTTATTTTTTTCAATTGTAAAATTTTCATTTAGGTCGATTTTTTTTTGTTTTTTTTTATAACAAATTCGGAAATAATTGGCTTCTGCGCCAGCTATCGACTCGAAAAAAAAAACACATATACTCCAATCATTTTTCGAAATTATGCTGCTGAGAAAAAAAAATGGCCCGCAGGTTCCAGACCACCGTAAGACGTCGCGTCACAAGCGCGTACAGCGTACACGGTTCGGAGCGTGAGCTGACACCGCGCGCGGCCACAAAAGGACGAATAACTTTTTGTCAACCTGCGGGCCATTTTTTTTCTCAGCAGCATAATTTCGAGAAATGATTGGAGTATATGTGTTTTTTTTCTCGAGTCGATAGCTGGCGCAGAAGGCAATTATTTCCGAATTTGGTATAAAAAAAACAAAAAAAAATCGACCTAAATGAAAATAGGACAATTGAAAAAAATAACAAAGAATCTATGTCAAAACAAGATTCCAACGCTAGTTATATCGTTGAAATCGGATAATTAGTTCAGCCATAATGAATTTTTTTATTTTTTAATTATTAAAAACTTTGACTTTTAATATCATGAATATATCAATTGAAATTTTTTTTTTTACAAAATCCTTTAGGATTTGTGTTAGTGATGTAAAATACTATCAAAAAAATGTATCTACAAACAAAAACTAATTTTGACCTAATTCAGGTGGCCCGTTTGAGAAATTCTGACCCTATAATTTAACTTAAGGGAAAAAGTTAAAGAATTAAAAAAAAGTTTTCTGAATATTTCTTAAATAGTGAGCAAAAATAATAGTTTAAAAAAACACGAAAATTAAAGGAAAAATGTCATAATTCAATAAAACTTAAACAAAAGGTAAAAGTTTGGGCTTTTTTAAAATAATTGGTCATTTTAGACAGTTCTATAAAAAAATCGTTGAATTCTCACTTGGTGGCAATTTCAGGAAGGTTTACTTGGATCAGAGCGACCCGAACGTGGAAGGCGTGTACGAGACGCAAGTGTCCCCCTTGTTCCGCGCCCTGCTCCAGGTGGGCTGCGTGTGCAAGGCCCTGCGCGCCGGCGGCAATCAAGAGAGCTTCTCGCTGGAGCAGCTGGACATGTGCAGCGTTGCCAGACAGCCGTACCTGCCGCGGGACTCGGTGCGCCATCTGTACTTCTACCATCACAAGCACGCCACCAAGCCGCAGCACATGTTCGCGTTGTTTTTGACGCCGCTGAAGAGGGCGACCATCGTCGTGGTGGACACCGTGCGAACCAATTTGATGCCGAACATGAACAATTTGTATCAAGCCGAGAGGGCTGCAAAGTGAGTACCATTCATATTATAAACACGTGTGGGAACAATTTTTTTTTTTGAAAAAGTCACAAAAACCAAAAACAAAATAGGAATTACTGAATACTTCTTAAAATTTAGAGAAAATCTAGAAATTCAAAGAAAATTAATTGTTTTTAATTCAAAATTAAAAAAAAACAAATAATAAGAAAAATCTATCATATTTTAATTCATTATCCAAAAACAATAGTTGAAAACTGTCAAAATTCAATAAAACTTAATCTAACTTAAATGATCAATTTTAATGTTCATTTCTTAGGATGGACACAAAAACTAAAAACAAGAAACATTTTAAAAACAAACAAAAAATACTGGAGTCAACTGAATACTTCTTAAAATTTAGGGAAAATATAGAAATTCAATGAAAATTAATTGTTTTTACTTAAAAATGTTAGTTGTCGAGGCATACATTTTATAATTGAAGTAATATAAAAACTAAAAATAATAAAAATCTATCAAATTTTAATTAAAAATGCAAAAATAATAGCTATTATAAATCAACTTAAGGTAAAAAGTTAAAGATTACAAAAAAGAATATTTCTTCAATTTTGAGCAAAAAAAAATTATTTAAGAAAACACGAAAATTAAAAGAAAAATGTCAAAATTCATTAAAATTTAAACAAAAAGTAATAAAAATGGATTGTTTTTAATGTTAATGTTAATTTCTAAGGGTGGACACAAAATCTAAAAACAGGAAACATCTCAAAAACAAACAAAAACAACTGAATACTTCTTAAAATTTAGGGAAAATGTAGAAATTCAATGAAAATTAATTGTTATAATTAAAATTTTTAAGTTGTTCAGGTACAAATTTTAAAAAAGTAGGTAATATAAAAACTAAAAATAAGATAATCTATCAAATTTTAATTAAATATCCAAAAATAATAGTTATTATAAATCAACTTAAGGGAAAAAGTTAAAGATGACAAAAAAGAATATTTCTTCAATTTTGAGCAAAAATAAATTATTTAAGCAAACACAAAAATTAAAGAAAACTCATAATTTAAGAAAACTGGATTTTAAAGTTAATATTAATTTCTAAGGATGGAGAAAAATCCTTACGAGGATCTTTTGCCGCCGGACGGTGTTACGTTTGAGGTGCGCGTCGAAACGGACATGAATCAAGTTAACAAACATTTCCAAAAAACCCTACAACAGTACAAGGACGAAAAAAAAGGACCCACCATGTTGGCCACACAATCCACAATGGACATTCACCAATTGCAAACGCACGTACCGTTGTTTGGAGAGTTTCCGCAAACTCAAATACACGTTCATGTATCACCAACCAATCTCCCATCACCCATCCACACATCTAATTTAATAACTATTTTAGGATATGGACGATCTCTATAATGTGATAGATTGGCAGAAAACAGGGGCCAGGGCGATCGTAAGGCACTATTTGAACAGCGAGCGCGTTTTGGAACTGATGGCGGAACAATGCCGATACTTCCACTTGCCGCTGGGAAATATGCCGGCAGATCCCGCCCTTTTCGGTTCCGATCTCTTTTATGCCAGGAATTTGATCAAAAATAACCACGTTTTGTGGTGTTCGCCACTGGACAGACCTGATTTGGGAGGTAGTGAAGAAAATGACTCCAGGTAAGAAATAAACCTATTCAACAAAAATTATTCTTCTGCAAGTTTGTAATATGACTTTTTATTATTCTAAATTCATTGAGCTTTTAATAAGCAGCTTTCAAACGCGTATGTTACAAACGAGTGTTTTTGACAATAAAGCCGAAACATGTTAAAAATATGCTGTTTCTTATGTTAAAAGTGATTTTGGTGGAATAAGTTGATATGGATATCGTCAATCAAGGTATGTACAATATTTTGAACAAAATTTTATTTGTGTTATAAACTTTATTTATTTATATTGAGTAATATATCCATCTAACTAAAAATATTAAATTTAAACAAACATTGGTATTTTTAAATATATGCAACACCTCGCAACACTTTAGTGCGATCTCATAAGATTTTTAGGTAGATAAATATATATTTTTTATTTTTTTAAAGGCACAATAAATTTAATATACAGTGTGACCCATTTGTTTGCAACTCACACCTGTAAAATCTTTATTTATTGTGCGATTTTAATCGGATTTGTTTTAAAGTGTAGATCTTGATAAACTGTATTTTTGGAACAAAAAACGCCATATTAGTACAAAGTTCAAGGCCTACTATGTCAGTTTTTAAGAGTAACTTTTAAAGAATTCATATTCATATAGCGATTTTTTTAAACAAATTTCAAGCACGGCATTGGATTCAGCACCCCTCAAAACGACCCTACAATCTATCCATGAAAAACACATTGAAATAAAATTAAACTTATAGTAATAGTACCATGTTACTATTAGTTAAATTTTATTTCAATGTTTTTACATGGATAACTCTTTTGCTCCAAAAATACAGTTTATCAAGTTATCAGTTATCAGTTTATCTACACTTGAAAATAAATTCGGTTAAAATCGCACAAGATTTTACAGGGGTGAGTCGCAAACAAATGGGTCACACTGTATGTTTCATTTCAATATTTTTATTGTATTATTTGCAATTTTTTTATAAATAAATTTTTGAATAAACATATTTTTTTATTTCCAGTAAATATACCTACTTTGACTTGTATACCTTTAGAAATATGTTTTTAGTCATTTGCTACCCTTTTGATACAGAAAAAGTGTTCAAATATTTTTGGCCACGTTTTAGGTCAAAATACCTGTCTGTGTAAGAAAATGCATTAAAATGTGTTTTTGTATATATAGACTGGTTGCGGATAAGACGGAAGGGTCGAGCGAGGTGTGCAACTCCCCCGGTTGGTACTCTTCGGTGTGCGTGGAGCTGGACATCGACAGCCTGGCCATCAACACTTTGCTCCAGGCGCACCACGTGACCGACGTCGAGGGCACGAGCAGCGCGACCGCCTTCGACGCCGTCGCCGCCGTCGGCATCGACGACATGATGAGCGGCAACGCCGCCGCCAGCGCCACCTACGACGAGACGGCGCGCTGCGCGGAAGCGTTCAAAGTCCTGAGGACGATGGCGACGGCCTGGATGAGGGACATCTCCCTCTACAGGAACGTCTTTGCCGATTTCCAGGTCATACATTTTTACAGGTAACTACACCTACTATTTATTCACTCATAGACACGGCATCTTCTTTATAAATTATACGCGTGCAATGCGACAATAAAAGTACCCACATAAAACAACAAAAATATATTTTTGCTTATTATTTTTGAAATATTATTCATTATCATTTAAATGTTTCTTAAATTTTTACAAATTTTTTTAGATACTTTACCTTATATGTTTCCTCAACATCACAAAAATATCTGGAAATATTTTCAAAATATTTACAATTCATTGCATATTTATTTGAAAAATGTTGTAAGTGTTGATAAAATGTAGCTTTTACATTTATATTTATAAAAGCCGTGTGATACTTTTTGTGTTTTGTGTGCTGAATTTTCTTGTTTTGAAGGTATGGTATTCTCATATCAGATGCGCGTCAAAATTTCAACTCTAAAACGCTTTTACGAATCTTTATAAAATTTTTGATAAAAATACTTTAACTTTTGTCTCAGTTACGTGTTCAAGGGTTTTTCGAGAAAATATCCTTAAAGCCTTTATATAATAATAAATAACGCTCAAAAAAAAACTTTTATAGGAATTTTTTTTAAAAGTAAATAAAAAATATGATGTGAAAGACCGCATTTTTGTAAGTATACCCCGAAAATGTTGTACAAATCAAACGAACAGTAACGAAAATACAGCGCGTCAAAAATTACCACTTTTCAGCAAAATAATCAAAAAGGAGTCATTTTTACCGACTTTAAAGCGCTGTATCTTCGTTAGTGTTCGTTTGATATGTAAAAAATTTTCAGAGTATACTACCAAAAATACAGTCTTTAACAGCATATTTTTTATTTACTTAAAAAAAATCCCTAAAAATTATTTTTTTTTATTAAAAAAAATATTTTCTCGAAAAGTTGAAGTATTTTTATACAAAATTTCATAAAGATTGGTAAAGGCGTTTTAGAGTTGGAATTTTTTTACTTATTATGCGTTAATTTTGACGCGCAGTGTACTTAAACAGTAAAATACCATAGCTGAAGATCTATTTTTGCACGCTAAAATAAAAGAAAATTTAGAACACGTCTTAATAAAAAATATTTAAAAAAAAGTTTATTTTATAAATAATGGATAAAAATAAAAGTAAAATATATAATAATACAAAAATTTGAAAAAAATCACAGAAATAAAAGAATATTTTACTTTCTACAATCTTGGTTTTTCTTTTAAGGTTTATTTTTCTAAATTTAGCTTGAGCCAACCATTGGCTCCGGATGAAGGCTAAAAAGAATTTAATTTAAATTAAAGTCTTCGGTTCAATCCCGCTCGGGGAAATACTTTTTTTGTTTTTAAAAATTATAAAACAATAATATTTTTGGTTTTCTAGGCGATTTTATTAGGTTTATGTTTGTTTTGACTGAATTATAGGCATTAGAACGAGTTTTTATTTTAGGTGGTTAAGATCCCCCAAAGCCCTCCTATACGACCCGGCTCTGTTAAGAACCCTGCAAAATTTGATGAAAAAGTTGTTTTTGCAATTGGTGTCCGAATTTAAACGGTTAGGTTGCACGATTATCTACGCGAACTTCAATAAAATCGTGATTTGTTCGAAAAAGAAAAACGTCGAGGACGCGTTGGGTAAAGTGGAATTCGTTGTGACTTCAATCAGGAATAAGGAGTTGTTCCATTCTCTGGAGATAACATACAGGTAAGAAGAATTTTGTAAAATGTCTGTGACTACATTTATGGAATATAAAATATTTGTAGGCAGTGCTGGGAACATTTGGTGTGGTTGGACACGGCAAACTTCGGAGGAATCCAGGGAAAACTTCCGGAAAACATGCAAAACGACTCCCAAGAACAAAACGACGAAGAGGAAGACGACGAAGACAAAGAGGAAGAAGTGAGCAAAAGCACTTAAAAAAACAACATAAAAACTTTTATAATCCGTTTCAGGCTTTGGTGGTGATGAAGTGGAACATTGCGGATCAGCAGCTGCCCGAGGGCGCCGGTTGCCGCAACAATTTCAACGCCGTGCTGGCAGGCTACATCAACGCCATCTACACGCAACTGAAGAGTCGCCATGGCGACACGACCGTGCACCAGGCCCTCTCGAGTCAACCGTCCTACGGCCTGGCGGCGCACGATGACGTCATCGAGTACGCCCAGAACTTGCTCCAAGGGGAGATCAGTCAAACGCTGTTTCAGTAAGTTTTTCACATTTGTACATTTTATTAGGAATGGCTCTTTATTCAATAAATTAATTGTTTGGTGTTTTTAGGATGACAGAGAAGATAAATTGCAAATTACAGCCCCTACCAGATGGCACTAGTGCTGCCTTGGAGTTTGTTAAAGCTATTTGTCATATTTTAGGACTTGATCCTGCAATGACTGACGCTGTGTGTAACTTGAAAAGCAATTTACTGAGACTCATAGGTAGGATAGATGCTGTTAATAAAACTAATCTTTTTAAATATTTTAATTTAACAACAGGTATTGGTGAATTTTCTGAAAAAGCCGTTTGGAAAGACCCCTCGGTTTCCTATGTGATTCCCCAAATAATCTGCAAAGCATGCAACCACTGCAGAGACATTGATTTAGGTAGAGATTCGCATCGATCGGAAACTTCTTGGTTGTGCCCCCTTTGCAATAGTTCCTACGATAATGCAGAAATTGAAAGTCTACTGCTCGATATTATAAGCAGAAAATTTTTAGCTTACAATCTGCAAGACTTGCAGTGTGTTAAATGTGGTCAAGTAAATGTTCATACAAATTCCTAATTTTGTTCCTCATGTTCATTAAATTTTTTTTTAGATAAAAATGGAAAATCTCATAAAACATTGCCAATGCGCGGCCGGATTCCGCTGTTTGGTATCAAAAACGGACCTAACAAAATTACTTGAAACATTTTTAACCCTCTCCGATAAATTTTCAATGCCTGCCCTGCATGAAACAGTGGACCAAACTCTTAAACTTATTTGTTAATTTTTATTTTTAAGACCAACTACTATTAATTTTTTTTAATAAATTATTTTACACAAGGATTTTATTTTATTTGTCAACTCAACGGATTTAACCTCACTTTTTCCCAATTTATAATAAAGCTAACTTCAGCCCGTGAGTAAAACGCTATTGTCACACCTCGTCAATTTATAATCAAGTTTTATGAATTACGAGTTTTATTATGCACGAGCGAGTGTTTAATAAAAACGAGTGTCTAGAGAAGTTTATAAAACGAGTTAATAACCTTTATTCGTTTAAAAAAAAATACCAAATGGTGTAAAACACGTCAAATATAAAAATGTGATAAAATTAGGAAACATTTAAAAATATAAATATAAGATACACAATTATAAGTACATAAGCACATTTAAAAATATATAATCATATGAACACCTTTAAAATAAATATACAAATACATAAACACATTTAAAAATATAATATATAGCATAAAAAACTTTACGATAAATGTTGCGGAAGATCATCATTAAAGAATTCCTCCATTGAGTAAAAGGATTTTTCCATTAAAAAAATTTTTAATTTATTTTTTACTTTCTTAGTCGAAAGATTCCTAAATTTTTCAGGCAGCTTGTTAAATACCTTAAGTATAGAATTTGGAACATTATTTTGTAAATAAGTGAAATTTAATTTATTATTTGAATAATTTGATTTAAATCTAGTTTCATAACAATGGAGATTCCTAAATGCTTCAAACAGATCCAGGTTCTTTTTTACAAACAAAACTGCTTCATATATAAAAAGGCTATAAATTGTTAAAAGCCTATGATTTATAAAATAGGGTCTACAAGAATCGGTTTCTTTTAATGAAAAAATTCTTCTTATACATTTTTTTTGTATTTGCATACTATACTATACTTTACAACAAAGAAGAATTTAAAGCCAATTTTATTTTACATCTGTCAACTTTAAACGGATTTAACCTCACTTCCCAATTTATAAAAAGCCAACTTCAGCCCGTGACTAAAAGGCCATAGTCACAGCTTGTCAATGTAGTAGATAAAAATATTAAAACGGTAAAAAATGAATAGACCCAAGATAAAATATATCTAGTAAAGAGCAATATAAAATGATTTAGGTAAAAAAAATGCATTTGTAAATTCTTTATGAAGTGCACTTCTATTATTTTTAAGTGCAAATGTATCAAATTTAAAATGTGATTCTGATATTTATTATTATATTCATGCAGTTATTAAAATAAACTCTTTTTTGTTGTACTTATTTAATGTATTTAACTAGGCATTATATAACAAAGACAGAGATTTTAGAATCCCATCTACTTCTCCATGTTGATTGGGTCAATGGTGGGCTCTGTGAATTTGAAGGTGGGGAACTTGGTCATGTCTTCGCCGGAACCACCGCCATACTGCTTTGCCACCTTTTCCAATTCAGTTTTCAACTCTTTCTCCAATTCTTTAGTGGGCTCCACCAACTTGCCACTGACAAACAAAGGAATGTTAGGGATTACTTGCTTTAAATTTGATGTATTCTTACCCAGAGCTTTTTGACTTGTACTCCCTGATTTTGTCGACAAACAACTGTTGAATTGGGTCGCTGGCTTTCTGTAAGCACGGGGCCAAGATTCCGATGTTGCGACTGTGGATGGCAGTGCGGACAGACGATTTAAGCCCCGACAAGATTTGAGTGTTCAACATCTAAAAAATTCGTTAAGGTTATCTGTTATGTAATAAGTAATTTTTATGTGATATTAAGCTACTTTAGTGGCAAACGAAGTTGGATTATTGTGGGCGGATTAGTTCTATACTTACTTTTGTTGATAATTGGTTTAGAGAAGCTAAAATAAGGTGATAATCTCCCGAAAAGGCAGATCAACTTTGGAATTTGACAAATAGTAATTTTTGGGGAATTTTAAGTATTTGGTTAGCAATACTTTTTCCACAGACATTTGAAAAGATTATAGATAGAGAAATAAATTGATTATTTCTTATTTGAAATTACTCTATTGAACGTAAATGCCTATGAAATTATTAAAAAAATAAAATAAAATATATAAAATTTGATTGTTTAATAGTCTTTGACAAAATTTTCTTGTAGTTATATGTCGATAGTGGTTGTCAGAAGGTGACACGTCAGAATTTGTGGTTATAACAACAGAAAAAGTAAACGTTAAAATATGGTCTCAATCCTGAATTCTATCGATACAGGGCACGAGGATATGATCCACGATGCCGAGGTGGATTATTACGGATTACGTTTGGCTACCTGTTCATCGGATAACAGCGTAAAAGTGTACGACATCAGAAACGGCACTTCTACCCTTCTGGACGACTTAAAGGGGCACTTCGGACCCGTTTGGCAGATCGCATGGAGTCACCCCAAGTACGGAAACCTTCTAGCTTCGTGCTCTTACGATAGGAAAGTGATAATCTGGAAGGAGCAGCAACGGAAATGGGCCAAATACTACGAGTACGCCAATCATGATTCCAGCGTTAATTCGGTACAATTCGCGCCTTCAGAGTTAGGTTTGATGTTGGCATGTGGAAGCAGCGATGGATCCATATCAATTTTAACTTACCAACCTGAAACTAACAGCTGGGATGCCAAAAAAATACAGAATGCTCATGCCATCGGTTGCAATGCTGTTAGTTGGGCGCCCGCCATTACTTCAGTGTTTAATAACAACGAAACAGACCCGCAGACGCCTGTCAAAAGATTAGTATCAGGTGGGTGCGATAATTTAGTCAAAATATGGCGCGAAGATGGCGACCGATGGGTGGAAGAAGCAAAATTAGAAGTGCACTCTGATTGGGTAAGGGATGTTGCCTGGGCCCCTTCTGTTGGCATCCACAGACACACGATCGCCAGTTGTTCTCAAGATCGTAGAGTTTTTATCTGGACCAGCACAGACTGTATAAATTGGAACTCGACTGTACTGCACACATTTGACGATGTTGTTTGGAATGTAAGCTGGTCTTTGAATGGAAATATTTTGGCGGTTTCTGGAGGAGATAACAAAATAACACTGTGGGACCAAAATTCAGAAGGAACATGGCAGTGTATTAGTGATGTTGCCAAAGGACAGGGGCAAATTAATTAAGCTTATCTTTATTTCTTCATTTTAACAAATTTATATTATGCTTACTCGTTTATTGTAATAAAATTTGTTTGCTTATAGGTTTTAGAATATATTTGTAAATTAATACAATGACTTTTATTTTAAATTTCGCGCATTTACTACTAGCAGAGTAGTTCAAATGTACCAATTTTAGTTATACCAACTTTGGGAAAATAATTTTATTGACACTTCGGAATTTTTTGTTGGTACTGCTACATAACCTAACTTTTATTTACTAGGTAAATTTGGGCTTTAATAGCAAATAAACAATACAAGAACCGTTTTTTAGCCTTACTAAGCAAAAATGAGATACACGGCGGCGTTATTCAAGTCTAAAGTAGCGAGACCGATACCGCAAGAACCAGTGCCGTTTCAGGAAATCCTCCCTTTAAAACTGAAACCTGCGGTTTCGGGAAAAGGGGATCGGACATCGGAGGTTTGCTGCCTGCAGGAAATGTCCGTGATGTTGGCCTGCTTCAAGAAAAACGAATTTTCGCAACAGTTGTGTTCGAAGGAGATCGACTCTTTCCAGAAATGCTACACCGGGCATTTGGCCACAAAAAAAGTGAAAAAAGATAAGGAGGCCAAGGGTGTTTTGACGCCGGGAGAAAAGCAACTGTCATCCAAACAAGTGAATACTTTGCTAAAGAAATTTCCTAATTTTAAGTGAGTTGTATAGATAATAGTAGGTAAATTAAAGTTTTGTTAAGTGTTAGTTTAGTGTTTTATTATTACTCATTATGTACACAATTTATTGGAGGTAATAAAAGTATAGTTTATTGATGATAGTAAACATTTAACATGATCCATTTACGCATTTAGCGGAGTTTATGTTGAAATATTGGTTTGCTGGGCAATTTATTAACGTTGATGTATAAGAAAACCAGTACCAGTAACACTGGTAATAAGAAGTACAAGTTGGTCCTGGCCAATTACCATTTCTGGTACACTTTGGAGCCCGTTGAGGAACATCTGAAAAATATTGAACACATTAAACACAAATATGCTTTTTATTAAATAATCTTACATGGTTTCTTGGTGGTTGTTGGTTTTTTGGTTGTAGTGAATTCTACAAAAATACAAACATTTAGATGTTTTGTGAAAAATATTAATTTCATAAAATCAGTTTTATGCTTCAAAATGGTTTATTGCAAAAATTAGTTTTAAAGCCAAAAAAAAATTAAGTATTAAAATTCTTAACCTTCTGTCAAAGTTGTTGTTTCAGGTTCCAGTACTGAAGTTGTTACAGGCCCTAAAATTGAAATTGTAACAGGTTCTGTAACAGTAGTTTTCCTTGTGGTTTCAGGTTTTTGCGTTGTAGTACTTGTAACAGGTTCTGCAACAGTCGTTTCTTTTGTAGTCTCAAGTTTTTGCTCTGTAGTAACAGTTGTTTCTTTTGTAGTTTCAAGTTTTTCTGTTGTAGTGATTGTAACAGGTTCTGTCAACAACACTGTTGTTTCCTTTGTTTTAACAGGTTCTGTATCACACCAAGGTGTAGTTGTTTCTGGTGTAGTGGTTTCAGGGGTTGTAGTTTCTTTCCGAAATGGTACACACCTGAATTTATCCTTAATAATAATAATTTACTGAAAAATATTATACTTACGGATAATTAAATCTTTCATCGCATGTTGTGTATGAGGGACACTTTATTACGCGTTTTTGTAGCACTATCCATTCTAGTGCTGTGCTACAAACTGTGAAAGTAGTTTTACTTGTACATTTTACATTGGATGGGGAACATCCCAAATCTTTACCATCAGAATTTATTCTAAAGGAAGTTGCCACAGAAAGCAGCAATGCAAACTTTAAAAAAATTGTATATATATATATATATAGGTATATTATTCAATAATATATTGCATATTGAATGGGCTTATTCATGATACAAATTTGTACCTTGGAAAAATATCAAAATGTTTGAAATTGCTTTCTATATTTTTTAAAATTTTGTTAGACCTAAAAATACCTAAATTTTTTCACAATAAATATTTGTTCTACTTCTAACAGTAACTCGAAAATAAAGCGGTTGTGGAGCTAAGTTTATATGAACTTCTTTCAAGGATTAAGCTCATTCAGTATAGTATATACATATGTATTTTTATGCTATACTTACTGTGAAAATGACGGTTTTCATTTTAATTGATTTATCTACAAAAGCCAAATTGAAACTGGGAAATTCACAATTGTATGTCTCTATTTAATTGTTTATTATTATAATAAAATATTCATGAATAATAAATAAAGTACATATAATAAAAGGCTAATTATTGCCAGGATAAGTATTTCAACCTAGGGGATCAATGTTGCGTTAAAATTCCAAGTATTTGCAGTGCAATAAAGTTTTATTATATTTGCATGTTGATTTGTAATAGTTTTTTCGGTACTTGTAAAATATATATGATCAATTCATGTGAAATTTAGAAATCCTTACTTTGGCTTTTATTAAAATGTAGACGTTCACTTAAACAAACCGACTAAATATTATATACTGGATTTACCAACTTGCTTTAGCTACTTGACACGTGTAACTTCGGCTTAAAGTTAGCAACATGTTCTTAGTCACAGGCTGAAGTTAGCTTTAAGTTAGTTGACAGTTGTCAAATGTCATATAATCGGTAAAATAAATGTGAAAATTATTTTATCTCAATACAAAAGTATTAAATAGTTTCTTGACGCCAATATTTGATTGTGGCCATAAAACATTCTCTTCATTTTTACTGTAAAAACTGCTTCTATATCAGTTGTTAGTCTATTTTCAAGGCATACATTTTGATTTACATAGAAAGGGTTGGGTAACATGGGCAGTTGTTTATTTTAATTATTATTATTTTTAGATTGTTTTTTCCTAGGTCCTGAAATAAGTGAATCCTCGGGTCAGTGATAAATAAACAGGCAATATACTTTAGACAATGGTTTATTTTTAAAAGTAATAATACAATTTATTAGGTACATTTTACTTAGTAGAAAAAGTATACCAAAACAACTGTGGAACCAATAGGTTTCAGATCATAAGGTAAAAATAAAAATTATAAAATGTCATAATTAATGTATCAATCAATTAGCGGGAAACAACATAAAAAAATATTTTACCAAACTTAGCGAACTTATTATGAATTGCATAAAATGATTAGCATAGAATAACAGGATAAACTTAATAAAAAATGATGTATAAAAAATAATGAATACTGTCGTCGACGATGAAAAATCGTAGGTTGTATATAAAGTAAATAAACTGCGCGTCAAAATTAACGCATAAAAAGTAAAAAAATCCAACTCTAAAACGCCTTTACTAATCTTTATAAAACTTTTGGATAAAAATGCTTTAACTTATATCTAAGTTTATGTGTTTAAGGGTTTTTCAAGAAAATATCCTTAAAGCCTTTTTATTTAATAATAAAAAAACGCTCGAAAAAAACTGTTTTAGGGATTTTTAATATGCTGTGAAAGACCGTATTTTTGTTAGTATACCCTGAAAATGTAGTACAAATCAAACGAACAGTAACGAAAATACAGCGCTACAAAGTCGTCAAAAATGATCACTTTTCAGTAAAATAATCAAAAAGGGGTCATTTTTTCCGACTTTAAAGCGCTGTATCTTCGTTAATGTTCGTTTGATTTGTACAAAATTTCAGGGTATACTAACAAAAATACGGTCTTTAACAGAATATTTTTTATTTACTTAAAAAAAAGTTATGTTTTGAACGTTTTTTTATTATTAAATAAAAGGGCTTTAAAAATATTTTGTCGAAAAACCCTCGAACACGTAAATTGAGATATAAGTTGAAGTATTTTTATCCAAAATTTCATAAAGATTGGTAAAGGCGTTTTAGAGTTAGAATTTTTTTACTTATTATGTGTTAATTTTGACGCACAGTGTGGCAAACCATCCTAATCAATTTAATAGAGTTAACCATATAAATGATAATAAATCAGCTAAGTGTGGATTTAGGCAATAAAAATAAATAAACAAATACACACTAGGTACACTTCAAGTCCTTTAAGCCCTGTTTGTAGTATTTGTAGTAGTTAAAATACCCCCACCCATCCCAAGATAAAAAAATAATTGTCACTATCACTTACATATCTAAACGGGATGCATTGAGGGGTATCGTATCGTGTAATTGAAAAACCCCCTCGTGTAAAAGCGCACAATTAAAATTACAGGTGATAACTTAAAAACCTAAATAAACGTTTATAGAACTAGCTAAATATACAGGTAAAATTAGGAAGATGTAAAGTGTAAGGGCGCGCGCCAAATTATTCCGGCCTCATTTATCTTAAAATCAGAAAATTAATTCTCGTATACACTTTTTGGAACAATTCGGCGCGCGAATGTTTTCGCACTCGCGTTGTTTCCATTTTGCAAACAACACCTGTTGTTGTTCTTCTTCTTACGTTACGCCAAGTAACCTTACCTATATGTATGTATGTATGTATTTATGTACAAAATTGGTTTTTCGAGTGCGAGGCTCATTTCTCGTTCGTGTCCTGTTTGATGCGTTCGCGCAGCCTTTTGCTGGGAGGCTGCTCCTCCACGTCCTCCAATCCCGGCAGTTGGATTTGGGTGTCGGACGCTTCGGAAGGCTGCAAATGTTAAACGGTGCCAAATCAGTGGCGTTACAAAAAGTATTTTTACTTGTGAGTCATTCCACATCAAGGGGTCAAATCAGAGAGGCGTATGCGCCGAAATGAACATTTTACACACAGTCCTGAGAAGATAGAAACCTTTCAAACTTCCGTTTTTTTAATTATTTGGTGGTAAACAGATTTTGTAAAAAAATGGGACATTTTGTTTGAATTAACCTTCATTACAAAAATGACACAATCAACAATAATTAAGATAAATAAAATACACAGTGTTCAAAGTTATCTGCTCACCATTGCTATTAGTTAGCTACAAAGTTGATTAAATTAGCAATTTTTTCTTCTGACTATTTCCCTCATTATAATATGAACCAATCAAAAGCCTTGAATTTTCGAATAAATTTCGTTTAAATAAGCGATTAAATCACTAGAACTATTTAACAGCGATTAAATTTTTGGCTCCATGTTGGATTTTTGTGGTCTAATTTACAAGTTTTAACAAACATTTTTTAAAAAACAATAAAATATAAGTTATCTAGTTTACGAAATATCAATTATTACTTATTACATACCTTAAATTAATGGAATTTTCTTTAAATTTATTTTATAAATTTTGACACATACGTCAGAATTTATGAATTCGAGAAATATTCTAGACGTATATCACTCAACCTATAAATTTAATCTGTCAAACTATGCTCAGTAAGTTTTTTATTTGATTTTTCTTTTTGGAAAATAGTTTTATGCAAAATAATTAAAAATAAAACCCCTCGACGCTACGCGGTCTCGTGATTTTATTAAATTATTTTGCATTCAACATTTTCCAACAAAAACTAAACAAAAAACTACTGAGCCTAGTTTAACCGATTAAATTCATATATGATTAAACGGTGAAAAACGAAAAAAACAATTGAACGAAAAGAAAAATTAAATGGGACACCCTGTAAATTTTTACATATTTTGAATACATCTCCAATTTTGAAAGACAATTTAATATGAAACAAAAAATCATTATTGCCTAAACAACTTTATGATGGTTGTTGAAATAACCATAAGTTATTGCTTTAATTTAACAACAATTTAGAAAGTTTATTAATTGTTTATTTTTAAGTTTAACAATTATAATTTTATGTTCCAAATTAAATTGTATTTCAAAATATGTAAAAATATACAGGGCGTCCCATTTAAAAAATGTTATTTTGGTAAATTATTTTGGAAATCTGATGTTTAAATGTTTTTCTGGTTTTACCATTTTAATCAGGAGAAAAAATGTTAAAATGCCACCAATTTGCTCATTTACCAACTTTGTAGCGCCAATTATTTTATTTTATTATTTTAATGTGGCCTAATTAAAAAAATAATAAAAATAACAATTATTTTGTTAAATAAAAAAATCACGAGTTTTTTGTAATAAAATCCAGCCGGAACTTTGAAAAGTTTTTATCTTCTCCTGTAAAATACGAAAATCCGCTGATTTCATTTACGCGTGCGGCACAAAATAAACAATTCTATTCTATTACAGTTATCCATCGTTTAAAAGGGGATTTCAAAATTCAAACACCTTTATTAAAGAGGAGCAAAAATATTAGCGATTCTTCTTTTTTTAAGTCACAGAATTATTTGAGCCTAGGCTATTTAGCTGTTGACGCTTTTCTTATAATATACAACGCAGCAATAAACAAAGTTTGCTGTCAAATTGATAATCAAACAACTTTTAGGCTTTGCCACTATTGGAAAATTAAAAATATTTCGTAATATTCTTAAGTTTAATAAAAAAAATTAAAACTATGGTTATAAGAATTTAAAATCAATGTTTGTCATCTTGACAGTAAACTTCAAACGCGTAAAGGTAGCGCTGCATATTAAAAATGTATTTATTTATTAATATTATTATTATCAAACTGTCAAATTTCAATTTTAAGGTTAACTTATCATAACCCACAAATTATCCCTAAAATTGACATTTGACAGATTGACGACAAAATGCCATTTTACCCATTAGATAGGTATTTGAATCTGTAATAAAACAATGCAATGTCCACATTTAAAAATGTAAAGCATAAAAATAAAACTTTTTGAAAGATTTATTTTCTGCGCACCGTAAGTTAATTAACCGCGGATTTCCGTATTTAAAACCCATTCCCACAAAGTTTGAGCAAAATCTAAAAAAGTGCAGCAACTTTTTTTCTCTTTTTTGATATAATTTGGAATTATGAAAAAAAGTCAATTTACGAAATTACAATAAAAATCACATAAAGTGAACCTGGATTATGGCCACTAAATAAACCATGCTTTATATGATATTTGAGGGGTTGATGTAAATTTTAACCTCACAATTCACAAAATGTAAAAAATACGACAAATTAAAACAAGTATTGAAAAGCACGAAATGCAGTCAAAAATTATAAAAAACGTTTACATTATTAAAATAAGGCCAATATTTTATTATAAATACAAAATTATTATTTAAAGGATAAGAGCTTTAATTTAAAAAAAAGTTATTTTTAAGCCTGATTTATAGATTGCCTTCCTTTCTTCCTTCCTTCCTCTTGTAAAATTGTATTGTTCATCTTTTACTTGAGGAAGGGAGGAAGGCAATCTATAAATCAGGCTTTAGTTTACACTATTATGAATATAGACTATTTTTATTTGGCCGAAAGGTAAGGTAAGAAAAAAATGAAAAAGCATGCCACCACCATTTAACAATCGACTGAGTGACTGACATACCTGGGCATCTATTCCACCAATGATTGTGTGCTATGTACAGAAAACATAAACAAATTCAACCACATCCCGTCAACAATTTATTCATCAACAACAAATTAAGCCAGCTTACGGACTACAACTTACCTGCGTGATTTTTATACTTTTACGGCAAAATCAAATTAAATAAAAAAGAAAAATAAGAAGTCAAACACAAAAAATAAATTATCAAAATTCGGGTAACGTCCGGAAGTATTTCAAAAAAAGAAAAACTCCCTGACATTTCTCGGTTTTCCAGAAAATGGCCTTGATAATGGGGTAGTTAAATTTTTTCTGACCTATACTTTTTATGGTTTTATTCAAGGCGTTTTGTAATTTTAAACATTTCTGTGAAATCGGAATTTCAATTGAGTTTACCGTTTTCGAGATATTTACAAAAAAAAAATCTCCCAATTACGTCACTAGGCTATTGACAACGTTGCCAGCTTTTTCTATGGTTGCCAGTGTGTTTAGTTTAAGATTCTTACGATAGATGGCGCCACGTTATAATATTTTAGTTTTAAAACCACTTGATCTATAATTTTAGTTGAGAAGAAGAAGAAGAATTGATTTTTTGTCGTTTCTTTTTTTCGGGTTATGCTTTTTTTAAATTTAGATTATTGAAAATCAATGTTATTTGTAATTGATATTAGATAAGTGATTTATTAATAACGGACTCCAAAGCAGAGGAATCTTGTGGAATGGTTGGTTACATTGAACACTGGAGCTTTTAAACAAATAAAGTAAGTACCTATAATTATTAATATATGAATGAAAACAACACTGTTTTAAAGTTTCACTAATTTATTTATGTTTATAATAATTAACAATTGTTTCGCTACACTGTAGCTTCTTCAGAATTAGTACTTATTTTAACAAGTGGCGGTATTTATATTAACAACAGGCAGGTAATTTAGAGTCTTTGGAAATTAATAAACTAAAGAAAAAATCTGATATTGTTCTTAATGACCAAATTGAAACTAACAGCTCTCCTTTGCTAAATTTATTTTAGAGTGTGTACTTGTAGTACTAAAAAGTAATATTTATTAATATTATAATATTATATTAGATAGGATTTCCCAAACCCTCAGTTTTTCCAAAATTATGTAATTATATAAATTTTACCTTCAGGTATAATGTTTATATAACATTTATCTTCTCAAATTACCTGCCTGTTGTTAATATAAATACCGCCACTTGTTAAAATAAGTACTAATTCTGAAGAAGCTACAGTGTAGCGAAACAATTGTTAATTATTATAAACATAAATAAATTAGTGAAACTTTAAAACAGTGTTGTTTTCATTCATATATTAATAATATGGAGTTTCATCAAGTAAAGGTCGAAACAATCAACAACCTATAATTATAATCATATTTTGTCGTAAATGCATTTTATTAGTATAATGCCTAGTTCTTTATATTCTTTCAGATATATCTTGGACTCTAAAATATCAAACGGTAATATGATACCTCGTAATAAGGAAGATAGGTACTTAATGAATTTGGTGACCATCTTTCACTCAACTGACAGTGACAGTATTTGTACATAACCTCTTCGGGTATTTTCTGACATAACCGAATGAAATCATTAACAAGACAACTTGACAACAGGGTAATTTTCAACCAATAGAAATCTTAGAATGTTGGTCACATGGCGAGGTTTGTGACGTCATAAAAATTTATATTTTTTCGTAAATATCTCGAAAACGGTAAACTCAATTGAAATTCTGATTTAACAGAAATGTTTAATATTAGAAAACGTCAACGAATAAAACCATAAAAAGTACTTTTCGACGTCAACAAAAGTATATATATTTTTTTCGACGTCATATTGAGGGAAACTCACCTGGACGTCCATCCCTTGGGGCTCGGGTTTGCACTTGGCCTTGGGTCTCTTCTTGGCGTTCTCGTGGTTGAGCATGGACAGCGTGATGCTGGTCTTGGTTTGCGGCTGGTACTGCAGCTCGGGCGGCAGGAAGACGCGGTTGTTGACGAACTCGCCGGGTTGCGGCGAGAAGTACATCATGGGCACGCGCGTCTCCGACGGGAAGTCCTTCAGGTCGTAGTTGGACGTCTTCGTCAGCAGCAGCCCCGAACTCAGATCGCACAGCGCCCACATTTTCTGCAATTTCACACAAGTGTTTTTTACACTCTACACTCTAATCCGAACTAATACCTATACGGAATGTCCCAATAGTCATGGACTGCAGAAAAGGGGTGGATAGGAAATTATGTTTTAAGACAAGAATTGTCAACAATTTAAAATCAAATTCAAGAACTAAATCTTTGCATTTTCATGTTTTGCCAAAATATTCAATATAATACATATTTGTTGGGGCAAAATTAACTAATGATAACTTTACCTAATATAATTTATATTAAAGTTTGGACTTTTTCAGAAATCCAACAAAAAATAATTGTTCTACAAACATCACCTTAAAATAGAATATTTTATATTTAAGTCCTCTAAAAACATCTGCATTTTAAAATTTGAGTTACGTAAATATTTTAATGCATGAGCATTTTATGATTAATCAAAAGTCAGTTGTAATCTAGATGTACTCAAGACAACAAGTAAAGTATTTTCTTTCCAAAATTCGGTATATTATTTCTCCTTACTAATAATAGTTTAAAGTGTTTAGGATTTTTTTCTTTTTGATTTTGAGCGTTTTTTATAATTTTTCTTTGATTTTTAAATAAATCTTTTTTTAATTTTTAATTTTTTAAATCTATTTATAATGTCAAATATATTCTTAAACTATCAAACCATTACTTTAAGAATTGTCTAAAAATTTCCAAAAAAAATCCTAATTTGTCTATGTTCAATAAACTTATAGGCTAACTCATGACTAATCAGAATGTCAAAATATGACCTTACAAAAAAATACAGACATTTTCGCCCGATTTTAAAAGAAACATTTATGAATAGTTTTATTATTTACAATCCGTAAAAAATTGGAAATTTTTTGAAAAATTAACTTTTGCATTTTTTTTCGCAGTACCCTTTTAAAAAAAAAATACAGACATTTTCGCCCGATTTTAAAAGATTTTTTTATCAATAGTTGTATTATTTATAATCCGTAAAAAATTGGAAATTTTTAGAAAAATTGACTTTTGCATTTTTTTTTCGCAGTACCCTTTGAATAAAGTGAAAAAAATCAAAAGTAAATTTTTCTGAAAATTCCCCAATTTTTCCATTTTTTTTCGGAAAAATTATTTTTTTTTCAACGGCTCAATTTTCCGGAAATTTTAAAACTCTAACCGTGAGTAGGGCTGTATTGACTACATTTTATAAAATTTTATTAGGTTAGGGTTTTAAAATTTACAGAAAAATTGAGCCGTTCCGAAAAATAATGGAAAAATTGGGAAATTTTCAGAAAAATTGACTTTTGATTTTTCTCATTTTATTCAATAGGGTACTACGAAAAAAAATACAAAAGACTAATAATTTCCAACATTTTACGGATTATATCCAAACACTGAAATAAAAAAAGTGAATTTTCGACGCTGATTATAATCATAAATTATGATTCATAATGTTATGATTATAATAATTATTAGTTTTATTTTAATTCAGTAAGAATATTCCACTGGGTCACAAAAAAACATATTTGGTGCTGTTAATACATACATAACTTTCGTTGTATTTGATACTTTGATTAATAAAATTATAATTTTGTAATTTAACTTTTATAAATCATTCATTATTCTTAATTGTATATTTTTGCAAAAAAGACCCAACCGACACGTTTATTTCCTTAAATCAATTTAATTTAATTCAATGTTTTATTTATTTTTTCTGTAATAACGGATTTTAAAAAAAATAGAATCTTGGAATATGGATATGGTGTCGAGTTTCACAAAATTCATAAAAGTGTCAATATCTCAAAATCTCCAAAGAATATTGTTGACTTTTGGGACACCCTGTATATAGTTCTATATAACTGAATCAGTGAGATTAAGAACCTAAGTTAAGAACAGTCCAAAATTTTTATTTTGACAATTCATTTTCTAAAATCAATTTAAAAGTTTAAAATGCTATTTTGTGAGAATATATAAAATATTTTAGAAAAAATGATTATTATATTTTATAAAATAGTTGAAATATTTTCACAAAAATGCATTTTGGACTATACAACTAGATTTTATAATATAATTTGTCAAAATTTTAACTTTTGGACTTGTACTGTTCCTAATCTTACCGATTCAATTGTATATAATTATTTACAATTATATAGAAGTATCTATAAACTATAAAACCTAAATTCAAAAATGCACCATTTTTTAAAATTAAATTAAAAAAATTAATTAGTAAGATTCTTTAAGTATATTCTGTTCTAAAGAAAGAATTGATTTTGAAAGAAATTTATAAAAAAAGAAAATACTTGAAAATCAACGAATTAATACTTAAAACACTAAAAATATTACATAAGCTGAACAAGGGAGAAATTATAGACAACAACATAAACCTATCAAAACATGAAGGACTACACAATTACAAAACTAGAAATAGGGAAGAAATAAGAATACATAGAGCAAAAACAAGTACTAGTCAAAAACCGCTGATGCATGAGGGAATAAGGAAATATAATGAATTACCAGCAAAAAAACCAAAGATTTTAAAAAAGTGATTGAAGAATATATAATTAATTTAAGGGACTGAAATATTAAATTATATTTTATTCGTAAAAAGACTGTAAATATAAATAGACAATTTCTAAATAAATTTAAAAAAAGTAAGAGATATTTTTCAATGATAATAAGGCAGAAAGAAGAAGGAAAATAATGGTACTTACATAATTGATGGAGTCGTCGTCGGGGCGGACGGCGTCCTTGTGGTTCTTCATCTTCTCGATTAAGGACTTGTAGAAGCCGTAGGAGAAGGAGTCGGTCTTGGTGACTAAGGGCTCGAGCACGAACCACAGGCACTGCTTGGCCTTCTTGAGCTGCTCGACGTCGTCCCAGCGCGCGAGGTGCGGGTCGTGCGCCAAAATGGGCACGGCGAAGACGAGCATGTAGTCGGGCAGGATGTGAGGGAGCTGGCCCATCGCCTTGTCGATGTTGCCCGAGCCCATCGTCAGCGTCTTCACGTAGTCGCGACGCTTGTTGATGTCGGCCGTCATGTAGTTGCGGATCGTAGTCTTCAGCCGGTTCTCCACCTCCCGACCAGCCAACGCGTAGTAACTGCAACACACGGTTGGGTTTTTACTCCTGTTTTTTAATCGTCTCGACAACATTTACAAAAGGTTTCTATACTAAAATTAATTTTCCCTACTAATTTATCTTTACATACAATGTCACGACTCCCAGCGAATTTTTAAGTGCTATTTTTAGGATTTTAAAAAGTTGCAAACGTTTTAGGAGATAAGTTTTATCAACAATAATAATAATAATATTATTGATAAAACTAAACCAAAATATTTTTTCTACTCCCACCTTTAAAACGCCCTTTATCGTACATGTTTCCATGACACTAAGTGACTTTTTAAATTCACATTGACAAGTTGTGGCTTTACGGCGCTTTAGTCACGGGCTGAAGTTAGCAACAGGTTTTTAGTCACGGGCTGAAGTTAGTTTTAAGTTAGTTGACACTTGTCAAATGTCATACAATCGTTAAAATAAAGTGCCTTTCTTGTAAAATAATACTAAATGTGAAAATTATTTTATTATCTCAATACAAAAATACAAAAGTATTAAATAGTTTCTCAACGCCAATATTTGAAAAGTTTATATGAACATTGTACTGACCTTTTAATTTCGCCGGCAGTAAACTATAACTTAAATTCGGGCATGGACTCTACTGTAAAGTCCTCATAAAACATTTTCTTTACCTTCACTATGAAAAACTGTCAATTTTCAAGAAATACATTTCGATTTATAACCTTTATGATTGTGTTTATAAAATGTAAAAATGTTACATTTGACGGTGACACACAGTTTCCCCTGTTCTTTCATAGATGGCGCTCTATACAAATTTTTGATTTAAATAATTTTAAGATAATAATAAGTATTTGTCGTAGAAAAAGTATAGTATGCACCTCGTTTATAAACGTTTCTATACACTCATTAATTTAAATTAAATTCATGTATAAAATGGCGTTTATCAAACTTGATACATAATATACTATAAATGTCTTATAGGGTTGGTTTGTAGGTATCTCTGTTTTGGATTTATTGCGTTGTTTTTTCCTTTCTTAAAACTTTAATTATATCAGAGCTGTTCCTTTTTTAGTGTTTAGTTCTACTGCAGTAAAGGCACTCTGTAGGTCCGATTTATTAATTGTGTACTTTAAAGATAAAATAGTTTTTTTATTAATTAATTTTGTTTTGATTGAAGTCAAGTTGATCATCCAATTCACAATTTTTTTTTACACAACCATAGGCAACCCAGATCACTAATTGATGTTTAGGTGTTTTTTATCATAATTTAATTACGTGACAAGTGGTTTATGGCGCAATTTTAAATAGTAGGGGTCGGTTTTGTGAAAAATATTAATTTTAAATCAAAATAAAAGTGTATAGGTGCATTTGTTACTTTACTTACAAAAAAGCGATTTTAACACATATCCATCGATAAAATTAGGTGTCCCTGAATAATACCACATTTGCGAGACAAAATAATGCGATATAATTAAATTTTCCTCTACACAAAAGTTGATAAGAACCAAGATACAGGGTGTCAAAGTTAAAAGTTATTTTTCGATTTTATTAAAAAACTAACGTTTTTGCTAGGGTTTTAATATTTTCGAAAAAATTAAGCCAACAGAAAAAAACCGTTTTCTTCGGGGAAAAAACGAAAAAGTTGGGAAATTTTAACTTTTGCGTTGTTTTCTTTTTTTAGGGTAATGCAAAAAAATGCAAAAGTGAATTTTTCTGAAAATTTTCAAATTTTTATCCATACACTGATATCGAAAAAAAAGTGAAATGTATCATTATTTAAATTTAATAAAATTTAGTAAAATTCTATTTTTTTTCCTAGCGGACCGCAAAAAGAACATATTGGGGCAACTTTCGTTTTAACAGTTTGACTTTATTATTTTTTAATTGGATATTTTCAATGGACTTTGTTTGCAAAAAAAAACAACCAACTTTTATTACTTTATTATTTTTTTAAATCAATTTAATTCAATTTTTTTTTTAATTAAAATAATGTTAACTATGCTACTTTTTTTAAAGTGTGTATATTTTCAAAAAAAATCAATTTTTCCTAAAAAAAATCAATTTTCCAAAAAATTCATTTTTTCCAAAAAAGACAATTTTTTCAAGCCCAATTTTTTTTCTGAAACTTTAAAACCCTAGTTTTAGCACAACATTTGATTTTCGAGGCTTTTTAGGCCGGCGAAATTAAATTTCTTAAAAAATAATGTAGGCTGTAGAGGGCGCTGTTTGCGACACTTTGCAACGTCACATATTTTGCCACTTTTATTAAAAATATTACTTCTAAATATCGCTTCGAGTAACCGTTTTCGAGTTATTTACGTTTAAATTGTTCAGTGCACCCATTTAATTGTGACATAAAAATTTAACATTTTTGTTAAAAGTAGTATATAATTAAAAAAATATATTAAAAGACGCTAGAAATTTAGTTAGTGTCCAACTTTATCATTGTATTTTAAATTTTGTTTATAAATATTTTTTTTAATCTTAATTTTTATTAAAAGTTTATCAACTTTTACAAATTTGAAAAACGTCTAGAATGTAGAATATCGAAAGAAAATAGGGTGTGAAAAGTGTGTGAAGGTACTCACCCCATAAAATCCAAGGGCAAACACTTGTTGGGCAACCCTTTGCTCAATCCCTTGTGCAGCTTGGCAGCGAACGCCTCTCTGACCTGTTTCACCTCGTCGACCATCAGCTGCGACAAGTTGTAGAACTGCTCGGCCGTGTACTGATCGCCCACGCCCTTCTGCTCGCACACCTTCAGCATGGCGCATCCGGCCGCCAACCGCAGCCACGACATCTCCGCCCGAGACAGCCGCCCGCTCTGCAGCAGGTCGCCCTTGTGCAGGATGAACGCGTTCAACATCCTAACAAACAGTTCCAACTTAAGCTGCTAATCAAAATGGGGTAGTTAAATTTTTTCTGACCTATACTTTTTATGGTTTTATTCAAGGCGTTTTCTAATTTTAAACATATCTGTGAAATCGGAATTTCAATTGAGTTTACCGTTTTCGAGATATTTACAAAAAAAAAATCTCCTAATTACGTCACTAGGCTATTGACAACGTTGCCAGCTTTTTCTATGGTTGCCAGTGTGTTTAGTTTAAGATTCTTACGATAGATAGCGCCACGTTATAATATTTTAGTTTTAAAACCACTTGATCTATAATTTTAGTTGAGAAGAAGAAGAATTGATTTTTGACGTTTCTTTTTTTCGGGTTATGTTTTATTTAAATTTAGATTATTGAAAATCAATGTTATTTGTAATTGATATTACATAAGTGATTTATTAATAACGGACTCCAAAGCAGAGGAATCTTGTGGAATGGTTGGTTACATTGAACATTGGAGCTTTTAAACAAATAAAGTAAGTACCTATAATTATAATCATATTTTGTCGTAAATGCATTTCATTAGTATAATGCCTAGTTCTTTATATACTTTTAGATATATCTTGGACTCTAAAATATCAAACAGTAATATGATACCTCATAACAAGGAAGATAGGTACTTAATGAATTTGGTGACCATCTTTCACTCAACTGACAGTGACAGTATTTGTACATAACCTCTTCGGGTATTTTCTGACATAACCGAATGAAATCATTAACAAGACAACTTGACAACAGGGTAATTTTCAACCAATAGAAATCTTAGAATGTTGGTCACATGGCGAGGTTTGTGACGTCATAAAAATTTATATTTTTTGTAAATATCTCGAAAACGGTAAACTCAATTGAAATTCTGATTTCACAGAAATGTTTAATATTACAAAACGCCTTGAATAAAACGATAAAAAGTATAGGTCAGAAAAAATTTAACTACCCCATTGGGCAAGATTCTTTGTCAAGATACTTGAAACAGCACTTTGTAAAGAATTGGACAATTCTTGACAAAGACTCTTGATCAAAATTCTATATCCAGACTGGTGGCAGACTTGGACAAGTCTGTGACCAGAATTTGACTAGATTCTTGGCCAAGAATTTTTACACGATTACACGTTAAATAGGAACTTTCAATTCAAGATTTTTGGTCAATACAAAATTTTGTTGAACTTCAAAAGTTAAGAATGTTACTAAAAACATTAATTTTCCACGATTTCTTTTCAGTAAATTCGGTTTTTATCCATAAATCTGGTAAACAATAGAATTAAAAACAAAACAAAATTTGAAAGATTTAAAGTTTTTAATTTTCTATGTTAAAAAAAAAACCAGGTGCCCGTAAAAATAAACATGTATTTTATAATCTTTCATGTTCATAAAGAGTAAACTCTAGTTATGCGTCAGAGCTGACACACGCTTTTTTTTTTAATTTTTGATTTTTAGAAATAACAATTTTTATTTTTCAAAAAATCAATTTTTTTCTCAGCTAGAAGACGAATCCAATAAGCTCTTATTCGTATTTTCACATAAACAAAAAAACTATACTCATTTCCTACAGAGAACTCACTTCTCAACTAGTATAAATTATTGTGAATGATACTACTGTAGAATGAAAACCTCTACTCTATAGGATAGTCCCAAAGTTTAGCAATAGATGGCCTCAGATTTCTGGTCAAATTCTTGTCAAATTCTGGCCACAGTCTGGCTCAAGTCTTGCCCAATAATCTTGGCCAAGAATCTGGAACAATTCTTGAGCAAAAATCTGTCCAAAGTATCTTGACCCATGCTGGGCCAAGACTTTTCCGGAATTGCTACTAGGGTAAAAATCGCAACAAAATGTTACCTGAATGTTTTTTGCGCCGAAGCGGAATCCTGCTTGAGGCCCAGCAACCACCTGGCCATGGCCTTGAGACCTTCCACTTTGCATCGCGTTTCTTCGGGCAGTTCGTCTTCCGCACACCAGAGGTCGTCGCTCATGGTGTACTCGTTTTCCTTCACTTCTTTCACCAGCAATTCTTTTACGATCTAAAAACCGAAACGACGACAAATTAACAATTCCTACATTCCCATCACTCTTCTTACCTTCCTAGACACTATGTTCTTGATTTGAACCTTGTATTTTTCGGGGACGTTGTAGGCGATGTGGCCGAGGGTCACGATGGCCGTCCTGTAATGCGGCGATTCCGGGCACAAATTATTTTTGACGTTTTCCAATATGCTGGGGAAAATGGTGTCGTGCAGTTCGGGCATATTTTTGAATATACAGTGGATGGCGCCCTTAGCCTGTTTCGGGGTACCTGTTTGCGCGAATTCCTTGCAAACCGGAGCCAACGATTCCATTAGCTCAGGGAATTGCTCATCTAACGAATATATGCCATTGTTATTATTTATCAAAGATTGGTTATAAATATATACAGGGTGGCCGATTTATCTGAAGACATTGAAATATTTCGAAAACTACGCATCGGATCAAAAAAAGTTTTGAATAAAATTTGTTCGCCTGGAAGGGGGACATCCAATGATACCAAAGTCGACCCCTCACCACCACCCCATGGGGTGGGGGTGGGGGCAACTTTAATATTCTAAATAGGAACCCCCATTTTTTATTGCAGATTCGGATTTACTATTAAAAAATAAGTAACTTTTATGGAAAAACTTTTTTTAAATTCCTGATAGATGGCGCTGTAATCGCAAGAAACCCGATTTTTGGGAATATCTTAAAAAATTACACATCGGATCGAAAAAAAGAAAAACTTGTTTAATTTTTGGATTTTATTCGTATATCAATAAGTTAACATCTATTTTTAAAATTACCCAAGAATGGGAAATCCGAATCTGCAATTTTTCAAGATATTCCCAAAAATTGCGATTACAGCGCCATCTATCAGGAATTTAAAAAAAGTTTTTCCATAAAAGTTACTTATTTTTTAATAGTAAATCCGAATCTGCAATAAAAAATGGGGGTTCCTATTTAGAATATTAAAGTTGCCCCCACCCCCACCCCATGGCCATGGGAACATGGGAACATCAAAAGGAATTAATTAATTTAATTTATTTTGAATTCCCTTACAATTCTCGTATACACTAATTATATTTTTTAATGGGAAATCCGAATCTGCAATTTTTCAAGATATTCCCAAAAATCGCGATTACAGCGCCATCTATCAGGAATTTAAAAAAAGTTTTTCCATAAAAGTTACTTATTTTTTAATAGTAAATCCGAATCTGCAATAAAAAATGGGGGTTCCTATTTAGAATATTAAAGTTGCCCCCACCCCCACCCCATGGGGTGGTGGTGAGGGGTCGACTTTGGTATCATTGGATGTCCCCCTTCCAGGCGAACAAATTTTATTCAAAACTTTTTTGATCCGATGCATAGTTTTCGAAATATTTCAATGTCTTCAGATAAATCGGCCACCCTGTATAATCACAATCTTGGCTATGACGTCACCGTTACACACTGGTTCAAATCGAAAAGTGCACTTCATTCATTCATTCATTCATGAATATAATAATGTGACAATTGGTAAGTTAAGATTTTTGGGGTCGCTGATCACGAATCCAATTCTAAAGCGCCTTTAGCAATCTTTATTTAATTTTGTATAAAAATACTTCAACTTACATCTCAGTTGTTCGAGGGTTTTTCGACAAAATATTTTTAAAGCCCTTTTATTTAATAATAAAAAAACGTTCGAAAAATAACTTTTAGGGAATTTTTTTTAGTAAATAAAAAATATGCTACCTAATACCGTGTTTTTGTTAGTATACCATGAAATTTTTTTACAAATCAAACGAACAGTAACGAAGTCGGTAAAAATGATCCCTTTTTGATTATTTTGCTGAAAAATGTTCATTTTTGACGACTTTAAAAGCGCTGTTTTTATTTCGTTACTGTTCGTTTTCACAGCCTATTTTTTATTTACTTCCCTATAAAAGTTTTTTTTCGAGCGTTTTTTATTATCAAATAAAAGGGCTTTAAGGATATTTTTTCAAAAAACCCTTGAACACTAAAACTGAAATATAAGTTTTTTATTATACAGGGTGTTTCAATAAAAACTCCCAGGCCAATTATTTCGAAAACTAAAAGTGACATTTAAATTCTGTAAACGCCAGTTTTTAGCCTCTATGATTGGCTTCACAACTGTGTAAAAAATGTGTTTGAATAATGCAAGATGTAGGTGGCGCCACTGTGCAAAGAATTTTTTCGATGGCAGGCATTTTTAAATTAATTTTTGATCAAATTATGTCCCATACAAATTTTTGATAAATCCAACATGAAAGGAGATATTTGGGGTTAAGTTTTTTTTTAAATAATTTTAACGAGTATTTTAATTATAAATATTTTTAATATGTTTTAGCAGATGTTCATTTAATTCTGGTAATCATAATTATGGTGATAAAACGCTCGTGTAGCGCTAACTAGATTAAAATTATTACGACCAGTCACTGGACTCCAGTGACGCCTCAGGGGGCCCCTTAAGAAATAATATTGGCAGAAAATAATACGCCATTGAGTTTTTGGTAATTTTTATACTTTTTTCAGAATAAGCAACTAAAAATAACCTTTTTTTGTCTGTGAAATTGTTTTCATATCTTGCTGAGAAATAAAAATAAAACCATTTGGAAAACAAAAATCATTAAGAAACAAAACGATAAATTATCAATACGCTATATTTTTTGCTTTTTAAAAACAAAGGTACAAACATTAAAACATAATAAAATAAAATTAAAGGATGTTTTAAATTTTATGAAAGAACTGGTGAGAAATTATACAAAATTATTATACCAAAAACTAACTAATAAGGTCGAATGAGGTGTTCAAAATTATTTCCGTTTTTATACACACATATCAAATCGATAAAATAATTCGGCTCTGCAAACTCTCAATAGTGTATTTTGATTAATAGCGGCTATAGTAACATAGATATTGTTATACAGGTCAGCCATGTCTTCTATTGGTTCCTTATAGACTTTATTTTGTAAGCCGCCCCATAAATAAAAGTCAGGGGACCTTGCTGGCCATCTAAGATCCCCATTTGTGCTGATCACTTTTCCTGGAAACGTCATTTAGATTGATAACGATATTGCTATTGTGTGCTGGGGCACCGTCTTGATAAAACCACATAGTATTTACGTCAATTCCCAAATTTTGTAACAGTAAAGTTAGATCGTTTTGCAGAAATTGTAAATAACGAACTGAAGTTAAATGTTCATGGTACAAATAGGGCCCGACTATGTAACCATTTACAATACCTCACCAAACATTTACCCCAAATCGTGTTTGAAATTTAGTCTGTCGTATCCAGTTAGGATTTTCCTGGGACCAGTAGCGACAATTATGTTTATTAATTAATCCATTATTGTGAAACCGGGGTTCGTCACTCCACATAATTTGGTTTAATAAATTTGGATTTTCTTCCAAAAGAATATGATAATGTGTCAAAAAGTTTAATCTGCGCTGGTTATCGCCTTATTGTAGATGATACACTAGATGAACCTTGTATGGAAAAAATATATTTCCTTTTAGGAACTTACTGAAATATTAGTTTCATCTTTTAATTTTTGTAATGACGATTGTGGGTTATTTTTTACTGATTGGAGGACTAAAGTTACATTTTCGTCAGTCGTATCCCTCTTTCTTCTTGGAACTGTTTCCTTTTTAAAGCTACCATATGTAGCTAAGTTGGTACACAAAGCTACAAAAGATTTGCGATCTGGCGTTGGTCTCGATAGCAGCGCACAGCTTCTGAAGCATTTTGATGTCATTCTCCATAAACTAAAACCATGTATGTTCAATTTGTCTTGATTTGTGTGGTGAACCATTTTTATTTTAGAAATGTAGAAATTGCAAATTTTTACACTGACACTATAAGAAGAAAAATTTACTTGATGTTTCTAACATTCATTTGTTTTTATTTAATGATTATTGTTTTATAGAGATAAGAAGTGAAATGGTTTATTTTTATTTCTCGAAAACGAAGCAAGATATAAAAACAATTCAACAGACAAAAAAGGATATTTTTAGTTGCATAATCCGAAAAATATATAAAAATTACCAGACACTCAGTGGCGTATTATTTTTTGCCAATATTATTTGTTAAGGGCCCCCCTGAGACGTCACTGGACGTAATAATTTTAATCTAGTAATTATTTAAAAAAAAACTTAACCCCAAATATCACCGTTCATATCGGATTTATCAAAAATTTGTATAGGACATAATTTGATCAAAATTTAATTTAAAAGTACCTCCCATCGAAAAAATTCTTTGCATTGTGGCGCCACCTACATCTTGTATTATTTAAAAACATTTTTTACACAGTTGTGAAGCCAATCATAGAGGCTAAAAACTGACGTTTACAGAATTTAAATGTCACTTTTAGTTTTCGAAATAATTGGCCTGGGAGTTTTTATTGAAACACCCTGTATAAGTTATAATATAGTTATAATATAGATTTAAGTTTTTTATCCAAAATTTTTTAAAGATTGGTAAGGTAAAGGCGTTTTAAAGTTGGATTTTTTTTACTTGTTATTTGTTAATTTTGACGCACAGTGTTATCACTAATTAAATTCAAAATGGCGGACTTTTTTGTAAAATAATTAGTTAATTGCCCTGAAAATGTTAATTTTTGGGCTTTTGGGGTCGCTGATCACGAATTTAATATAAAAATTATCAAACTAAAAATGGCGGACTTTTTAAAAAAATAATTAGTTTATCGCCCTGAAAATGTTAATTTCGATCGAATTAACCATGGAGACTACGCAAGGAGTAAGAATGTGTCATAACTAATGTAAAACGAATCAAATTTGACTTACATAGACATTTGTATTTTCCGACGAAAGTGAAGACGGACAGCACCAATGGTGCGACGTTTTCGTCTTCGAAGGATAAAAACTCGACGAGTTGCTCCAGCACATCGGTGTAGATGAAGTGCGAGGGGAACACCACGCTGAGCATGACCAGCAGCTTGAGCCCTCTATCCCCGGCGGTGGCAGGATGCAAGCCCACCTCTTCGACGGTGTTGCCGCCCCTGAGGCAGTCCTCCACGTAGCCCACCAGCAACTTGATGGCCGTGTGGTCGATCATCACCGAGCTGATCCGCTCGAGCAGCATCTTCACCGTGTTGTAGTACAAGTTGGTCATGACGGGCGCGCCCAGCTTCTTTAGGACGGCCGCGGTGGCTTCGGAGCACTCCTTGCAGCTGACCGAGGGTCGCGACACCGTCTCGAACGCCTCCAACAGCGCGGAATCGCGGCGCATGTGAGAACTCAAGTTGGAAAGGAATTCGAACGCTTTTACGGGTTCCGGCAGGCATTTCGAGAGGGCCAACACTTTCGCGGACATCTCTTTCGACATCGCATCACCCCCCATCTGTTGTTGTTGTTGAGAACAAACAGAAATTACCAAATAATCAACCGCTGCATGTTGAATGTTGAGGGTGTGGCCGTGTTTTATTTAAGTATAGGTATAATAATTTTTAATTATTATACTGGTCCAACACCTTTAACGGCCCTAGAGTATTTAACAACAACAAAATATACTAAAACCGATCAAAACACTTAAAAAAATCAGTTAAAACCTTAATTGCTTACTCATTAGGTATCATACCTACAAAAAATTTGTAGTAGTATCAAGTTTGATAAACGCCATTTTAGTCACGAATTTAAATAAGTGCCCGTTATTATTTTAATTAAACATAACAATTATTGATACTAAATATTAAAATAACTTCAAAATATGATTATGTTGAGAAAATATTTTATCTATTGACTTTTTTTTATAGGTACTGTAATTGCAAAATATTATCACAAACTATTAAAAATTCTTACACGGGAAATGGTACAAAAAATGTAAGTTGTATATTGGAATTCCCGTTAGAATTTCTAACTTGGGAATCTACCGGCGTTAAAATCTCAAATTTTTCTGTGTATATAAAAATGCATCCCCCAGTTTTTCACAGTAAAAGAGAAGAAAATATTTTATGGGCACTGTACGCAAAATTTTTATCGCTCTATCAGTTAAATCTAGTTAACTACACTACTACGGAAAAATCAAAAGGTCAGTACAAACGTTCATATCATTGGGTAAGATGACATCTTACTTAATGTTCATATAATCTTTTTAAATATTGAAGAAACCACGGCCATTTTTGTTGTTTAAAATTCTTGTGCTTTGGGTTTGTGCTCTTTAATAATTGTTTTAAACGTTGTGTTTCTTACAGAGGCACTTGTAAGCCTCAAATAAGGCCTTTAAGTGCTAAGGACTCCTCTTTTATAATAAATATACCTTATTTTATCAGGGCTGCCAAATGACAATTTGAAGATTAATTTGTGGGTTATAATTTAACCTTAAAATTGACATTTGACAGTTTTATGACAGATAGAATAAAGTTTATTTTTTACAATAGAGGAGTAAAATGGTTGTTCTTAGCACTTTAAGGACTTTTAAGGCTTACTATGAGAAACACAACGTTTAAAACGATTATTAATCTGTATAAACAGAGCACAAACCCAAAGCACAAAAATTGTAAACAACAAAAATGGCCGCCGTTAAACTGTGCAGTGTTACAGTGATTTTTTGTATTTTTAGTACAAGATAAAACAGACCTTGTTGTGTGGATTGTAAAAGAAACCATTTTAGTCATGAGTTTTATTAGACACGAGCAAGTGTTTAATAAAAACAAGTGTCCAGAGAAGTTTATAAAACGATTTGCTACTATACTTTACCCCCCAAAAAACAAAAATAAGAATTTAAAGCCAATTTTAATTCATAAATATTTGACTTTTATTTATTATATTTGATTATTATTATTATTTTGACGAATTTAACCTCACTTTTTCGCAATTTATTATAAAGCTTACTTCAGCTTGTGTCCGAAAGATTTATTATAAATTATATTTTGTTAAATGTTTGTTAGTTTCTTTAAAATTGGTTTTAAATTTAAAGATTTATTTTTTTTGGGACTGTATAACAGAGTGTTACATAAATTGTGATGAACTATAATTACCTTGTCATGTCTTCTGTGAAGTTCCAACCATTCCAGTACGAGTTTGCGCACGCACAACTGGTTCTTCTGAAGTTCCATGAAGGCTTTGGTGGCGTGCTCGTCGATGGTACCCAACAGGTGGTACAACTTCTTCATCCTTTCAGCAGGCGGTAACTGGTAGGGCACCAAGCAGGTGTTTAATAATCTTTCCACCAGCAATCTGTCTTCCATGCCGGCCATGTAGTAACCGTGCAGAATTTTGTCCTTGATCCACGTGACGGCTTTTTTCGTGGCGTTCGGAACGTCCGGGTCGCTCAAGTGCTTCCGGTATATCAGAGCCAAACCCGACATGGCTTCTTTGCGGATCTTGAACTTTTTATCCAAAGTTCTCTCTTTGACGAACTCCAGTAAATCTTCAGAGTCCGAAACGACTTGAAAGTCGTTTCTTGCCGTGGTTACAATGGCGGTTACCACCTGATACCGGACGTTCTCCTCCGAGTCGTGTTGACGCATTTTCAACGTCTCTGTAATATCTTTCCTCAAATCGGGATGGTTCAATAAAAAGTGCATGGAATATTGTACGCATTTCGTTCTTATGGCGACGGAAATGTCGTTGAATCTGCCCAAAAAGGCCCTCCACAAGGAGACGTGCCTTTTGGCCAGTTCGGAATCTTTCTCGCTGAACATTTTGGCCAACAGAGCCACAGCAGCCAACCTCTCATTTTCCAGCGAGCTTTTAAGTTTGCACTCCAACTGCGGCAGCACAGCCAGCAAAATCTGCGGGCAAATGTGATTCAGTTCGTATATCAAGTCGTACACTTTGCCGCAAATCTGCAAGTTTTTATCTTCCTTCCCCAGTATCAAAACATGGTTGAAGAAGGCTTGTATGTAAGGCTCCAACGTGTCAGAAGTTTTGATTATGAGTTCTTTGGCGAGAAAATACGCGTTTTTCTTTTGCGTCTTGTTCGGCTCCACGATATTCATCAGAATGATGTCCAACAAATCGTTACCGACCATGTCGCTTTCGGTTATAAGCGGGCACAGCACGTCCAACATGAAACTCTTCACCCTACCAGAGTGCTCGTCGTTCACTATTTTCAACATCAAGTGAAACAGAGCGCAGAAAATCTCCTGACAATCTTGCAACTCAAAGCACATGTTGAACGACTTCACATACGCCAAATTCTCCAGCAAGTAGAAATACCGCTTGAAAGCGGCATCTTTGGGGTCCTTCAGACCGCTCAACTGAGTTATCAAGAACAGAAAGATTGTTTTGACCTGTTCGGGGTCTTTGTAGGGGGCCTCGGGGGCGTAAACCCTGAGCACATCGGCTATACAACACGCAATCAAGAGTTGCACGTCCCTCGAGGGGTGCGAGAGGAATTGCTCCTGCGCCAAGTGCAAAGAAAGCGGTATGTATTGTTTGTAGGCCCCATCGTCTTGCCCCATGGCCTGTAATGTGTGTGCAAGAGTTTTTAGGCGCCGGATCAACTCGTCCGGGCCCAAATCGTCGCTTATCAAACGACATCCTGGTGGGTATATTATGTCAGACATGGTCAGGTCTGCAAAAAATCAAACTTTCAGTACCATGCTATTTTTATTTCAAATACTACTCTTTCAGCTTTAAAAAAGCCATATTAGACAAGTATATACCTATTTGTAAAAGAAATATTGTCACTTCTTAGAATGTAAAGCATAAAAATAAAAAATTTCAAATGGTTTATCTTGTGCTGGTTGGTAGGTACCTACTGGAAAAAATTAAATAAAAGCGGATTTCCCTCTTTAGGACCCTAAAGAACATTCCCACAAAGTTTTAGCAAAATTTAAAGTATTTTATTTGAAATGACTCTACTACCAGTAGAGTTGCAACAATATAATCATAAAAATAATATAATACAAACAAAACTATTTCCATAAAATTGACCACCCTATTTATTATTATTATTATTACTATTTAATTGATAAAGGTAATAAAACTTTAACAATTTAATACCTATAGGTTGTTAGTTTAAAATATCAACAAATAATAGTAAACTTTCTAATATCTCCAAATAGTAGCAATCAATTATTACATAAAGAGTTCTATTCAATTAGTTAAAAGTATAATAATAGTACCTATTGTAACTTTTCCCGCATTTAAAACGTTATAAAATCTATATAATAGACAAAAATACAGATTCCTTCTTTAATATATCAGAAACACAAACCTAAAATATCGCAATAAATACGATATTTTTGGGAATGTTACCGTATTGTTATTAAAATTGCATGTAAATAGTCACAAAAAAATCCGAGAGGACACGTTTTAGCATGTTTATTTAGGTAAAATCTCTGTCTGGTATAATTTTGCCAACCTGCCTCAACACTGAAATGTCAGACACAACTTGTAAACTTTTAACCCCAAAAACACAACATACTCACGCATTTTAATGCGTAAGGGATAAGTAAGGATTAAAAACGCGTTTATATATTGCTTAAATCGACAATATTTACCTTAGCATCTATCACACACTGCCGATAAAGTCAATCCAAAATAAGTGAAACTTGCTATCAAATTATACTGTTGCTCGGGCACAATCTATCATTTCATTATTCTTTTAACGTAATCACTCAGCACATTCCCGTATATCAACAAATTAAAAGCATTTTTCCTTAAAACAGGGACGCGCACAACAAGAGAACTCTGCATCTACCGACGTGAAGTTAGTTTTGGCAGATGACAGGTAAAATAAAAATCCCTACATTTAAAAAATTATAAACAAATTAAAAAATTATTAATTTTAACATTTTAAACAACTATTATTTATATTCACAATCAAGTTATATTTAATGAAATAAAACGTTTATTGTGATTTAAATTGTTTAAGTTGAATTACCAACATAGCGGTGTAAAAGTTACTAGATGATTGGTGGCTAACTTCAGTTCGTGTCATATGTGCCAAAGTTTGTGTTGTTATATGTCGGAATTATTACGATGAATTGTGTTCCCTCTGTGGGACGTTTAAAATCGGCAGTAATTGAATTGTTTTCGACAAATAGTAAACATTAAGCAGGGGAAATTGAAAGACAAGAGGTGAGTTGTCGCATTAAATTGAAAAACCCAATTGAGGTCATTCTTTGTTTAGAAGAAAGGGGTGATTAATTCTTGCTGATTTTAGATCCAATGATTCGACACTTGCTTTTAATGTCGGGATTCGGATCTTCTTGCACAAGGGACTGCTCGGGGAGAGGAGAGTGCCACAATGGCACTTGCATGTGTGAGATACGGTTTACGGGGGAGTTGTGCGATGGCCCCAATGTGCCTTATCATGCAGGCATCGGGGGCGTGTTCCTGTTTATCGGGCTCGTTTGCGCTGTTCAGCTCATCATGTGCATCATATCGGAGTATCACAGACTCAAGGCACCGACTTTTTTGAGGGCCTGCAAGATCACCAATCAAAAGTTTATTTATTTTGTGTCTTTTTTGGCCAGTGTTATTCGTGGGGCCTACTTTATATCGCCGGTAAGTTGCTTATTACTAACTAAAAATTAATATGCATATTAGTTTAAAAATAAATATATATATTTATAATTCATATATATTTTAAATATTATAAATGTGTTGTAAATGAATATTTATTGTACATTGGCAGAAAGACTAAGGTTGTTAGCCTGTGTTCAACCAAGAAAAAAATTGCCCAGATGGCTTAAATTAAAAAAATACCATGTTGCTCAGAAATATTTTTTTTTAATTTTTAAGTCTATTATGTTATGATGATTGATTTTTTCCAATCTTATTTATTTTAATGACAAAATTAACCTTCAAAACAAACTATAATAGCTTAATTATCTTTTGGTCTAGTCATTTACAGCCACTAAAAAAATTTGGAAAGCTTTAAAGAATTAAATTTAAAAACCATTACTACAAAACTGATTTTTTTGTAAACATTTTCTAAAAAACGATTTGAGAATTTGCCAGGAATGTTTTTTTGCATTCCATTGCCAATTAATAAGAAAAATTTTAAAATGAAATTTTAATTAAAAATTAATATCAAATTTGTTTGTTTTTTCAGGACTCTTTTAAATATGGTTGGTCTGCTGGATTACTGTCCTCATATTATCCATTGCTGATGTCTAGTGCATCCTTAATTGTTTGTTTTTGGGCTGAGGTAAGTTTTTAAAATTTTACTTTCATCATAAAAATAATTTTATCAAAGTTATAACAATTAAAATTAAAAGTTGTAATGTATGCATTTAAAATCTCTTATAAATATACATTTGAATAAAAGCAAATACCTTGGTTGGAACTTTTGAGTCAAGTTTTTTAATGTTAATTAATAATTATTACACTTTTAACAAAAAAATTATTTATCAGAATATTTAAAGGCAAATAATCCAACCAAAAAAAACATAAAAAACAATGTTAGAAAACTTAACCTCAAAGTCAAATACAAATATTTTTGATGAACTTATAAACATAATTAAGCAAGCTAAAATGCAAAGTACTGGTGCTAAAGACAAGACATAAAACCAAAACACTTCTGTCAATAATACCTTTAAGGTTTGTTTACACTACAATTTGTTTATAAAGTGTAAATTTTTATTTAATTTTAGATTTGATTGTGAAAAAAAAATGTATCTTGTTTCTATTTTAATAATGGACATAAAGTTATTTAAAACAAAACAATCTTATTTAGGTATAATATCTATGCTCTTGACATTTATGTATACCTACATATATGTAAATAATAAAAACTACACCAAGTTACATAAAGATTTTTAAAAATTAAATTTCACTCAAGGATAATTTTATCAGTGGTTTTAATGGTGATAAAATGGCTGGCTAATAAATTAAACTAATTAGGTACTTATTATGTTTCTTACTTGTTTATTTATTTACCAAGTTAACAAGCAGGGTCGCCTGGTTTTTAGTTTTCCAAGGGTTTAAAAGTTTGTGGGCCAAAGGTCATAAGTCAAATTTATCAGAATTAAAAATATTTAGTTTATATATTTTGAAAACGACTTAAATTTCATTATTTTCTCTGAACTATAGTTCAGAGAAAATAATAAAAACAAAACGATCCAATTTAGGAATAAGCCGGTGCACATGCACCTAAAAAGAACTAAATTTGCACTTAAAATGTCTGTTTACAGAAATATTTATCGTTAAAAACCACCATGCGGTCGAAAGCTATACAGGATGAAGGGAAATTAACGATACCATTTGAATGCTTTATACAATTAATGTTTATTTTGCGTCATGCTTTTATGATTTTTTATTTACTTAGGCTGTTTGTCCAAAGCAGGAGGAAAAATTTAAATATTGTTTGCAAACATTAAATCCTTCATAATAATCCAATCTTTTGTCATGATTGGTTTAGAACCACGTGTTTTAACGGAATGTTTATTCCAATGCAATTAATTTAATTCGAAAAAGGTACTTAATCGTTGTTCGCGCCTTTACTGTATCAATTTATAGCTTTATTGTCGACCTAAAAAGTACATAATGAGAATTTTATATGCCTAACAAAGCACATTATTAAGTGACATCAAATGATAAAAAGTTTTGCTTTGTGTGTTGTTCTTAAGATTTTGTTTAATAAACGTTTAGGTGAGTAATTTGTAATCCCGTTAAGCGTGAAATTAAACGTAAATAATTAATTTATATTTGTAGACATTTAAACATGTTATTATTATAACCACATCCATAATTTGTTTTGGATTTGTTTTATCTTTTATTTTTCCACAAAACCATTTAAATTATTAGCATTTTTAATAGAAAACTTCGTAATTTACTTCTTATCAATACAATTTATGTATACATACAGGATGTTATGTAATTAATGTAATATTTGAAAAATATTTTCCCAAAGATAAAAAAAAATATGCATTAGAAGTTTTTTATATTTTTTGTGATACGCCACTGGTTACACACTTGTGTTCTGTGAGTACATAGATACCAACCAACAAAGTAGCTGCGCGTTGCCAGTTGTAAACAATTGTGACTAAAAATTTTTCTTGCAAAAAATAAATATAAACTCAATAAATACAAAAGTTTTGTGCCCTTAAAGCTCTAATACCCTTCTGTATTTATTTACTCATCCAGCTATTAGCTTAAGCAATGATTAGAAAATTTAGTACCTATTTTAAAAACTCCATAACCACAAACTTAATTTTTCCATCGTTTTTTTCTTTCTGTTTACTCATATGAAACTAGGACAAGTTCATAGGTTAAACTTTAAACATTCAATTTGTGTAAATAAATCCAAAAGCACTTCCCTTGTTTAAGATATTTACAATTTGAGCACGTAACCTAAAATTTAAAAGAAATGCACTAGATTCTGTTATAAAAGTTGTCAGATTTTGTTTGAATTTACCTTCATTACAAAAAGACATAATAAACTATTAATAAAAACGCCAAATTAACAATTTGCATTGTTGATTTTGTAATTAAGCTAAATTTAAACAAAATCTGGCAACTTTTTTGACAGAATCTGGAGACGCTGGTTGTTACCAACCATAACATAATAAATTAAATTAGGCAACCAGATTAGCCTAAACTTCCTAGTCTATCAGAGGAGTAGTTTTTGGTAGAATAAAGGTTGTTATAAATTATTTTTAGTCTTTAGAGTTTAGAGAAAAAAGTTAATTACATAACACCCTGTATATAGTATATTTAATCTTTGGTATTACATGAAAATATTTTAAAACCAATATAACAATTTTTATGATCTATAAATCATAAAAATGTTGATTATGTTGAAACAATAGGTACATGATTAATATTTTCTTGCACTTTTCGTTCATTTTTGAGCAGTAACTGTTCGAATTTGCTAGCAAATCAAGGTAAAAAATTTTTATTTAAGAAAATATATATTTCATTTAATTAACAGATACGCTAGAAAGTTCAATCATTTTAATGATAATTAAGGATTGTAAATTGGCATTGTTTATTTATAATTTGTAATTGGAAATTAGTACAATAATTGTTAAAATGGTAATACAAGTGATTAACATTTATATTAATATTTTTATAGCCATTTAATTATTGCAAAAAGTCGGAAAATCTTTCGTAAACAAAATAATCTAGAAAATGGATAAGTCGCAAAAGCCTTATTATAATTGTGGTTGATAATAATAATTATGAATATGTTATCGTAATTCTTTGTTGTTTTATTTATGAGCGTGAATAATTATAGAAATATTTATATTTAAGGCCGTTTAACTTTGGTATTTACTTTTTTCGAAAATGTAACACATTCCATTGTTTATAAATATATTTTATTTTTATTAATTTATTTAAGTATATTAACATAAACATGAATGGGTATTTTAACAAAATATGGGTACCTAATTGTTAGAAAAACATTCTTAATCATTATAAGTAGCACAAACATCCACAGGCCTACTTTAAAAAATAAATAAAACAAGTACATATATTTTTTTAAATAAAAGCATCATATGTCAGTATCTTCATCTTATTCAGTCAAGTCTACCACCATTTTTTCACTATCTCTTGCACATCTTTCTTGTTTCTCCCTCTCCAATGTCTCTTTTGTGATGGCCTTGTAGTCTAATATTCTGGCGCATTCCTCCAATTCCTTATCCCATTTGGTGTTCACCTTGGATCTTTGTATGTATGACAGTTTAATAAATGCCAACTCCTCCTTGGAAACGTCGATATCCAGCTGAATTAATTTGGGGAACATCTGTTTCTTAAAGTGCTCTTTAAGACCTTGCCATGTTCGATCAAATTCCTTTTCCATCGCCTTCCACAGCAAATTACCTTGCAGGTTATAATGCCCCTTTTCACGTATTATAAACTCTACTATTTTCTTTTTCTCGTTGTTAGTGTATGGTCTGGCCATTTTGTAACTAAAATGGTATTATTTAGAACAATACACACGTTGGTTTTTTGCTGATTCTTTATACTCATAAAAAAAGATGAGTCAGCAAATTTGTTGTGTTGTAGGTAGTATTTTCCACAGATATTAGGGAGCGGCAATGTCCCAGAATGGCGCTGGGACATGATGTCGAAATCCAGTGTACCCAGCAAACACAACCGTAAAGGTTCTGTAATGGCCCTTTAAACGCGTGCCTTTAATAAACTAAAGGCCCTATAAAGGCTGACTTTAATGGACCTCTACATATTATGTCGCATTCACCTTTTATGGGCATGTGACGGCAGTCGTTAAAGACACTTACAAGAGCCGGTAAAGGTTCCGATATGGCAGGTTAAAGGTACAAATGTGGCAAGCTAAAGGTTCTTATATGGGGTGTTAAAGATTCTATAGTGGTTAGTTAAATATTATTTAATGGATAAGTAAAGTACCTATTATGTCGGATTAAATGTGGTACCTATATATTTACTAGGTACGGATATTCCATGATAATTGAAATATTTTATCCCGACCGATTTTTGACGGTAGGGATAAAAATTCCCGATTATCGTGTAATATCTGACCTAATAAATATATACCTACCAAATTTAATCCACCATAATAGATAGGTACTTTACTATATTACAAAAATTTCGTTATCATGGAATTCCATTAATGTCCCTAAAACTTTCAAAAAATTAAAAAATACAATGTGTTATAAAATACATGTAAGTTAAACATAATTATAACATAACATATATTTAAATAAAAAAAAACTTAACAAATATTATAAAATAAAATCAAATTTCAACAGTTTCCATTTCTATAGAAATGGAAACTGTTGAAATTTGATTTTATTTTATAATATTTGTTAAGTTTTTTTTATAAGGAATCGAATGAATTAAATTGAACACCAAAACAAATTAAGTAGATAAATCTAGTCTCTAGTCCAGTCTTTAGCACAATGGATATATGGCTAAATCACATGCATAAGAGATCTCTATTCTATTGCTAAACCATTGACGACTGCAGTGCAGGAATGGTCTTATAATGGGATTCTAATTTGCAGGTTTTTCTAGAAAAAAGCTTCGTTTTGAATAGAGATAATTAAATAGGGTTAAATATTCAAAACATGGTGCGCTAAAAGAAGATTTGAAATTTTAAAATAGGTCACATGAAATAGCTATTTCCTAGGTTATTAAATAGTACGACATTAATGTAAAAATTGGACAGTAAAAATACTTACTTGAAAAAGGTACTACCTAGTTGTTTAGTTCATTAATAATTAATTATAAAATACACCTATTAGATAATTAATTAATATATCTCAAAACCTATATTATTTTTCTAAATGCATATGCATAATATTATATACCACTAACATGAGGCAATTCATTAGTAAATATGGTGTAAAGCAAAGGAAAACATTTGGCACTGTAATGGTGTGTTACAGTTCCATTAACTTGATACTTATAATTGCCATATGTGGGCCTTTAATGTTAAATTATACATATCATTGCCTGAAAAGGGCCATTGCAAGACCTTACCACGACAGCCTTTGGACTAAATTGACATTTATTAACGAAAAATTCCTGTAGAGGCCCAGTACAAGAACAGCTTGGGTTAAAAATGCCATCATTTAACCATTAAACGCTGTAATGGGCCATTACATTACCAGACTTATGTGTTTGCTGGGTAAAATCACTTTTATTATTGAGATTAGTCACTAAAAAAATTTATGCCATTGAAAAAAAAAATTTTGCTATTAATTCTTCATTTAAAAGCATTTTGCAAATCGAAAATTTATCTCGCTAGCGTGACGTCACTATGTTATAATTTAAATGGTATATCGGTATCAGTGTTACCAGATTCTGTCAAAAAAAGACTGTACGTTTCGTTCGAATTTACCTTAATTACAAAAATGACTCAATGGACAATATTAAATAACGTCAACTTGACATAATTGCATTTATTTGCATTGTTTCATTGTGTCATTTTGTAATTCGAACGAAACGTACGGTCCTTTTTTGACAGAATCTGGTAACACTGATCGGTATGTCGAATGAAGTATCCATTATTAAAATTATTTTTGAAAACGTCAAATCTGTCAAAATCAAATTTTTCATAACTATATTTTAGGTTATTTAAAACAATAAAAATATACAAAAACTTTGGTATTTGACGTATCAAACCACCAAGTTTGAGTTAAAAGTACTGATTTGACACTTAGATTGTTGTCTCCTATGCCAATTAAATTAAAAAATACGGTATAAAAAGTTAAAAAAATTTAATCAAAAACATTATTCTTTTTTTAGGTTTTCCATCTGCAAGGGATCCACTGGGAAAAACCGCAATTTCTGTCGAAATCCTTCCTGGGTTTCCTCACATTTAATGTCATCAGTTACAGCCTGCTGTTGGCCGAATTTATCACGAATTCGTTGGCCAAACCGCCCGCAAACGACCCGAGCCTCTTCAAGCACCTCTTCAACGGCTGCTACGCGGTGCTCATGTTCATAGTGGTCGTCTTTTTTCTCATCTATGGCGTAGAAGTCTATTTCAAGGTATGTACCTAAATTAGATAAATACAATCCTAATAATAATACATTTTTTGTACCTTAAAAAGTTGCAAATAATGCATTATTTTTTTAATGCACACACATTATTAAAATAATGAGTAATGTGTTTAATTTTCATTATGCATTACTTCTATTTTAATGAAAATTAAGTTAATTACTCATTACATTTTTTTCAATGAGTGCATTACTCATTTTTTATTTGTAGAGTATATTGAAATTTTCAATTAGAATTTTTTATGTTAATAAGTAATGTACTCACTTTACACTACTCATTTTTTAAATTTTTAATGAGAAATGAATGATTATCGAATTACTTATTTTTATTGCATGACACATTTTTTAAATTTTTTACTACTAACAGACGTTCAAAATTAATTGTTCGTTCATACCATCGCGGATTCAATACTTTTTTGAGTTTAGATCACCTTCTCACCTAATTATCATAAACCCACTATCAACCCTGGCTTAAAATTTCTTGAGTGGGTAGAAATTTAACGTAAAAAATTTGCAAGGAAATCAAAGAATACAAACAGCTGTTAATTAAAATTTTAAAACTCAAAATTTTAAGAAATAAAAATTTCGATTCGGACCCTATTAAAGAAATTTGCAGCAAAAAAACATAAAAAAGCGATTGTTCTTTTGAACGAGTAATGAAAAAAATATCAAACTTTACCAGAAAGGGATTTTTAATGGGTACTTAAAAATACCGAAAAATAAAAGAAATCAAAAATCAATCTATCAGACTTTTTGTAAAATGCCTCATATAAAAAATCACCCCATCAACCATACCCCTGATCATTTTAACTGATGTAATGGGTCTTTCATTACGCATTTTTTTTGAATGTGTAATGTACGGTCTCTCATTACTCTTTTTATTTTTTTAATGAGTAATGTAGGTATTGTTTGACATTACTAGGGTTTTAAAGTGTCGGAAAAATTTTTTTTTCGTTTTTTTCCCAGACCTTGGAAAAATTAGTTTTTTTGGGAAAAATTGATTTTTTTGGAAAATATACACATTTGAATAAAAAATCCTTTATTATAAAAAAATAAAACTGAACATTAAATTAAAGAAAATAAACCTAAACGTGAAATATACTGTCTTTTGTTGGGTTTTTGTTGCACAAAGGAGCCAATTAAAAATGAATAATGAATGAATTATTAAGTTAAATTACAAAATTATAATTTTATAAATCTGTTAAATAAAATGTTACTAAATTAAAATAAAAGGAATAATTATTTTAATCATAATAATTTGAATCAGCGTCGGAAATTCTCGATATCAGTGTACGGATACTATCCGTAAAAATTTGGAAATATTAAAAAAAATTGACTTTCGCATTTTTTCATTACCCTTTGAATAAAATTTAAAAAATTAAAAAGGCAATTTTTCTGAAAATTTCCCAATTTTTTCGTTTTTTCCGGAAAAAACGGTTTTTTTCTGCCGGCTCAATTTTTTCGGAAATTTTAAAACCCTAGACATTACTCATTAATTTTTTAATGTGTAATGGAAATATATCTCATAACAATTTATTTTTTTAATGATTAATGTATTCTACTACCGTAAACACGGGTGACTTTGCACCCCGCGGGTGACTAAGCCTTTTATGAAATATCCTTTCGCGCTCGATAAAATTAACATTTATAATTTGTTGGTCTAAACCTGTCAATTGAGCGATTCTATTGAGTTTATATTACAGGAAAATCAGTATTTTAAAGAAAGAAATGGGGTTTATTACCCTTTAAAATTGTATATATCGCATCAATGCAAATCTCTTATATAATACAAGCGTTACAATTTCTATATTATGCGCAATCCTTTGGAATGATGATCCTTGGTTAACTACAGGTCGATTTTTTTTTTATCGGTAATCCCTTGCAATAGATATATGTCGCTGCTAAACTTTGCACACCCAGTTTTTAATGTTTATTTTTAAAACTCAGCCCTATGTAATATTATAACATAGTTATTATGAAAGAGCCACTCAAGACTCAAATTTTGGTATACAAAATTTAATGTTTATGATTGTTAAAACCACAAAAATTTTAAGCTTAAGTTTGAAAGTGAGCTAAAGCCACCCGTGTTTACGGTACATTACCATTAAAAAAATGACGATTGCATTATTCTTTAAATTTTGCAACTTGTTAAAACGTTGTTTAGGTCAGAGGCGGCTTCGTGACGAAGCCGTTGCAGCTGGGCCGCAACACTCGCGAATCGGAACCGCTGAACCACAATGGCGGCGTCAACAGCTGCGGCGGCGGCCAAAACGAGCTTCGGCCGCAAGTGAACCCGTCGCAGCTGCACCAATCGCGTATCGGCCTCATCAGCCAGGCTCTGATGCTCATCACCATCGCAGGCTTCCTCTTCAGCGAGACGTTGAGCGAATTTTGGAAGACTAAGGTAACTAAACAGAACGCCTATGTCTAGGGTTGGGACAGATGAAAATTTCAACTTTGAAAGTTTCAAACTTAAAATATTTCATTTAGTTGGAAAAGTGAAATTTTTAAAAATTTCAAATGAAATTTTCAATTCGAAAATTTCAACATTGCCTATGAAAGTTTCGGAAATTTCATTGAAAGTTTCGCAATTTACTGAAAATTTCGCATAAATTTCACATGCGCCCTCCCCTGGGACCTTTAATAATAATTTACAACAGATTCCGAATCGACCAATAAGAACGAGTTATCAAGCGTCTGGGCGTTTTTGTTTAGTTCGGCTTGGATTTGAATACACTATAAGTAATTATTGTTACTTATATGCATACTTAAATTAAATTATTTCAGTTACCAATTTAATTTGTAAATTAAATCAGACTTTAAATTTTTTTTAAAAGTCATGATTAATTTAAACTTTTACTTTTGCTATAATTGCATCGGAAAACGGATAAAAATGCCTTTGGCTCATAAAATTTTGATGAAGTTTCTTCAATTTTCCTAAAATTTCAGTAAAATATATAAAAATAATAAATATATATATAAATATAAAACAATGAAAGTGGCACAATCTCATTAGCTTACCAAAAAGTGCTATATCTCTTTTAGTTTTAGTAATTTTAAAAATATTTTAAAAGGAAATCTCAAGAAATTTGTGGTAAACAGAAATTTAATAAATTTCAAAAATGTCATGAAAATTTCAAATGAAATTTCAAGTACAAGCAAAAAGTGAAATTTTCCCAACCCTACCTATGTCACAATTATTCTCTTTAAATTAAAATTAAATAAAACCAAAACAACAATACTACAGGTTGTTATGTAATGGGGTAGTTAAATTTTTTCTGACCTATACTTTTTATGGTTTTATTCAAGGGGTTTTGTAATATTAAACATTTCTGTGAAATCAAAATTTCAATTGAGTTTACCGTTTTCGAGATATTTACAAAAAATATACATTTTTATGACGTCACAAACCTCACCATGTGACCAACATTCTAAGATTTCTATTGGTTGAAAATTACCCTGTTGTCAAGTTGTCTTGTTAATGATTTCATTCGGTTATGTCAGAAAATACCCGAAGAGGTTATGTACAAATACTGTCACTGTCAGTTGAGTGAAAGATGGTCACCAAATTCATTAAGTACCTATCTTACTTATAACGAGGTATCATATTACTGTTTGATATTTTAGAGTCCAAGATATATCTAAAAGAATATAAAGAACTAGGCATTATACTAATGAAATGCATTTACGACAAAATATGATTATAATTATAGGTATTTACTTTATTTGTTTAAAAGCTCCAATGTTCAATGTAACCAACCATTCCACAAGATTCCTCTGCTTTGGAGTCCGTTATTAATAAATCACTTATCTAATATCAATTACAAATAACATAACAATAACATTGATTTTCAATGTAAATTAAAAAAAAACAACCCGAAAAAAAGAAACGTCAAAAAATCAATTCTTCTTCTTCTTCTCAACTAAAATTTTAGATCAAGTAGTTTTAAAACTAAAATATTATAACGTGGCGCCATCTATCGTGAGAATCTTAAACTAAACACCATAGAAAAAGCTGGCAACGTTGTCAATAGCCTAGTGACGTAATTAGGAGACTTTTTTTTGTAAATATCTCGAAAACGGTAAACTTAATTGAAATTCCGATTTCACAAAGATGTTTAAAATTACAAAACGCCTTGAATAAAACCATAAAAAGTATAGGTCAGAAAAAATTTAACTACCCCATTAATGTAATATATTAAAATACTGAATACCTTTTGACATAAAGTATAACGGAAAAAATGTTTTCCCAAAGATAAAGAAAAAATATGCATTACAAGTTTTTTATATTTTTTGTGATACGCCACTGGTTACACACTTGTGCTCTGTGAGTACATAGATACCAACCAACAAAGAAGCTGCGCGTTGCCAATTGTAAAAAATTGTTACTAAAAATTTTTCTTGCAAAAAATAAATACAAAAGTTTTATGCTCTTAAAGCTCTAATACCCTTCTGCATTTATTTTCTCATCCAGCTAATAGCTTAAGCAATGATTAGAAAATTTAGTACCTATTTTAAAAACTCCATAGCCACAAAATTAATTTTTTCATCGTTTTTTTTTCCTGTTTACTCAGATGAAATAAGGACAAGTTCACATGTTAAACTTTGAACATTTAATTTGTGTGAATAAATCCAAAAGCACTTCCCTTAGTTAATATATTTACAATTTGAGCACATAACCGAAAATTTGAAAGAAATGCGCTAGATTCTGTCATAAAAGTTGGCAGATTTTGTTTGAATTTACCTTCATTACAAAAATGACGTAATAAACAATTATTAAAAACGCCAAATTACCAATTTGCGCTGTTGATTTTGTCATTTTTGTAATTAAGCTAAATTTAAAATTATTATAAATTATTTTTAGTCTTTGAAATTCAGAAATTTAATTTTACAATAATTCATGATCACTTGGATAAAATACACACCCTAACGAAACTATAAAATAGGGTGTTTCAAAAAAACTTTTTTTTTGTTTTTTTTCTCGGAACCACGCTCAAAAGTTTCGTATAGATATAAAAATGAGCCTGTGAAAAAATTAGCTGTTAATTTCAAAATTAAGATGTTCCGCATCGCACTTTTCGATTTTCCATAAGAATGAGGAAAAATTATTTTTGTTTCTTTTTATTTTTGTAACTAAAGAACAATAGGTCGTACTTTAAAGTTCTTGACATATTTTTGTATAGAATTGAACGCTCTACAAAAAAGGTTTCTTATGTTTTTTTGATAAATTTGATCCTTCTAAACAAATTTAAGGTCAAAGTTCAAATTATACAAAATTTTTCAGTTTTTTTAACTTATTTGGCGAGTCTGCCCGACTCATTTAAAAAATTTTGAAATATTTTTGTAGAGAATTGAACGCTGTTTTTCCGAACTTCCAGAGCTCAAAAACAATATTTCGATTCGTTTTTAGCACTTTGAACTAAAAAATCCAGAAAAAATCCGAGAAAACGACTAAATTGACGGTTAATTTCACTTTAACCTTGAATAACTTTTAACCAAGTTTACTTACCGAAAAATGACTTTAGAACTTTTTTGTAGAGCGTTCAATTCTCTACAAAAATATTTCAAATTTTTTTAAATGAGTCGGGTAGTTAAAAAACACAAAAATTTCGTATAATTTGAACTTTGACCTTAAATTTGTTTAGAAGGATCAAATTTATCAAAAAATCATAAAAAACCTTTTTTGTAGAGCGTTCAATTCTCTACAAAAATATGTCAAGAACTTTATAGTACGACTTATTGTTCGTTAGTTTTTCCTATGTTATTCTTATGGAAAATCGAAAAGTGCGATGCGGAACATCTTAATTTTGAAATTAAGAGCTCATTTTTTCACAGGCTCATTTTTATATCTATACGAAACTTTTGAGCGTGGTTCCGAGAAAAAAAACAAAAAAAGGGTTTTTTGAAACACCCCACTATATAAGCATATAAAGAAAGAATAAAAACGCATTAAATTAAGGGAAATGTGTTATAAACAGGTTCCAATAAATTCTCGCAACTTGCACGAGGTGATATTCCGCATAGTGGAGATCGGAGTGGCCGTGTGGTTCCCCGCGGTGCTCTGGAACTGCATGCAGCCCGCCGAGCTGTGGATCCTCAATCCGAGGAAGCTGCTGAGGAAATTCGACGGCGGCGGCGGCCGCGCCAAAGAAGGGGCCGGCGGCGGCGACGCGGTCGACGGCGGCCCCGCCAACAAGGACTCCGCCAACGAGCGCGGCCAGGATCTGGAAGAGGAGATTTTTCTCGATCGCGGCGAGTGCTGGATCTGCTACGACGGGGACAAGCAGGAGCCCCTCATTCAGCCCTGCGCCTGCACCGGGGACGTCAGCAGTGTGCACCACGACTGTTTGAGAAGGTACGTTTGCCATTTTTATTCGTTTTCACACTCTAAACTTGCAGGGCTCCCACACCTCCTAAAACTCATAAAATTCCTAAAATTTTGCTTAAATCTTCAAAACTCATCAATCTCATAAAACTCCTAAAAATTAAATATAAATAGGCCAACCTGACTGCGTTTAATTTAGGTAGTTGTACTAAAAAAAATTCTTTTTTAAAAAGTAATTTAAAAATATAAATTTTTAGATTCTAGTTTATTAAATTCTTTTTAAAATGATATAATATCACAACCAACATTTTTCTTAAAAAACAACGTATATACCTAAAAAGCAAAAACTAAGTAATAGCACTTAGACTTCTACAAAATTGTCATTTTTAGCCTTATTTCGTTTGTTTGAGACAATAATATACCGTGTTATATAACAAACAAAAGGATATTTAATTTTCTTTTAAATGACAGCTAAAATAGTACACAATCTAAATAATGTTTTCCTGTATATTGCAAACTCCATATATTTTCTATTATGAGATTTTTGAGTATTAAGAATCTTAATAATTGTTAGGTATAATTATATTAACTAAACGGTTAATATTTTTTTCTTAAAATATAAAATTTAATTAATATAACATCATTTGATTTTGGCCTGTTTTTAGCCAAATCTATCGACGCGTTTTTTTAAATAAAATTAAGATATACAAAAGTAGTAATTTTACCTCACTTTTAATTTTATTACAAAAATACCCGTCGAGCGATTTGACTAAAAAACTCAACATATTACTTATTTGTATTTAAATTTTTCTTAGAAAGAATTATATATTTTTTTCTTATTTTTGAAGTATAGTGTAGAGTTGTTTTTATTTAATTAAATAAATTCATTTACTTTATTTATCCTAAAATTTTACAAAAAACCTCCCAAATTCCTAAATAAAATTTCTAATTTAGCTGTGGGAGCCCTGATTTTATGACACCCTGTTTTAGTATTTATTAGATAATAAAGTTTAGCACTATAATAATGTTTTAACAGAAATTTACAAAGATAAATTTTTAATACAAAAGTAGTTTTTTTTTAATTATGGAATATATAATTTTTTATAATTTTAATTATGTACACACGTGTGACATAATAATAAATTTAATTCAAATTTAATGGAAATTATCTCTAGCCATAATAATAATTATTTTGTATGATACATTTTAATTTGATACGCATTTTTTTGTAACATTTAAATACACTCACGTGCAAAATAATCAATCCACACAAATTTTCGATGAATTTCAATCGCAAATAACTTTTTTATTTGATGTCGGATTTAAACAAATATTAAAGAATATTGTAGATAAATTAATGGGCAATCGCTCACATTTAAAAAAATTACTAAAAAATAGACGTACGTTTATAATATACAGGTTTAAACAAAAATATGTTTTTTACCATAAGTTTACGACACTCTGTAGAGTGGCAAAACCGTATATTGTTCTAAATTAACTTTTATTTATCAAGTCACATCTATTCTTAACAGTTTTGTTTTTGGTTCACCTCGATATATTTATTTTTGTGGAAAACATTGCAATTTCCAATATTTTTCCTGTATGAAGAACTAAGGTTGCTATGGAGCCTATGGAGAATGACAATGACAGTTTTGTTGAATCATCCCATACTTGGACATGTCATATACAGCTTTCAAAAGCTATCAAATTGTTTTTTGAAAATTAATGTGTTAATTTTGAGGTGTCTTCTTACTTTATAAAATTTATTAATTTAATCCAGGATGGACGGTCACAGTATTACGTGGCAAGTGTTTTAAACGTCACAAGAAGTAAAGTACAAAGGGCAACATCTGTCGGAGACATTTTTAAAAGTAAGAAGACACCTCAAAATTAACACATTAATTTACAAAAAACAATTTGATAGCTTTTGAAAGCCATGTATGACATGTCCAAGTATGGGATGATTCAACAAAACTGTCACTATCATTCTCCATAGGCTATGGATGGACCATAGCAACCTTAGTTCTTCATACAGGAAAAATATTGAAAATTGCAATGTTTTTAAAAAAAATCCATATTTTCCACAAAAATAAATATATCGAGGTGAAACAAAAACAAAACTGTTAAGAGTAGATGTGACTTGATAAATAAAACTTAATTAGAACAATATACGGTTTTGCCACTCTACAGAGTGTCTTAAACTTATGGTAAAAAACATATTTTTGTTTAAACCTGTATATTATAAACGTACGTCTATTTTTTAGTAATTTTTTAAAATGTGAGCGATTGTCCATTAATTTATCTACAATATTCTTTAATATTCGTTTAAATCCGACATCAAATAAAAAAGTTATTTGCGATTGAAATTCATCGAAAATTTGTGTGGATCGTTTATTTTGCATGTGAGTGTATTTTACCTGCCGAATATTTTTATGATTTATGGGTCATACAAAATTTTATATTGTTTTTAACATATTTTCATGTAATACCAAAGATTAAATATACTATATATCTGTATACATAAAATTAATTTTAAAATTAAAATGTTAAATTTAATTTTGACATTAATTCAAAGATGGCTGATGGAGAGTTCCTCCTCTTCGACGGGCCCTCTGCGGTGCAAAGTATGCAACTACGCGTACGACATATGCAGCACCACCAAGTTGGACTGGGACAGGGGTTTTACATACAAACACTGGGGAAGTACCGTTTTCATCGTCACCTGCCTCTGCATGGTGGTGGCTGTTTCTTGGATAATCATCCAACTCTACGATAACAACTACATCAGGATGCTCAGTGCTAGCGTGGCCTTGCTCGTCATATATCTTTGCATCAAGTAAGTTAAAAAAATAATATTTTTGATTTTTTTTAAACATTTGATCACTGAAAGTTTTTATTTTATTTTTTTTATTTTTGCTATAAAAAAATTATATTTTGTTTTTTAACATTTGATTCACCATCATAATACAAATTTTGAAATCTTTTTAAATTTTTTTTTTAATTTATATTTTTTCACTTTTGCCATAAAAAAAATTTTATTACTTCATTTTTGCTATAAAAAAAAAATATTTTTCGTTTTTTAAACATTTGACCACTTTTTTTATTTTTTTTTTTATATTTTTTGAGTTTTGCTATAAAAATTGTTTTTTACGCATGTTTATTCCCAAAATGCAATTCTGGCTAAAGTAGACTTTAGAAGCCTTAAAAATGTATAACTCCTATTATAAATTATATAATTTATAATCCTATACAAGGTAACCCTGAAATCCCTGATGATACCACATAAACCTGAGACCGAAATAAAGTATTTTCAATACATTCAGTACTAAAGGATTTTTTTTATATTATGTTTATATTTATGGACTTTTTTCGTCACGTGTTTGGTATTTCTACAAACAATTACCAAATAAAAATTTCTAGGGAAAAATTTAAAAAACTAGGGACAAATACCCAAAACTGCAGAATTTTTAAAAAGTTGGTTAGCAATTTTTCCCATTATTTTATCGACCTCCATTCCTATCTGGTTTTTTTTAAAATATACATGCATATTTGATAAGCACAATCAACATAAAGTCGCAACCTTATCATTAATGGAAAATTCCCGTTCGTCGCTCATTAGAAGAAGAAAAAATGTAAAAATGTAAATTTCAGATTTTTGGGCCAAAACACGTTGTCAGCTTACCAACGTGCCAAAGTGGCGGCGCTTAACATCGGCAACCACGTAAACACCATCAGCGAGAACGTGAACGAGGTCGAAGCGGTCGGCATACAAGCTGCGCCACCTACTGCTCAAGTAGAAAACTGATTTTTCGATTTTGTTTTTAACTTTACTAAAATTACGGGCTACACAGCGGAGGATGAGGTTTAACACCCTGTTGAAGTACAAAACGGCTTGTCGAGTTTCAGTAAATAATTTTAGAACAAATTTCGAGAAAATATTCCGCCAAGTTGAAATTTATTGTGATAAAAATTCACTTTTGCGCTGTCTTTCTAAAAAGCTATCAGTTCCAGCGCTGATTGTATTTCGGTCTTATTATTATTAATGGAACAAAATATTTCTTATTTAATATTTAATAAACTATAAGATGGAATGCATTTTAATCAGAAATAGCGTTAGTCAGCAGTGTATGTAACATAGTATTACTAGTTTTAACAATTTATTCACTACATTTTTTTGTTAGTGAATTTATTTCCCTTTTTACTTTAACCCTTTAGATCTTTTATTTACTTTACTAGTTTCATTTGACGTGTTGTTTTCAAATTGTGGTCTCATCACGTCATTTTTGTTATGTATATTAATTAATACCAGGCATCACACCTCTAACATGAATATATTTAATGGCTTACTTTATTTGTACATATTTTTAGTATTCTTTGGTTCATCAAGTTTTGTAAATAGGCAGAAATGAAATATCAATAATCTTCTATATGATAAGTACATGTTTACTTAGTTTTAATTTTTAATTGATTATGCCAAATCTATAAATGTATGTTATGCAACAAAATACATATGAGTAACTATGTAAGGAGAAATCTTTTATTTTTGTTACCTTAATGACCTTACAGATGCTTACAAAATAAAGGTAGGTAATTAGGTTTTTTATAATAATACAAAAAAAACAAAGAAAATATCAAAGCAATTTTAACCAAAATATAAAAATATTTTCCCAAAGATAAAGAAAAAATATGCATTACAAGTTTTTTTTTATTTTTTTATATCCCTTAGTTAAGATATTTACAAGTTGAGCAAATGACCTGAAATTTGAAAGAAATGCGCAAAATGACATAATCAACAATTAATAAAAACGCCAAATTAACAATTTACACTTGATTATGCATTTTTGTAATGAAGGTAAATTTAAACAAAATCTGTCAACTTTTTGACAGAATCTGGAAACGCTGCTTGTTTCCAACCATAACATAATACAATGATTTAAATTCTTATTTCTGTTTGTCTTAGATAAAGTATGGTATGCAACTCGTTTTTATTAAACACTCGCTCGTACCTAATAAAACTCGTAAATAAAATGGCGTTTATAAAACTTGATACATAATGTACTATTATATGGATAAATAAAAATATACAAACTGCCATGTCATGTGGTATAAAATTAAAGCAAGCCCAATGGGCAATTCTCTCGCCTCAAGCAGCAACAAATAGAAATAATTTAGGTTTTAATTTTTTATTTGCAAAATGGTCAATTTAGAAAAATTAAGCTATCAAAAGTACATACAAAATACCATCATCAATGAGAAAGATTACACTTCAACATAATTTTGTCATATATTATATCACGAGAACTATGAATTTAATCAGTAGTTTTTTGTTTGGTTTTTGTTGGAAAAAGTTGAATGCAAAATAATTTAATAAAATCACGAGACCGCGTAGCGGTCGAGGGGTTTTATTTTTAATTATTTTGCATGAAACTATTTTCCAAAGAGAAAAATCAAATAAAAAACTTACTGAGCATAGTTTGACAGATTGAATTTATAGGTTGAGTGATATACCTACGTCTAGATTATTTCTCGAATTAAAGGAAACTATTTGACAATTCATAAAATCTGACGTATGTGTCAAAATTTATAAATATTTTTTTAAAGAAAATTCGATTAATTTAAGGTATGTAATAAGTAATAATTGATATTTCGTAAACTAGATAACTTATTTTTTATTGTTTTTAAAAAAATGTTTGTTAAAACTTGTAAATAACACCATAAAATCGTAAACAAAAATCCAATATGGAGGCTAAAATTTAATCGCTGTTAAATAGTTCTAGTGATTTAATCGCTTATTCAAACGAAATTTATTCGAAAATTCAAGGCTTTTGATTGGTTCATATTATAATGAGGGAAATAGTCGTAAGTAATATCATAAGGGCATTTAATTTTTCCGAAAAGAATCGAAAAAACACGTTGCTAAGTGATATTTTAACAAAAAGCATGAGTGCTGGTGGCAACAAAAATCCGAGTCGAAGAGGAGGATTTTTGCACCTGCACGAATGCTTTTTGTTAAAAAATATTACTTAGCATTGTGTTTTTTCGATTTTTTTTCACAGGAAAAATTAGATGCCCGAATGGTATTTGACAAGACTATTTCATGAGTAATAGTTAACAATTAAAATATAAATTGCAATTTTAGTTGACAACAGCTGTCAAGTTTTGCCGCGGGTAAACTCGAATAAACTGCTGACAGGTGCTGTCACACAGTTTTTCCACCTAGAAACCATTTGTAATTCAAAATTGCGCGTTTGTGATTGGTCGAAATTAAGACGAGGGAAATAGTCAATGTTAAATTAGGGAAAAAGTTGGTAGGATGTCCCCTTCTGTAGATTGTTAACTCCTATACCATAAAATAATAAATTATAGTAATTAAAAAATATGTAGATAAGTAAAAATGTTTATTTAAGAAAATAGAATATAAATATAAAAAAGTAACTTGTTGTATATAAAAATATAATCTATAAATAATAGCTAATAATATAAAACAGCATTCAAGCACTGACCGTTTTAAGATTTTAAAATTATCTTTCACAACAACAACAACAATAAAAACCATTAATTAAAACATTAAAATTCGACGTACACACAAACAACAAAAACTAAAAATAAAATTTAATCCATGATTAAATTATCTTCGCTAGAGTGGTGCCTAAGGCCCGATTCGCAATAGTTGGGGTTCGTGAATTCGTGTTGGTTCGGGTTCAGGATCGGCTTGTCCAACTCGTCGCCTTTTCTTTGGTAGTTTGGATTATAAAACTTCATCCTAAAAATGTTTATTAGTATTGTGAAGTGAGGTAGTAGTAGTGGGTATTCTTACTTTATGTTAAATTTGCCACTCGACTTTTTCTTGACTACGACATAAAGAAGAATTCCGAATAGCACCAAACATAGGGGTACCAAGACAGCGGTGACTATCACGGCGCCACTGGTTCTGGTTTTACCCCCGTCCAACATTTGCACTTGGTGGACTTCATGGAACGGTCTGGAGGTATCATCTTCTGATTCTCTCTGAAAAAAACAATTATTACAAATGCACACATACAGGGTGTTTCATAATATATGCGCAGGACTTCAGGATGTGATAGCTCATCCAAAAAGATGAAAAAAGTCGCTATTAAGTTACGCTCTAAAATGCCCAATTTTCGAGATACAGGGTGTTGAAATTTTAGAAAAAAATTCGTTTTTTTCGAATATCTTCGGAACCGTTTATCGTACAAAAAACAGCTTTTGTAAGCATTTTCTACTCAAAATAAGCTATGTTTTGTGCTAGAAAAAATTTTTTTTTTTCCTTATAATTGATGGAGATTTTGAAGGGGTAGCGGGTGTTTTTCTCCTCAACTTCTACGCCCCTGAAAAAAGTACGGTTTTGAGAGGCCCGTTCGAACCGCCAATGTTTTCTACACAAAAAAGGTACTCCTGGTCATAAGCTCGAAAGTTGACCGTTTTCGAGAAAAATCAACTTTTATGTTTAAAAACATGGTCAATTAAAAAAAAAAACTTTACTAATTAAATAAAATTTATTTAAACGTTAGGACAAGTAACAAAACCAAACCATAATTGCAAAATAAAAAATGATTTAAAAGTTGTCTTTGCTTAATTCTCCAAACCGTAAAGGTAACGCATTTCGCACATTTCAGCATTTGAGTAAAAAATCATTTTTTATTTTTTTTTTAATTTTGCAATTATCGTTTGGTTTTGTTACTTTTTCTAACGTTAAAATAAATTTTGTTTAATTAGTAATACAAATTTTTTTTCCAAAAATTGACCATGTTTTTAAACATAAAAGTTGATTTTTCTCGAAAACGGTCAAACTTTAGAGCTTATAACCAGGAGTACCTTTTTTCTGTAGAAAACATTGGCGGTTCGAATGGGCCTCTCAAAACCGTACTTTTTTCAGGGGCGTTGAAGTTGAGGAGAAAAACACCCGCTACCCCTTCAAAATCTCCACCAATTATGGGTACAAAAAAAAAAATTTCTGGCACAAAACATAGCTTATTATGAGTAGAAAATGCTTACAAAAGCTGTTTTTTGTACGATAAACGGTTCCAGAGATAATCTAAAAAAACGATTTTTTTCCTAAAATTTCAACACCCTGTATCTCGAAAATTGTGCATTTTAGAGGGTAAGTTAATAGCGACTTTTTTCATCTTTTTGGATGAGCTATCACATCCTGAAGTCCTGCGCATATATTATGAAACACCCTGTATTTGTGCACCAGTTTTTACCAGAACTGATGCGCACGCATCTCTGGGATTGATTAGAGCGCCATCTTCGCACAAGCATTTATAACCGGCAACACTGGGCACGCACAGATGCGTGCAGGTGTTGTTTCCGCAGGGGTCCTCCACTTTGGGCTGCACACTGTCCTGATTTATGGCGAACAACTCGCTAGAGTAGCTGTGTATCTTAAAACTGTCGCACGATCTCGGCGCGTACAGCTTGCACTTGCTCATGAAGCCGCCCACCGCGCTGTAGTAGAGCTGGTCTTCGAAAAATCTGACGGATATAGGTCTGGTGAGATTGGCGAACAGCACGGCGTTGCGCTCGCCGTTGTACTCGACCGTTTTTATCGCGTTGTTGTGCTGATCGACGTAGTACAGGAACTGTTTGTTTAGGTCGAACGTCATGCCGGTTACAAAGCCTTAAATTAAATATTAACCAGTCAGATCTTCATTTGAAGACTTTTGCTTTGAAATTTTTGCATTGCTATTACACTAGTCACTTTTTAATTGTAGTTTTAAATGAAAAACAAAATTGAAGGTTGTTTTTTAAAATTATGACAAGCATAACAATTATTTTTTTAAATATATTTTAATTTGATAGGTATTTTTTGTAACATTTAAATATTTTACCTGAAAAATATTTTTAAACATTTTACATATTATTTTGTTGGTTGAATTAATATTTGCGTCATTTAATTTGGTCCATTTTTATTTCATATGAGGTTCTTTTTTACTTTAAACTTTATATTGGAATTATTGTGAGACTAAAAACATTGTTGAACATTTTTTTTTAAACAAGATTTTTATTTTACAATTAATTTTACGTGTACACATAATTTTAATTCTAATAAAAAGTGATATACAGATACGGCTATTTGGATATTACTTATCAATAAAAAAAAATAATTTTATGTATAGACATAAAATTAATTATATAATTTTATGAGTACAGATAATTATCTGTACTCATAAAATTATATAATTAATTTTATGTCTATACATAAAATTAATTTGGCGCTTTGGGAATGCGGTAGGAAGTGCAACTACAGTAGTTCAAATGCATAGTAGGTATATATGCGTAATATATAGTAACACATGCAAAAATATTAAGAATTTTATTCTAAAATATTTAATAATTTAATTTACTCACTTTACATTACTAGATAATTTCCGGTGAAACCAGAAGTGACAAAAATATGTTAAATATGTCAAAAAGTTCTAAATTACACTTTTTAAAGGTTACCAAATTTTTGCGATGAACCAGGAATTTACTAGAAAATGGCATTTTCATTAAAGCAATTTAGCCAACTCAGTTGTTCATATTATCAACTTCAAACAAAAAAAATATAAAGTACCTAAAAAAAATGTGGCAATGTCAAAATTTTGACCTCAATTTTTTTTTGCATTTTTTAGAATAAACAATAAAAAAAAATTGTGTGAATTCACTTAATTTTTTATATTTGTTTTGTATGTAGTAAACATTTACCTACAATTTTAAAAAAAATTCTAACGATCGAAACATTTTTGGCCAAGTTATCGTATTTTCAAGAAAAAATGTCACTTGTAAAAAGAGAAAAATCGATGTAAAAATTTCGGTAAAAAATAACGTTATTGTTATTGGACTTACCTGTGGTACTTTTGACCAATTCTTGCGTTCCAGTGCCGTCCAGGTTGCACTTGTAGATGACATAGCTAGGAGAGTTAAAAACCCACCAGCTGGTCAGGGAATAGAACAAATGCTTGTTGACGGAATCCACTGCTAGGGCTGTAACCTGTCGGTGCAAATCCACGTTGATTAATTTCGTGCAAATCTTGTCGTCGAAGTTGCAAATGCTGATCGACTTGGCCCTGGATTCGGAGTTGACGTAGTAGACGTTATTGGTGGACCAGTCCACGGCCAACTTCTGCGGCTGCCCCACGTGCTCCATGTACTCTCTCTTCTTGCTGGCCGTGTTGATTCTGTGCACCGTGCCCGTGTTCTCGATGGAGAAGTAGACGAACTGGCTGGCGACGGCGACGTCGATGCCCGTTATCTTCGGGGTCTCGTCGCCGTAGACGATGTTCAGGCTGTTGGTTTGCTTTTTCAGCTCGCGAATCTGGTTGTCTGCCGTGTAGAGCATCGACATCGGGTAGCCTTCGGCCTTGCAAGAGCTCTTGTCGGCCCTAAAAGTGTTGCTGTTATTACGTAGGCCGACAAAATATCTTTTTTAGCTTTAGTTTTCACGATATTTGATTGATTGAAAAAATTAATGTTTGTATTTTTTTTTTCATACGTTCTTTTTTGTTCAATATAAAACAATGTTAAAAAAATGTGTAACTATGTGGATATAAAAACAACTTTGTTGAAAAGTTTCACGAAATTTATTAGTGTAGTGTGTAGCGAAACAATTGTCAAAATTTAATAAATTTCGTGAAACTTTACAACAAAGTTGTTTTTATATCCACATAGTTAATATGGAGTTTCATCAAGTAAAGGTCTAAACAATTAATAAAAATGTGTAACAAAAGACATTACCCATTACATCAGTGAAAAATGATCAGGGGTAGGGTTAAAAAAATGTTGATTTTAGATTTTTTTTATCTTTCGATATTTTTAAGTACCTACCCATTAAAAATTCCTTTCTGGTAAAATTTGATATTTTTTTGATTATTCATTCAAAAGAACAATCGCGTTTTTTTGTTTTTTGCTGCTAATTTCTTTAATAATGCTCCAAATTGAAACTTTTATTTCTTAAAATTTTCGTGTATCAAAATTATCCAAAGCATATTTTCATGCGAATTTTGAGTTTTAAAATTTTAATTAACAGTTGTTTGTATTCTTTGATTTCCTTGCAAATTTTTTACGTTAAACTTCTACCCACTCAAGAAATTTTAAGCCATGGTTGATAGTGGGATTATGATAATTAGGTGAGAAGCCAACCTAAACTTAAAAAAGTATTGAATCTGCGATGGGATAAACGAATAATTAATTTTGAACATCTGTTACTGGTAATAAACCAATTCAAAACAAAATTTGAAAAAATGTGTCAATGTGCAATAAAAATATATTCCTGAGCACTAAAAATGAGTAATTCGATAATCATTTATTTCTCATTAAAAATAAAAAACGAGTAATGTAAAGTGAGTACATTACTTATTAACATAAAAAATACCCATTACAAATTAAAAATGAGTAATGTAAAAAAATATTATATTACCCATTCAAAAAAATGTAATTAGTAATTAACTTAATTTTCATTAAAAAAGAAGTACTTAATGCATAATGAAAATTAAACACATTACTTATTAGTTTAATAATGTGGATTGAAATCTTAACGCATTAGAAGGGGTGGGAGCACCCAGTCGCCGCCATATTGACTATTTACATTTTGATGTGAGTTATTTTTTAAGCTATTTTTCAGTTTTCTAAGTGTAAAAAATGTCTACCTGCCAAGTAAAAATCTGTTAAAACAATGCTAAAAGAAAAAAACCTGGAAATCCTTAATATGGACATGAAAAAATTAATGTTAATTATAGTAAGTAGATTTATTTTAAAAACAATTAAATTGAAGTAGTTTTTTAGAGGTAATTTTTTTTGTATTTGTTCCATTATTTGCTTTGAAGATAGTTGATATAAGACGAAAATTTGATAGAAAAAACACACAACGGCCATTTCAAGCGGATGGACGGGACAAATCACAAAACTGTTTGTATAAAAAAAATTGTAGGTAATTTATTATATATTATTTTTGCATCAAAATTGTCAAATATATTCTTCTATTATTAGGCTATACATTAAATAAAAAAAACGCAAGAAATATTTTATAAAAGTAGAGATAATTTCAATAATTGACAGGGGTGGACGGACAAGATCAATCTATTTTTTGTCCCGTCCACACCTTTCAATTATTAAAATTATATCTGCTTTCATAAAATATTTCTTGCGTTTTTTTTTATTTAATGTATAACCCAATAAAAGAAGAATATTTTTGACAATTTTGATGCCAAAATATTATTTAATAAATAATCTACAATTTTTTTTATAAAAACAGTTTTGTAATTCGTGCGTTTCGCGCGCTTGAAATGGCCGACAAACTACATTCCCATAAAAAAAGTCTTTAAAATTGGATATGGTTCCAACCTTACACTGCTGATCTATTAAAAGAGAAATCAAGTAATTTGTAAGAAATTAAAACAAAATTTAAAAAACAAAATTAAATCTTTTTTTGCATTGTGCAGAAAATGTACCAAGACAAGGAAGCTAATAATCTTCAAGGACATTCCATAATTAGAAAACCAGCTTATTCCATACTATAATATAATATTTTCACAAGTTTAGTTTGTTTATTCATGGTGGCCAATTTAGGGTTTTAATTTGGCAATCAAACCAAAATTGCAATTATTTGTGAGTACAATTTTGTAATAAATAAATTTTAAAAAAATATATGGTTTACATTTTTCTTGCAATGTTAATGTAACTTGAATCATTTGATTTATAAATGGATTTTTGGATATTTTGGTTGAAAACCCATTATTTAAAACATTTAACTTAAAAACTTAAATTAAATTTTTGTTGGCACTTTTTTATTTGTATTATTAATTAAGTATTTAATTAATTATTATTATTATTTACTTTAAAACAATATATTTTATTTGATTGAAAAACCATATAGTTTTTTTCATTAATAATATTTTCTTAAAAAGCTTTTTTCTGTAAAAAATTTGTATATAAAAAATACTTTTTAAAATATCGCGGAGTTAAAAACTAATAATTTAAAATGAATGAATTCTTACTTTAGCATAAATCCTTGGAAACAATCGCACTCATATCCGCCATCTTTGTTGACGCACAGTTGCGAACAAATCGGAGGGTCCATTGCGCACTCATCTATGTCTTTACACGTGTGGCCATCTCCTGACAACTCGAAACCCTCGTTGCATTCGCACGTGGGACCTACAGGTGTTTTGATGCACTTCTACGAAAATAAAGGCGTTAAAAATCGTTGAAATCTCATGTTTAATGAACGTACTTGAGAACAAGGATTCAGCACGCCTTCGCAGGATGTCTTGCAGAGCCCGTCCTCGTCGGAACCGTCGTAGCAGTCGTGTTTTCCGTTACAAAGAAGGTCCTTGGTTATGCACGCTCCGGACTGACACCTGTAGCCGTAGCTGCAGGGCGCTTGGTGGCCGGGAAGCGTCTTGTTGTGCTCGCAGAGTTCGGGCTGTTCGTCGGTCTTGTCGCCGCAGTCGTCCACCTTGTCGCACAGCCACTGCGCCGGTATGCATTTGCCGTTCCCGCAGCTGAATTCGTCCACGTTGCAGCTGGAGCAGTCCTTCTCGTCCTCGTGCTGCGGGCACTCGGAGGTGCCGTTGCAACGGGCCGCGTTCATCACGCAGATCGAGGTGTTCGATGCGCACGGGAATTCGTCTATACCGCAGTTGCCTACATGGAAATACGGTTCAGTTAAAACTATTTAAAAGTCTGAAAAATGTTAAATATTATCTAAAACCTTCTAGAAATTGTTTAAATTGCTCAGAACCTATTTAAAAGAGTCCTAGATTGAGATGTAACAAAACCTTTTTTTTTTCAAGACCGCTACAATTTACAATAAAGTATATTCTGTCAATACCTAATTAACATTGATATCTACTCTAATTCTGTTCTACAGGTATGAAAAAAATTATTCAGTTTTTTTTTCGTCGAAAAAGCTTAAAGGTAAATCTTACTTTTTTCGTTTGCTTGAATAAAACTCAGCCCCACATTAAAGCATCTCATTGGTTCAATGGTTTTTTATGTCAACTCATGAACGGTTGGCAAGAGAAAAAAGTAAATAATTTTTTATAGGAAATTTGGTCTTTTGCAAAAAAGTCTAAAATTAATATTTTAAAAGATATGTACGTATTCAGTCATTAAAATTATTAATGCTGGCAAAAATTATTTTAATTTAATCTTCATGGGTGAATATTAGGGTGTGCCAAAAAAACTCGATATATTTTTTTCTTGCTCTCCACCCAAAATATCGTAGAATATGTCCGAACAAATATTCTGTTAAAAGCGGAGCTCATAATTTCAATTTTAAGAGGTCCTTCATCGAATCTCAAGTTTTTCCGCTTAAATAACACAGAAAACTGACTTTTTAACCTTATTTATTCTTGCAACCTAGGAAGATTTTTTTTTTCATAAAATCCATGACTAATTCTTACAAAGCATTAAATTTGGACAAAAAAATCTTATTAAGCCGAATTTCTAATTTCATTATTTGATTTTTTACAGAACTTTAAATTTACAGACTTAATAATAATAATAATAATAAACTTTATTGGAAATCCAAAAGGCTAACGACTTTCGTCTTCCTGCCCAATTACAATTTTGTATATAACAAATACTATATTTTAATTTATGTTCTGTACTTTACAAAAAAAAAAAAAAAAAAAAAAAAATGTTATAATTAAATATATTGTTAAAATCTTCATTAATCTTCTGTCAATTCCCTGAGTGAGTCATACAACGATTTCTCTGGGTATTTTCTCCTTGGTGTTGTCTCGAGTTGTGTTTTAAGAATCAAAGGTTCCATCACATTAAGGTTTTCGGGTTTGTTGGCAAATTTTTTCGCTAGGTATTCCAATCTTTCTTGTATGGGTTGTATTCCAGTGATATGGTAAAGGGCTTCATTGGATGGGTTAAATAAGGAATTTTGAGGATGTCTGATTTTTGTAATTTTCCTTATGCTTGTGCGCTCGCCTATCTCTATGTTTGTTAGGGTGGGTTTTCTGCAATTTATAAAAAGAACAGATCCATATTCCAGCACTGGGCGACAGATAAGTTTATAAATGTTGGTTGCCACAGCAATATTTATTCCCTGGTCTTTATAAGTTAAGCTTCTAAAGTGCTTGGCCCTGTTTATAATACATGTCTTGGTGTGGCTTGTGTGTTGTTTGAAGTTTAACTTAGTGTCTATCAAAATTCCCAGGTAACGACATGATGTTGATGGTTTCACTGTACTTTGCATAATATTTATTGTGGGCGAATTTTCTTTTATTTTGTGATGGAACAGTAGTAGGCGTGATTTTGACGGACTTGGTAGGATTCTCCATTTAGACATCCATGACGATACATGATTGGTTAGTTCTTGTAGTTTCACACTTGCTTCTGATGTCGTTTTTCCATGCGTTATCAAAACTGTGTCGTCAGCATATTGGAGAATATAGCTCTGTCTGTTTATGTTTAAGTGGTCCAAATTGTACATGTCATAACAAAATAAATTATACAAGAACGGTGATAATGGTGAGCCTTGTGGCACTCCTTGTTCTGGTGAAAAGGTGGGGGATAGTGTATTGCCAATTTTTACTTGTATTTTCCTTTGTGTGAGGAATTCTTTTATTATCCATACCAAATAATTCGGGCTTTCCAATTTCACCAATTTTTTCAGCAACCCATCGTGCCATACGGAATCGAAGGCTTTACAAATATCCATAAACAGCGCAGTTGATTTATTTCCCTCTATACTCTTCTGTTGTACATTTGATGTTAAGACAATTAGTGGGTGAGTAGTGGAAGTTCGTCTCTTGAATCCAAATTGGTATATTGGGATTTTATGTCCAATGGCCTGTTCTAATCTATTTTTGATTATTTTTTCAAAAGTTTTTCCGACAACTGGCAATAAGGTGATGGGCCGGTAGTTGCCTGGGACAGTGTGATCCAAGTTCGCTTTAGGAATGGTAATTATTCTTCCTTTCTTCCATTCTTCCGGAAAATAACTATTATGCAGACAGAAGTTATAAATTCTTATTATTTGGTCATGGATTTCCTGGTCAAATTGCTTTAAAACCAATCTAGGAATTTGATCATGCCCTGGTGCCGTATTCTTCCCGTTCAAACTCTCGAAATATTCGTCTTCAGTTACATTTTCTATATTTTCATTTAAGTTTCTTTGAGTAAAGTTATCTCTTACCCAGTTATGTGTATTATTTTTATAATTTCCATCAAAACTTACATTTTCCGAAAACTTAAAATTTTTTTCAAATTGTCTTGCAAAGGCCTCAGCAATTTCTTGCTCTGTTTGTAAGATTTTATTGTCTTCTTTTATATAGTGAATGTGGTTATATTTTTTATATCGAGAGAGTTTCTTTATTTCACCCCAGTATGACCGACCCTTTGCTACATTGATATTTTGGCATGCTTCTAGATATTTATCTGCCCTATATTGTAGAATTAATGTATGTATATCCTTATTTAATTCGTTGTATTTTCTTTTAAGTATAGGGTCGTAATTAATTTTTATCTCTCTATATAGTTGTTTCTTTATTTTAATTAGTTTTATGATGAATGGTGGTAATGTATGTGCAAAGAAGCTTGTTTTTAAAATAGGAGTATGTTTTAGAGTAATTTTGGTGATATTTTTTAGAAAGGAGTCAATTGTTTGAGGAGAAATATTCTCATGTAGGTTCATTGTCTGGATGATTTCGTTATTTATAGCTTCTATATTACTTTTTTTAAAATTATATTTGATGTTTTCTGGAATGGTTTGTGGATTTTTTCCTATATCAAAGTTAAATTGAATGGCAAGATGGTCGGATCCTAAATCAGGTATTAGTTCTACTTCTGTGATATTGTTAATGATGTTTTTTGTACAGAGCAAAATGTCTGGAGTAGTGTCACTATTATTGGGCATTATAAAAGTAGGAGGGGTGTGGATTTGGGTGAAATCTGAATTGTTTAAAAAGTTTTGTATTTGTTTTTTTCTTTTATTTGTAACATTAAAATCCCCTATGATGATTGCATATTTGTACTGTGATGCTTTCGTAAATAAATTTTCCTCTATTAATCTATTACTATGATGCATGTAAACCAAAAAAAAGTGTATTTTGTCGGTTTTGTAAGGGATAGTAAAATGTAACACATCATTGTAGGGGTTGTTAAAGTGTGGAGGATTTGATTTACCTATTTTAAGCCTGCGATCACCTTGAACCAAAGCACCCCCTCTTGTATTATTGTTGAGTATGTTGCCATGTTTATATATGGTTGTCCAATCCCTATATTGCATGGAACGATCTTCGTTTGTTTTTGTCTCTACAAACATGCTGCATTGAATATTATTTTGTTCAATATAGTGGTTAATTAAATGTTTTTTTGTAATGTAGCTGTTGATGTTTGAATAAATAAATTTAATTGTTGTTGACATGAATTTGGATTCCATCATTGGGTTCTGTTGGGGAGTGACTGTTTTCTTCATCTAAATCGAACATCAAAATGTACAGGCGATTTCCCACAAATGTTGGCACAGTGTTTATATTAAAACCGTCTATAAAACGTTTTTGCAATCTAGAAATTAGTTCTTGCCTGTCTGTATTTGTTGGTTTATTTATTTTTTTTATGTACGTATTGATAATATAATCATGAATTGTCACCGCCGAATGAATTTTATGATTTTTTGTAATTTTCTTGTCTATTTCACTTGTAGTTTTGTTTAAGGAACGAATTTTAATGTTTGGAATACCTTCAATAGGTTTCATGGGGCGTTTTGGACATTTAATTGACCAAGCAACATGCTCTGTAGACCTACAAGCTGTACATGATGGGGGTAAATTGGTTTTGCATTCCCTATCTTTATGATTTCCGGCGCATTTCGAGCATTTTGCCTCTGTGTTACAATTTTCAGTTGTATGGGAAAATTGGGAACACTTTGCACATGGTATTGGTAGCGGTTCAGGAGGATGACTTGGGTATGCTGGATAGTAACGAAATTTGTAGTAAATGCCTTCGTTAATTATCTTTTCATATGCTTTAATCTCTCCTGTAATTATTCTTATGTATAAGGAGGGTTTGTTTGTTTTTTTAGAGATTATTCTTTTACAATACCTGTGTTCGATTCCGTTATCTTTTAAAACAACACTTATTTCTTTTTCTTCAATATCTATGTCAACATTCGATATCACTGCCGAGAAGGATTGGTTATGTATTTTTTTTGAAGTTGTTTGTTGTGGGGTATTATTGGATAATTCGTATGTGTTAATAAAACCACAATCTTTCAATATTTTAAGGGTAGCTAAGGTGTTTTGTTTGTTATTGTTTGATTTGATAATAAATCCTTTTTGTGTTTTTAAGATTATTTCCTTTGAGTTTTTAAAGTAGGTTGCCCATCTGTCCGCCAGTTGGATTCTTGTTAGTTCATCTGGAGCAGTTATATAGAAAACGTTTTCATAGGTTTTTCTAAATATAGCTTGCATTTTCGGTGAAAGTGATGAGTTACTTGTTGTAGGATTGTTGTTTGTTTCTGCTGTTTGACGTGTATGAGTAGCTTTATAACTTGTGTTTGAATCTGATTGTGTGTGGTATGCTTGGTTTTTTGTACGAGCGTTTTTATCACTTGTTGTTTTTGTATACTTTTTGTTTTTGTTTACTCCTATAATTTCGGCGATCTCGTTTTCTGTGTATTCAGTGGTATCTGAGTCGTTATTTTTTTTACGTTTTTTCTTATTATAGGCCGGTATGGTAAATTCTCCCTCTGCATTTTCATCATCCACTTCCATTATGTGACACCTTACACTATTTGAGTTTAAGTTTCACGATTAAATTTAGTTTTATTTTTTTAACGATGCGTACACGAACAAGGTCAAAATAAAACTGTTTACAGACTTATTTAAGCTTATTTCGATGTTTTTTTAAGTAAATCAGATAAACAATTAACAATCGAAACCATCGAAATAAGCTTTAATAAATCTGTAAATTTTAATGGTAGAAAGTACATCAAATTTTACTAAGACAATTATTCCGAAAATTCAATTTTTTTATAATTCTTTATTAGCTTTATGTGCTAACATTAATATTTCACTAACAAAAAGTTATTAATACAAAAATGATGACTTTATACGCCTGTAACTTTTAGAATATTGACGATACAAAAAATTGGCCTAAAACTTTTTTGTGGTCCATCAGACAAGCTAAAAAATTGCCGTTTGACTTTTTCATCTAACTTCAATAGTTTAGCTGAAAAAGGCAAAAAACCTAAAATTTTAAATTTAAAGCTCTGTAAAAAATCAAATAATGAAAATAGAAATTCGGCTTAAAAGATTTTTTCGTCCAAATTTAATGTTTTGTAAGATTCAGTCATGGATTTTATGAAAAAAAAATGTCTTCTTAGGTTGCAAGAATAAATAACGTAAAAAAGTCAGTTTTCTGTGCTATTTAAGCGGCAAAACTTCAGAATCGATAAAGGATCTCTTAAAATTGAAATTATGAGCTCTGCTTTTAACAGGATATTTGTTCGGACATATTCTACGATATTTTGGGTGGAGATCAAGAAAACAAAAATATCGAGTTTTTTTGGCACACCCTAGTGAATATATTGAGATGTCCCCCAAGTGAAAATGATTATTTTTTATTTTTAGTTTTTTAAGAAATCATACATTTTGAATATTAGAGCTTCACAGAGGTTAGGTATGTTTTTTTTAAACATCCCCTTGTATATTTGAAATAAGTTATTGTATCTTTTGAAACCTTAATATTTTTTTAAAATACAATTTTACATACATAAAATATTTATAAAAAAAATCTACTTACTGAGATATCACACTTCACAGTGGATAGGTTTTTAAATAGCAAATTAATGAAGGAATCACATGCATCTATAATGTTGTAAACAGAGGTTTTTGCTTATTTAAAATGATTAAAGCGCCATCCGTTGCATACAATTTAAAGCAAAAACAGATTCACGGATGATAGAATCAATTTTTGTAACACCTACATAAATGGTTATAAAAATTATTTCTTTTAATTTTTAATAATATTTTATATTTGATTCGATTGCTTTGGATGTGTTTAATTTACTTAGTGAACTGATATTTTTGGTATGCTTTTACTACCTCAGATATTTGAAAACATATAGGTTAACCTAGAAAGAGTAACAGTCACGGAGGATAGGTTTTAGACTTTTAACACATTGTAAAAAATAATTAATCGCGGTTAAAAATCTGGAAACCGAGCTAAATTTCCTACAAAAAATGTATTTACTTTCTATTCTAAAGTCAAAAGTTTACAAGTTTTTGCTAATATTTTAAATTAAATTTTACTGCTAAATCAAATTTGCGGTGTTTTTGCGAAAAAGAGGCCAAAAGGCCAAAACTGAAAATTAAAAAAAAATTATGTTTTTTTCACGTTACATCTCTAGTCCTAGAACCTGCTAAAATGTCTTAAATCTATTTTAAAATGTTCAAAACTATCTAAAAAGTTTTATTTTTTTTTTGCAAAAATGGCGAATGAGCCGGGATTAACGTTTTCTGTAAATTGGCTTATTTTTACATTTTTATTAAAATCATTTCAACATTTTTTTAGGAAATCTAAGATTCATAAAGGAATGATATATTATCTTACCTTGTAATGTTGTTTGGCAAATAGTTTCATCGGAATGATCGCCACAATCGTTAGTTTTATCACAAACCAACTTGGAACTAATACATTTACCATTTGTGCAGGTGAACATGTCAGGAGAGCACGTATTAGCGGCTAAAACATTTCAAAAATATTTGTTATAAGTTAAAAAAATTAAATAAAAATTTTAAAAAGCCCATGTGCATTTTCTTACCGCATCCTTTGTGTTCATCGGAGAAATCCACGCAATCGTACTCGTGATCGCACTCCCAACTTTTGGGTATGCAAGTCCCCGACTTGCACCTAAACTGAGTCGACTCGCAGGTGGCGCTCTTGCAGTTCACCTCGTCAGACTCGTCCAAGCAATCCTTGACTCCGTCGCAAATAAATCGCTCCGCAATGCATTTTCCATCTCCGCACGCGAAATGATCCGGAGCGCATTTTTGCCCAGTCACTTTCAGTTCGCAATTCTGTTCGTCCGATTTGTCGCGACAATCGAAGTGGTGGTCGCAAACCATTTGCTCTTTGATACATTCACCTAAACAAAAATAATAATAATAATAATAATAATAGTCTGATTATGTAATAGCCCATTACATAGTTATAGGAATGTTTTAATCAAAATATTTATTTGAATAAAGGCTGTCTTTATAAGGTCTTACATGTAAGAGTAGGTATAGGTCTTTTATGGTAAAAATACAAATATTAGCCTGAAAATGGCTATTGCAATAGCCATTTTCAGGCTAATATTTGTATTTTTACCATAAAAGTCCTATACTGCCCTACTATGGAGATAGGCAGTAACTGCTGAACAAGAAATTTGTGGGAAATTAGCATAAACAACATTTTTATAAAAAACAGTAGATATTTAATTGATTTTTTTAACATATAAGATACCTATTTGACTGCATTTCTGTGTTGAATTAAGATACAAAATGTCCATAACTTTACCATAGCACAAGAAAACACATCTGCCTTTCTCCATAGTAGGGCAGTATATATTTATGTATAGTACTCACAAAAAAGTTGAACCTAACATCAAAAAAAAATTATTTTTTGTTTTTTATTTCCCCTTATTTTTTAAAATTTCATAAAATGTTTGATCTGCTTAGATGAAAATAATGTGTGATTTAATATTTGTAAAACCAAAAACGTTACTTTTTTACTCCAAAAAGGTCCATAAGGCAATGTACTTTTTTTGGCATAACTTTATAAATTAATAAAAAAAAATTAAATGTACTTCACCCATCCATTAAAAATTTGTACATTTAATCTGCCATATCAGAAACTTTGGCGCGCCATATCAAAAAATGCAAAAAGCGTACCGTTTCCACATTGGAAGTGTCCCAATGGACAATGATGCGGCTTGACGCAGTCCTCCTCGTCTTCTCCCTGTGGACATTCCTTGTTCCCGTTGCAAAGCATGCTCCTCAAAACGCACTTATCGGACTTGTGGCACAAAAATTCGTTATCCTCGCACTCCAACTTCTTGAGGCAACTCCTTCTATCGGCATCCAACACCATACCGACGGGACAGGCGCATGCGCTGGCCTTGTGCGACACCAAGCAGATATGCGAACAATTGCCGTTGTTGAGGTGGCACAAACTGTCGCCGATTTTCTTGGGAATCGTCGAAAGAATGTACAAGTTCTCCTGGTCTTCGGGTATGTCGAGGGTGACTTTTTTGTTGGCCGTGGTGGTAGCATTGCGCGGGGCCCAGTACACCCTCTTCGAGTACTGGTTCACCCAGAAAATATCGTTGTCCAAGATGGTGAGGCTGATTGGCGATGTTGCCAGCATTCTAAAACCGTGTCTATCGTCGCCTACAATTGCCGAAATGTTTAGTAAAAAATTATTAAATTTGCTTATTATTTTACCATCAACGCTGGTGCTTTCAATGTTACCCGTGCCAGCATCTGACCAAAAGACCCTGTAGTATTTGTAGTCGAAAGATAGGCTCAATGGGCCTATAAGCCCGGATTCTATAGCGTGTGTTCTGCCTGTACCATCCATTAACATTCTGTCAATGTGGCATTCTCTGCGGTTCTTTTTCTTTAATCCCACGAACATAACACTAAAAATATTATTCTTTGAAAAGTCCACAAAAAAATTGTTTAAGTATAGTATATTTGGGCAGAATTTTGAAATCCAAAATAATTTTTTTAGTATTTAAAGATAGTGTCAAGACATTTAAAATAAAAACAAATATAAAATATTTTCTACAAAAATAGTTTAAAAAGTTGAATTGTTTTAATATAAATGCAATTGACAATCAAAAAATATTTTAAATATAAAATATTGGTTTTTAAAAATTGTAGTTTAATATTTTAGATAAATTTTTAATACAAAAATTATAAATTAGATAATTTTTTAATACAAGAATTCTCATATTACATTTAAATGCTGGCTTTAAATTTTGAAGTGCTATTTTTTTTATAAAAAATGTATCTATCATTTAAATGACTTGAAAAATTCAAACCAAAAACTTTTATATTTAACAAATTTAAATTGATACATTTTCATTACAATCATGCTCACATTTAAATGTAAGTCGATAATTTTTAATTCACAAAGTGTAAACGCTGCTTTAGCTGACTGCATATGCTGCAGACCACTCTGCTAAAGCTACGTTTACACTTTGTAAATTAAATTTAAATATAAAGTTATAAATTTTGTGTTGGAAATGTATCAATTTAAAATTGTTTAAAATAAAGAGTTTTGGTTTAAATTTGTAAAGGGTCATTTAAATGATGGTCAATCAATTTTTAAACCAAAAATTACCACTTTAAAACTTACATTTAAATGTAATGTGAGAATTTTTGTATTAAAAATTTATTGATATCATTTAAATGATATGAATGAAATGACGGAATTTTTTTATAATAAAATATTTGAACTAAATTTTTTTTAAATCAATATTTTTAAGATTAAAGTTTTACAGCATTTTATATATAATTTTTTTTTACTAAGTATTAATTGTTTTGAGTTTAAACAAAATTAACTATTTAAATTCCTGTGCTAAACTTTAATCTTCCTAATAAACATTTTTGACTCCATTAACATTTTTTTTCGTTAGAAAAAATATTGAAAATGTATTATATATCAAAAAAAGCTACATACCCTTCTTCTGGTATAAGAGCAATGGATTCTGGTATTTCACCTTCCAAATCATGCAAAATAATTGTGGAAGTCATGGTGCTTAAATTAATTACCTCAACAGCACTTTTGCTTTCATCGCAAACATACAAATTGTTGCCAAGATGATCTACAACCATGTAAAAACATTAAAAAACATTTGCAACAACAAAAAAATCTTACCGTAATCCATGCAAGTAACTCTTCCTAAACCGTCAATATTTAGCGGTTTGCTATCAAAGGTTTTCAAATTGATGGCGATGATTTCTTTTACACCCAAGTCGGAAACGTATAATACGTCGCTAGCGGAGTTATAGGCCAAAGCTCCAACTTTCTTGATGGCCACCGGAAGTTCCGCTATGTCGTGCTTACCAAGAATTTGGTGTTCTATCAAGACCAAAGAGTTTTTCGCGCCCAAAATCAGCATTTGCTTCCTTTCAACGTCTGCAATTTTATCGTTAAAGTTGTTTTTATACTGTTACCACTACTTTGATGATTTTTAAACAAATATTAGAAATATTTTTAATATACCAAAGTTGTCCTTTTTGATTTTTGTAAAAAAAAGTATTTAAATTTGTAAGACAATGGTAGATAGTCAATAAATTTTTAATTTGGGTTGGGTTGGGTTGGGTTCGGCATAACTTTTTTCATAGTGCTCTTGAAACTCGAAGAGGTCGGATGCGTCAAGATCCCTCCTAAGTGGCGTATACGATACAAACGTAAAGTACCAAAAACGAAACAAAGTATCCGGAAATATCGGTAATCGTTAATAAATAATAAATAAATACATAAATAAACAAACAAGTGCAAGAAGTGCGAAAATTGTGAGATAACGCCGAAAAAGTGTGCAAGTGAATAAGTACCTAATTGAGGCTAGGCAGCAACGATAAGTCAACCGGCGCACCTGGATCGGAGCGTTCCAAAAATATCCTTTTTCTATGCAAAAACCTGCAGGAGAAGGCCACCCCGCGAAAGACAAAGCATCAGGTTTATAGCCTAATAATCAAGCTAAGTAATTCTTCAATTGCATGTCTTACCGTATAATCGCTAAATGTTTATATAAGCATTTCACAATGTTGCAAAAAAATCTAAGAATTCTATTCGTCTTAAAAATTAAATTTTAAAAAATAATAAGAACATTTCCGTAACTGTTAAATAAACAACCTAATTTTCTCATAGTAGACAAACGTAAACAACCAGTGTAAAAGGCGTAAGCAAATAAACCAATTCAAGCAAGAAGACAAAAATTTATCATAAATAAATTTAGGGTCACACCCATAAATCAAAGCCAAACTAATACACAGAACTCAAGAGCCAAGCAGGCCATAAGGCCGCATTCCACTATATACACTACAGGGCCGGCTCTATTTTGAAGATTGGTATTTACATAAAGTGATTAATTAATTAATTAATAAATTAATTGATTGATTGATATTGATATAATCGTATTGGTATTGGTATTGATGGTAATATTGTTGGTATTAATGTTGATGTTGATATTGGCATTATAGATATTGATATTAGTATTAATATTGATTGATTAGTTGGTTGATACTGATATTAACGTTAATATTGATTAAATTATTTGATTGGTTGATATTGGTATTGATTATTTGTATTATTTGGTATTAGTATTGGTATTGACTAATTGATATTTATATTGAAGTTATATAAATACTAATTTAACAGGAAACCAGGCAACAATTGATCATTGCAGAGGGCAGCGTGCGTGTGTGAAGGGAAATCAAGTGGGTGCGTCGCAATATTATATTATTGTATTATATATATTATATAATATACACATAAGCTCACGCAAGCAAAGCTTGGAGGATGGAGAAAGTAAATGGGCAAAGCCCCCACGTGAAAATAAAGTGGTAGGCCATCTATTGAGGCATGCGTTGCACGCCTGACATAGGGGCCGGGTTTCAAATATTGATGCGATACACCACAGGGCCGGCTTTATCTATTTTGTATATTAATATTTTTATTTTTAAATTAATTTGAAAAAAAATAAGTAAGAAGGCAAAGATATAAATAAATGAAAACGGTATGAACACTAATATAGCAATAAAATAAATAAAGAATATACAAGGTTGGTAGCCGGAGTAAGCAAAAAACTAACATACCCACCCCCATTCACGAATACCAATTGAATGGGGATACTACTAAGGCCTAGGTTGAGGAGGATTCCGGATTGTACTTAGTTTTGGGTCAGTTCAATGTCCTCCAAAAACCCTTCCTAAACTGGACGTATGGCCCGACCCGGCTGACAAAAATCCCGGGAGCTGCCTTAACCTTTGACACTGTCATCCACGAACTCCTAGGGTGGATCTACCAGCCGGCGTAAAAACTTCGGATCCAACAAACACAGGTAATGCTGTGATTTGGCGGGATACGCAGGAGAACGAAAAGGGGGTAATATAACCCCGGGAGATCAGTGGATGACAATATATCTGGGGCTTGCCATACGTTCCCATACTCATACTCATACTCAAATTCTCACATTACATTTAAATGTAAGTTTTAAATTTTAAAGTGATAATTTTTGGATTAAAAATTTATCGACTTTCATTTAAATGACTCTTTACAAATTCCAACCAAAACTTTTTATTTTTAACAATTTTAATTTGATACATTTTTAACAATCAAAATTTATAACTTTACATTTAAATGTAAGTCGATAATTTTTAATTTACAAAGTGTAAACGTAACTTTAGCAGAGTGGTCAATTTTAAGTAGCGTTTACACTTTGTGAATTAAAAGACTTATTGACTTAAATTTAAATGTAATATGAGTATGTTTGTGGTAAAAATGTATCAATTTGGTAAAATTAAAAGTTTTTGGTTTAAATTTCTCAATAGTTATTTAAATGATGTTCGATAGATTTTAAATCCAAAAATTACCACTTTAAAATTTAAATGTACTTAGTGTTAAAATTTTTGTATTAAAAATTTATTGACTATCATTTAAATGAATCTTTAAAAATTTAAACCAATAATTTTACAGAATAAAATATTAGAACTACAATTTTTAAAAACCAATATTTTAAACTTAACCTTTGCTTTTTATATTTAAAATTTTTTGATTACCCTAAACACGGGTGACTTTGCACCCCGCGGGTGACTTTAGCCCTTTAATGAAAAATTTGTTCGCGCTCGATAAAATTAACATTTACAATTTGTTGGTCTAAACCTGTCAATTGAGCGATTCTATTGAGTTTATATTACAGAAAAATCAGTGTTTTAAAAAAATAAATGGGATTTATTACACTTTAAAGTTTTATATATTGCATTAGTGCAAAACTCTTAAAAATACACGCGTTTCAATTTATATATTATGCGCAATTCTTTGGAATGATGATCCTTGGTTAACTACCCAGACCGCAAAATCACATTCCCTGCACATGTCAGGAATATTCCCAGGAATATTCCAATCGTCCCAGAATTTTCCCAGGAATATTCCTGGCATAATCAAATGTCCGCTTTTTGGTTAACCCAGGCATCATAAAAAGAATATTCCATATATCTGCCTGCAGAAGACTCAAGGATTGTTAGGGGAATATTCCTTGATATAATTTGGGGATTATTCCCAGCCCTTATTGCCTCTTATACCCAGGAACTTAATTTAAGTATAGCCATTATTGAGTTACTGAGTAGATCAGTCCCACTCTAATCATTGTTTGGCTGTGCCATCACAGACGCACATCTCCAACTGATATTATTAACCTATCGGTATATATAGTTATCAAGCGTGCGTAAGCAACGGTGAGAGGTATTGCAACTAAACCAATGAATATTCACTGGGAATGTTCTTAGATGATGCTTGGAAGTTTTAGAGGATCATTCTAGGAATATTCCCAATGAATATTATTCCTAGGCGATAGGGAATATTCCTGGAATATTTTCGAACCTTCATTGCAGTCTGGGTACAGGTCGATTTTTTATTATTTTTATCGGTAATCCCTTGCAATTGCTATATGTCGCTGTTAACATATGTCTAATAAAAATAAAATAAAATATTGAGTTAATTTTGTACGAAAAATACACCGTGAGACAAAGTAACCCGCAACCAGGGGGTAACTTTGCACACAGTTTTTAATTTTTATTTTTGAAACTCAGCTCTATGTAAGATTATAATAACATATATGTTATAGTTATTATGAAAGAGCAACTTAATTAAGACTCAAATTTTGGTATACAATATTTAATGTTTATGATTGTTAAAACTACAAAAATGTTAAGTTTGAAAGTGAGCTAAAGCCACCCGTGTTTACGGTATATATTGTTTTGAGATTAAAAAAAATTAAACTTTTCAAACTATTTTGGTAGAAACTGTTTTATATGTGTTTTTATTTTAAATGTCTTGACACTATTTTTAAATACTAAAAAATTTAACTTTACTAATTAAATCTAAATAATTTTATAAAAAATTAATTTAGGATTTACAAAATTCTGCCCAAATAAATTATACCTACTTGAAAAGTTATTTTTATTAAAAAATTATGTTTAAAAATTTATTGGAAATAATATTTTATTTGTATAGGTACAATACAAGATAGTTGAAAATATTTTAAATTTATAAATGTAAACCTAAAATTTTTACTTAGACCATGGACTTAATTTATGACCCAGCAAATCGTATTACCTTTGCACGTGTGTCTATCACTGCTGAGCTCCTTGTTCTGCGGACATGCGCACTTATAACCTTTACCGCTCAACAAGCACAAATCGCTGCAAAACGCCAAGAGGCACGGGTTTTCGTTTCTACTGCGCATCGCTGAATGGTATATGCTCACGCCGTAAATGTACTCCCTATTCTCCTTGATCAAAGTCGTGTGATTTTTGCCCGTAAACTTGTTGCAGTATTGAATTGAGTGTGTGGCCCAATCGGACCAGAATAAACGGTCTTCGAACACCGCTATAGCGTACGGGTGTTTTACTATGCCGTTTAGAACAATCTGCAAGTAATTTTTTAAAGTTAAATATGATTTATTAAATATGTATTCCATACTTACTCTTCTGTCTGTTCCATCGAGTTTTATGCTTTCCAAGCTCATTTTTCTGGCATCTGTCCAATAGATTCTCTCGTTGGGTAAGTCCAGAGTTAGACCATTGGGCCAATGGATGTCGTTGGTTACAAATGGTTTATCGTTAGTGCCGTCCATGGAAGCTACAGCGATTTGGGCTGGTTTTCCCCAGTCTGTCCAGTACATTTCACTGAAAAAGTTTTTCCCCCATCATTTTTGCCTTAGGGTCGTTTTTTTAATAAAAAAAAAATATTTTTTTTTTGACAAAACATAATCATTGTTTTTACCTCTAAAAACAATGATATTATTCATCCCAGCAAAAAAGAAACAGGTATGCACACATTTTATTATGTAATTATGTAAAATTATTCAAAATCGGTTAGTAGGTACTTTGTTATCATTTATTACTGACAGTTAACAAATAGCTACATGAGCATCAATCGACGTAAAAAGTGACAGGTGAAATTTAAAATCGACGGGATAACCATGAAAATCTCGAAATACCCAACAATAAAAAGTAAATATTGTTTTAAGTACCTAAGAATAGCTGAGTATGCAAGAACAAAAAACAATTATCAACAAAGTAGTCAATGATAAGACAAATGTAAATTTTTAATGAAAGTAGATTATTTCAAGAAGAACGAGTGGCAGCCCTAAATTTCTACTTGATTTTTTTTAAAAGGTTTGTACTTTAATAGTTATACATACCCATCAACATGATTAAGGCAAATAGCCCTGGGTTTTCTGATGTCTCTGTTAACCAAAACAGTGCAATGACTACCGTCAGTGTTGCACACGCCAATATGTTGTTTTTCGGCGTCGGTAAAATAAATGTTCCCTGTAACCCAGTCGACTGCTAAATCTTCTGGCAAGCCCAAACCAGCTGTTACAAGAAGCTAAAAACATATTTAGAAATACATTGCAAGCAGTTGACTACAGTGAATCAAAAAATCGAATATATTTTTTTTACTTCCAACACTGAAAAATTGGTTCTCCTATTTAACAAGAAGTTTTCCATTTTTTCTTTAGTTCCGTATAAAAAAAAATATTTTATTATTAATCAATCATTTAATCAAATCTTTATACATATTTTTGTAGTAAATTGAATGCTCTGCAAAAAAGGACTGATATGTTTAAGCGATTAATCGAGTCAAAGATTATTATCTTTGGTTAGAGTAATTACTCTAACTAAAGATAATAATCTTTGACTCTAACCACTTAAAATATATTCAATAGGGTGGCGCAAAAAAAACGACTATTTTTTTTTGAGTCTCAAGTGAAAAAATGTTAGTTTTTGATGTTTTTTTAGAGGTCGCTCCAAATTTTTTTCAATTTCAAAAATCGTAAAAATGTTGTAGTTGATTAAAAAAATTATTAAATTATGTTTTCTATATTGTGCTTGATTTTTAGTTCATCTCGTGGTGTATTTTTATCGATTATTGTACTAAATAAAAAAAAATCCATGGAATTTTATTGTGAAAAAAAAAATAAAGTTCTAAATTTATTTCAGAAACTTTCAGAAACTTATTTTTTTTATGTCCTTAAAATTATACCGTACCGAAAAAAAAATTATAAACAAAAATCGGTTTCTGAAGATTTTTGAAATTTAAAAAAATTTGGAGCGACCTCTAAAAAATTTTTTTTTGAGCTGTCCTTTGGAGAGGCCTTTTAAAACATCAAAAACTAACATTTTTTCACTTGAGACTCAAAAAAAAAATAGTCTGTTTTTTTGCGCCACCCTATTGAATATCTTTTAAGTGGTTTTCAACGGTTGTAGTAAACAATTAAACAGACCTTTTTTGTAGAGCTTTAAATTTCCTACAAAAATATGTCATACTCATTTGACAATAATTATTTTTAAATGTTGCAAAATAATTTTTAAAAAAATATTCGATTTTTTTAAATCACCCCAATGTTGACAGCATCTTACCTCTCTTTGAGATCCATCCTCTATACTCCTGACGATACTTTCGTGTTCAGAAAAAATGTCGGTCCAGTATACGTGATGGCCGTCATACTGAACACCGACCACTTGTTTGAGGTGCTTGGCAATGGGGAAATATATTTCCGTGTTTAAAGTGATGGCTCTAATTTCGGTTTTTGAGCTGAAAACCATCATCGCTTCTCCTCCATTGGCCAAACACGTCCTGTTATCGCTTTGGAGGATGTACTTATCGTCGCAGTAGCACTCGTAGGAGCCAGGGGTGTTGCGGCATTTTTGATCGCAAATACCTGCAAGAAAAATAAGTAACAAAGACAACAGTTATTTGGGAACCTCATCACCGTATATCTCGCATTCGTTTATCTCCTCGCAATGCACCTCGTCGACGGTTTTGTAGCCTTTGGGGCATACACAAGTGGGGCCAGTGGGTAACTGAAGACACTGATGCTTGCAACCGCGTTTTTCGCAGCTCATGGCTGGTAGCTTGCAAACTGGACTTTCATCAGACTTATCCGGACATTGGGGGCTTCCATCGCACACTTTCGCCAGGTCTATGCAGGTTTTGTTGTCGCCGCACAAGAATTTACCGGCGTCGTGAGTACACAAGTTAGGGTTTATGTGGTTTTCTGCAAAAAAAAATTAAATCTTGCTGGTTTCAAATTACATCAAATTAGAGATGCGACTTGAAAAAAAACGGTTCGTTTTTTTTGTTTTTTTTTCAGGTTTTTTTCACATTTTAGGTTTTTTTTCAAGATTAGTCCCATTTGCCTAATTTTTTATGTTTCCAAGGAACTAAAATTAGCCACTAAATCACAATTAGTAAATGTAAATACAGTCTCGCGCTATGCACGCGCCACCACCACCGAATGGACCAATAAGGGCCGCGCTTGATTTGGTCCTAAAAAAAGTAACTACATATAATATTTTTGATTCAGCGCGTGATTTTTCAAATTTATGTAGAGTATGGAATTTTTTTTTCCAAAAAAACAATAGCAAATTCTTGTAGAACATTTATTCATTGGTGGTCAGAACATTCTGTGGACCAAAAAAGAAAGCAAAAAAATCGATTTTTTTTATTACGGTATTCGTTAGAATTGAGCGTTGCACGTTTATCATCTAAAAATCTCAAAACTATAAACTTCAAGCTTTAAATTGCTTTTTTTACGACTCCAATACGACCATTTTTAACAAAGATACAGCTATCCGAAAAATCGCAAAAACAATTTTTTATCCTTTAATTTTTTGTATTAGTGTAGAAGTTTTACATTACTATTGGTTTTTAATGTGGAAACTACCAAATAATAAGAAATCAGATTTTTTTTAGTCTTGGTCAAAATTTTCAATAATGAAAAATGTAATAAATATATTCTACATTTTACTCAAAATTTTATTTAAAGAAAAAAACAAAAAAACCGTTTTTACATCTCTACATCAAATACTATTTTGTTCTTAAATTTTTTTTGTTTAAAATAGGTCCCTTAAGGCACACTTCATAAAAACATTAAACCTTGTAAAACAAAAACGTATTTTGGGTATTGTTTTTTAAGTATATCGAAAATATTGTTTGGGGTAACAAAAAAAAAACTATTGTGAAAGTTTGAGTCCATAAAATTAATAATATTAATATTATTAAGAGATCTATCATCGCAAGTTTTTGTCTCAGAACTCCCAAACCATTGAGTTTAACAAAATTGATTCGGATATATTTTTTTTAAGGAAATTGAATGCTCTACAAAAAAAGGTCTTAATGAAATTTTCCGTTTCCTTAAAATCATTCCTTAAAAATTGGTATAGTTTTACAATTTGATCTTTTAACTTTGGAATTTTGTAAAAAATGTAAAAATCTCTTAACAATTTTGACTAAATTCACTCAATCAAAAATTATTCAAGGTTAAAGTTGAAGTCAAAACGAAATTCTTGTTTTTTTCTCTGTAGATTTAACCCCAAACAATATTTTCGATATACTTTACAAAATAAAATCGTCGATTTTTTTGGCCCAGTCTAATAAACATCAAAAACAAACCTGGCTGGTTGGTCCTATTATATTTTGAGGATAATCTCAAAAAAATAGTAGGATGTTAAAGAATTGACATGGAGTTTCACCGCTATATCCGCTATATCCGCAAACCTGATAACAAAAAAGTTATACGGTGTTCTATTTGAAATAACAAAGTGGCATTTTGTTATGGCATATTTTAAAAAAATAGACTTTTATTCCTCAGAAACTTCTAAAGACCACGAATGTAAAACACTCTGCAGAGTATACCCCACCTATGAATTATCAAATAAAAATATTTTTGTATGAGAGAAATAACAAAACCAGAGAGAACACCTACATTTATCTTATTCTTAATTAAAAACGGTCCGAAGAGCGAACCTTGCGGAACACCAAAACAATTTTTTTCTTACCGCATTCCTTTTCGTCGCTGTTATCGATGCAGTCGTCGTGGCCATCGCAGACCCACTCGTTGGGTATGCAGTGCCCGTTGGAGCATTTGAAGCCGTCGCATTCGATTTTCGTGCTGCACCCTATAGTTTCGTCAGAGCCGTCCAAGCAATCGCTTTCGCCGTTGCAGACCCATTCTTCCGAGATGCACAGTTTGTCTTTGCATTGCCATTCGCCCTTTGCGCAGCTGGAGTTGGCTTGGAACGACAGCTAATAAGTAGAGAACATTTAAAAAAAAATTAATTTTAATTTGAAAAGGGAATAATTATTATTATCAATTAAAATTTCAAGTTATTTTTATGGTAGATATCTATTTTATGGCACACTGTTTCACTTTTTAATAGGATAAGAAATATTAAGTTAAATATTAATACCTACTTTAAAAAATTGCACTGGAAAATACCTTCAAAATAATACAATAATTAGAATTACCTATACATGTAAAAGAAGTTTTTTTTTAGATATGTTTATATAAGATGTTGAATTATTTGTTTATTATCTTGTAATTAAAATTATGACTATATAGGTAATAAAAATTTGTGTACAGATAAAATTGTAAAATTAATTTAATGTATACAAATAAAATTAATTTGGCGCTGCGAAAGTGCGGCCGAAAGTGGCAACTGCAGTAGTTCAAATGGAAGGTATGTATAATTTATCTACGTCATATAATTATACCATAAAACTAGAACCTTTCAGTTTTGTGAATTATATAATACAAAGAAATAATTTCTATAATTATATAGATAGAACAGAACCCGAATCTCGATATCCCCGCATATTGGCGACAAAGTTGACGTAGATAAATTAAGCATACATACCTACTATGCATTTGAACTACCGCAGTTGCCACTTCCTACCGCATTCCCAAAGCGCCAAATGAATTTTATGTGTACAGATAAAATTAATTGTAGAATAAAAATGATTGTCGTGTTATAAATATGAAATTGCAACTTAAAAAATAATAGAATAAAATAAAATAGTTTAAAAATCTTGTTTCAAAATAAATTGTTCAACAATGTTTTTAGTCTCACAATATAAATTTCAAAGTAAAAAAATAAAGAACCTCATAACTAATTCAAGTTGAATTATTCAACTAACAAAATAATACGTCTGTAAAATATTTTAGTAGGTTTAATAATATTCGTTGTGTTACAAAAAAATGCGTATCAAATTAAAATGTATCATAAAAAATAATTATTATTATGGACAGATATAATTTTAAATAATTATTATTACCTATGCCTGAACATAATAATTCGCTATTTTTTTAATTAAATTTATGCTTGACATAATTTTATTTGCTACTATGGTACTTATGCAACCGCATACGCAACTGCAGTGCATGCACATTGGAAGTGGTTGGCAAAACTTAAAATGTTTTTGAGTTTTCTGTTTAGGTAATTAATAAAAGTGTGTTGTTACCTTAAAATTATCGCAATTTTTCTCATCGGAAAAATCTTCGCAATCGTTCTCACCATCGCACACAAACGACTTACTGACACATCTATCATTATGGCATTTAAAATATCTTGGCTCTTTACACAAGTAAATATCTACAACAACAAAAAGTCAAATTTATAGCTACAGCCCCAAAAACCGTAAAAAACGCTTACCGCAGTCTTCCTCGTCGGAAAAATCCAGGCAATCGTTGCTGCTGTCGCATCTCTTGGACAAGGGCACGCACCTGCTGTTCCTGCAACCGAATTCCTGCGGCTTGCAGTTGTTTTTCGTCAGCGTGAAAATCAGCGAGTCCAAGAAGGCCTGGCTTGACACCACCGCCCCCAGAAGGAGCACCCCGGTGCACAGTTTCATTTCATAAAACTAAATAAAAAGTGATCAAATATTAATGGAATGCAGAAAATATTAGCAAATTAACTTACCCAAGATTAAAATAAACAATTAACAAATAAAAATCATCGAAAATAGTGGCAACATTCGAGGATGTTCGATGATAATAAAAGACGAACGGAACCGTTGCAGTTGTTTAAAATATGGCGACTGCGAAAATTCGATTTTTGTTGTTAATTTTTTGTGCCAAAAAAAACGATAGAAAAAACATACTTTTAAGGTCGAATGTCTTGCGGTAGTGAAGAACAATGATTGGGTCAAGTTATTACTTTGGATTTGTTTATTTATTTATTAAGTTTTAGATTATTTTAATCGCGTATTACATTAGACAAAGTCTTATGACTAATTTTATCTCCTATAATATATTTTAAAATTATTTATTATCATTTATTTAATTTATATACAAGGTGTCCCTGAAATTCCTGTACAAAATAATACCACATATTCCTAAGTCCAAAATAATGCGATATACTAAATTTACCTTTAAACAAAAGTTGATAATAACCAAAGTTAAAAGTTTGTTTTCGATTTTATTAAATAACTTTGGAAAAAACAAACCTTTTTGCACATAGTTTGATATTTGGGGGTTTTTTTAGGACTGGAAAATTAATTTCTTTAAAAAAATTATGTAGGTTGTAGAGGGCGCTGTCAGACAGCGGCTGTCTGTGACACTTTGCAAACGTCTTGTGTAATCTTTTTCAGCCTTGTTGAGAACTTAATAATAATAATATTAATAATAATAATATGAGGCAAAAATTAACGTTATTCAATTAAGCTGAAACTTTGAAAATCCAGATCCATTTTGTAACTAAAGTCAAATTTCCTATGATTCATGATAATCAAAGGCTATGAATCTAGGTTAAAGCTTTATGAAAACGCCGTTTACTAAACGGTTGACTTGTAAGAGAAAAAAGTAGAGAAGGATGAGCACTTTCAAAAGCGCTCATAAGTGCTCATAAATGCTCATAAATGCTCGAGCGCTTATAAATAAATGCTCGAGCATTTACCAAAGTGCTCGATATTTGAATTTGGCGCCAAAAATTTGGCGCCAACACTAAAAAGCGGGGTTATAAATTAACCAACAAATAACTGTTTACATCAGAACAAGTGCAGGTCACAAAAGGGTGCGGTTTCCAAAATGGTTAAAAAAAAAATTTTTTTTAATAAAATTTATATTTCATCGTTTATAAATGCTCGAGCATTTATGAGCGCTTATGAGCATTTATGAGCGCTTTGCAAAGCGCTCGAGCATCTGCCATCTCTAGAAAAAAGTGATAGATGGGTATTTTGTTTTCTACAAAAAAATTCAAACTTATCAAATGTAAAACTAATATTGATCAAAATTTAAAATTGTAGCAAAATGTCAAGATTAATGGTTTTACAATTAAATATTATTATTAATGGTTTTTGACTTATTTTATTTTTATGGACCAATAAATACTACCTAAATTATTATTATAGGTCCCTTTAATATTATTCGGTACCTTGGAATATGAAGTTTTAAGTGCAGCTGCGCTGTTAAACAAAAATGCCTTATCTGCAATAGGTATTTAATATTGTAGATAAGTCAGCTGCACTTGGAACATTGTCATTCCAAGGCACCGTATTACCTAACAATTTGTTGGGTATCTACCAAAAATTATTTAATACTTAATTATTTCAAAATAATTGCGAGTAGAAATTTTATATTAATCAATACTTTCTTTGAATATGGCCTGAAATTCCTTTTGTTCTGTGTGGAATTTGTTGATTCCTAAAACGCAGTTAATCTGGGGGGTAGCAGAATAAAGAGAAAGGTGGTGTGTTTAAAAATAGTAGGTATAAAATGCCTTTTACGGAAAATGTGGTTCCATCTAGTCTGTCGAAACAGCTGATTGTCCCGTGTGGCATTCGAGGGGCGTGGCCACGTGAAAGGCTCGAAGGGTGGGGATACGTCAAACGGGCAACGTCACGTCAGCTGTTTTGTTTCATTGTGTTTTCAGCGTCGAGATTTCTCAGCTGTTTTGTGTTTTGGATCGCGAAATCGAGGAGGAAAATAATGTCTGAAACGGAGGCTGCCACTTCGAGCAGCGAGCACATGCCCGAATCCATGGACAGCAACGAGAAGATGGAAGAATTCGCCGAGCCCGACGTCAAACGTCGTAAAATAAGCAAAACGGCGGACACGGAGAAAAAATACAAGTTGGAGGATCGCCTGGGTGGAATTCTGTGTTGCGCAGTTTGCCTGGACCTACCCAGGGCCGCCGTTTACCAGGTAAGTGAACTCTAAACACCACCTTCATATTGTTTCATCCGACACACTACCACAATCAAAACTATGGTCTCTATGTTTACGTTACGTAACACGTAGCTTCCATATTTTCTTTGTTCCAATGCAGAGGTGCTGCAGGCCCGTTTGATATCGATTTGTAAACGGCTGCAGTACTTTTTAACAACGCACGGCACGAATTTATAAACCTCGTAATCACATATTTAATCCCTTGCCATTATTTATGGCAGGTAACGTGCCCTACGTTGTTATATACATACCTATAACGATTTGCGGATTTACCTACCTACTTGGGATTACAAAATTGTGCATGATAATTGGGTGGAAATTCTACTGCGCACTATTTTTGTTCGTCCATTAAACAAAGATTGTTCATTTGTGTTTATTTATTAACTTAATAGTATTGACCTCTCAGTCAACCAATCAGTCTGTAAAAATATTCTTGTTTATAAAACAGTCATCATTAACTTTCTTCAATGTTATAATTACTTACTTTAGTGCTTATAATTAATATTACATTAAGATGTTGTACAATTATGATAATTTTTGTTAAATAGTCGATGTTTACCTATATGAAATAATGTCAATGTTTTTACAATATACATATTTTTATATACTAATAAATGTATTGAATTTATATTTTTAGTCATTATTCACTTTAGCTTTAAACTTAAAAACCCTCATCCCCTTCCTTTGTTTAGTTAGTATTATTTATTTGGTATTTTATTAGAACTACAAGGTCATTTAAATTAATAAAATCCCCTTTTATTTTTAATAGGTTTTAACCACAAATAAATAAAATGTTACATTTTGACAACTGTTAATTTGACAGTTGTTTATGTTGCCAACTTAAAAAAAGTAAAATAGCCTACTATAAATATATAGATCTTAATTTGAATAAGTAATTGGGGATTTATTTATTATTTCAATCATTATTCGCAAGGTAGGTGTTAATTAGATGTAATTTTTGTACCTATGTAGTAGAACGTTTAATTAAAGAAAGGTAACTATAAAATGCTGATTTTTTTCATGTCGAATTTTGCACAATTAATAATTTTTTGGTATGTGTTCATTACAGGATTTTAACGGGACTGGTAAGTCAATTTATTAATGTAAAACTTAAACGATAGGTCGTATTTTGGTGTAAATGAATAAATGAAGCTATGAACCCGAAATTTGTCTAAAAGTCCTTAAACAATTTCTTTCAGATTCTCTTATACGTGCAGCAAAGTGACACGCTCGTTTAATTTGCGTTGTTTTGAAATTTACCACCTAAGTAAGGTTTGTTCCAACCGAACACGTGGAACAAACCCATGATAGCGTTTCACTTTGCTTCGATATTTCCCACCCATAGAAAAAAACTAGTCGAAACGAAAACTTAATAAAATTTTCGTGCGTACTTTTTCAGTGCTCCAACGGGCATCTGATGTGCGCCGGGTGTTTCACGCACGTCCTGGCCGATGCAAGATTACGCGACGAGCTGGCCACGTGCCCTTCGTGCCGCGTCGAGATCAGCAAAACCTCGGCCACCCGGAATTTGGCGGTGGAGAACGCCGTCAGCGAGCTGCCATCCGAATGCCAGTTTTGCAACAAGCAGTTCCCGAGGAACTCTTTGGAAAGGCACGAGGATCACGAGTGCGAAGAACGGTAGGAAATGTCAAAAATTGACATAAAAACACAACCTTACAATTAGATATACATACCTATGTAGGTATCTAATTTTAAGGTTATAAAGTCAAAATGTAAAAATTAAATATCTCGCTTGTTAATAACCTTACGACATTTTTGTTTATTATAAAAATTGTAGACCGAAAATTTGTCTACAAAAAAGTCCTATAATTTTTTTTAATATCTGTTATAGTTTTTAAGTTTTCATGAAAAATGCATATTTAAGTGCCGCGCCATATTGTTATTTTGCAAATACCTTGGTTTTTATAAACCTTACGACATTTTTGTTCATTATAAAAATTGTAGAGCAGAAAATTGTCTACAAAAAAGTTCTATAAATTTTTTTAGTATCTATTATAGTTTTTAGGTTTTCATGAAAAATGCATATTTTAGTGCCGCGCCATATTTTTTTGCAAAAATCTTGCTTTTATTAACCTTACGACATTTTTGTTCATTATAAAAATTGTACAGCGGAAAATTGTCTACAAAAAAGTTCTATAATTTTTTTGAAATCTGTTATAGTTTTTAAGTTTTTATGAAAAATGCATACTTTTTGCAAATATCTTGCTTATTATTAACATAAGACATTTTTGTTCATAATAAAAATTGTAGAGCGGAAAATTGTATACAAAAAAGTTCTATACATTTTTTAAAATATGTTATAGTTTTTAAGTTTTCATGAAAAATGCATATTTTAGTGCCGCGCCTAATTTTTTTGCAAATATCTTGCTTTTTATTAACCTTACGAAATTTTTATTCATAATAAATATTGCGGAAAATTGTCTACAAAAAAGTTCTATAAATTTTTTGAAATCTGTTATAGTTTTTAAGTTTTTACGAAAAATGCATACTTTTTGCAAATATCTTGCTTATTATTAACATAAGACATTTTTGTTCATAATAAAAATTGTAGAGCGGAAAATTGTATACAAAAAAGTTCTATAAATTTTTTAAAATATGTTATATATAGTTTTTAAGTTTTCATGAAAAATGCATATTTTAGTGCCGCGCCTAATTTTTTTGCAAATATCTTGTTTTTTTATTAACCTTACGAAATTTTTATTCATAATAAATATTGTAGAGCGAAAAATTGTCTACAAAAAAGTTCTATAAATTTTTTGAAATCTGTTTTTATGAAAAATGCATACTTTTTGCAAATATCTTGCTTATTATTAACAAAAGACATTTTTGTTCATAATAAAAATTGTAGAGCGGAAAATTGTATACAAAAAAGTTCTAAAATTTTTTTTAATATCTGTTATAGTTTTTTTAAGTTTTCATGAAAAAGGCATATTTTAGTGCCGCGCCATATTTTTTTTGCAAAAATCTTGCTTTTTATTAACCTTACGACATTTTTGTTCATAATAAAAATTGTAGAGCGGAAAATTGCCTACAAAAAAGTTCTATAAATTTTTTGAAATCTGTTATAGTTTTTAAGTTTTTACGAAAAATGCATACTTTTTGCAAATATCTTGCTTATTATTAACATAAGACATTTTTGTTCATAATAAAAATTGTAGAGCGGAAAATTGTATACAAACAAATTCTATAAATTTTTTAAAATATGTTATAGTTTTTAAGTTTTCATGAAAAATGCATATTTTAGTGCCGCGCCTAATTTTTTTGCAAATATCTTGCTTTTTATTAACCTTACGAAATTTTTATTCATAATAAATATTGCGGAAAATTGTCTACAAAAAAGTTCTATAAATTTTTTTAATATCTGTTTTTAAGTTTTCATGAAAAATGCATATTTTAGTGCCGTGCCATATTTTTTTTGCAAAAATCTTTCTTTTTATTAACCTTACGACATTTTTGTTCATAATAAAAATTGTAGAGCGGAAAATTGTATACAAAAAAGTTCTATACATTTTTTAAAATATGTTATAGTTTTTAAGTTTTCATGAAAAATGCATATTTTAGTGCCGCGCCTAATTTTTTTGCAAATATCTTGCTTTTTATTAACCTTACGAAATTTTTATTCATAATAAATATTGTAGAGCGAAAAATTGTCTACAAAAAAGTTCTATAAATTTTTTGAAATCTGTTTTTATGAAAAATGCATACTTTTTGCAAATATATTGCTTATTATTAACAAAAGACATTTTTGTTCATAATAAAAATTGTAGAGCGGAAAATTGTATACAAAAAAGTTCTAAAATTTTTTTTAATATCTGTTATAGTTTTTTTAAGTTTTCATGAAAAAGGCATATTTTAGTGCCGCGCCATATTTTTTTTGCAAAAATCTTGCTTTTTATTAACCTTACGACATTTTTGTTCATAATAAAAATTGTAGAGCGGAAAATTGCCTACAAAAAAGTTCTATAAATTTTTTGAAATCTGTTATAGTTTTTAAGTTTTTACGAAAAATGCATACTTTTTGCAAATATTATTAACATAAGACATTTTTGTTCATAATAAAAATTGTAGAGCGGAAAATTGTATACAAAAAAGTTCTATAAATTTTTTAAAATATGTTATAGTTTTTAAGTTTTCATGAAAAATGCATATTTTAGTGACGCGCCTAATTTTTTTGCAAATATCTTGCTTTTTATTAACCTTACGAAATTTTTATTCATAATAAATATTGTAGAGCGGAAAATTGTCTTCAAAAAAGTTCTATAAATTTTTTTAATATCTTATAGTTTTTTTAAGTTTTCATGAAAAATGCATATTTTAGTGCCGCGCCATATTTTTTTTGCAAAAATCTTGCTTTTTATTAACCTTACGACATTTTTGTTCATAATAAAAATTGTAGAGCGGAAAATTGTCTACAAAAAAGTTCTATAATTTTTTTTAATATCTGTTATAGTTTTTAAGTTTTCATGAAAAATGCATATATTTGTGCCGCGCCATATTTTTTTTACAAATATCTCGCTTATTTTTAACATTTAGACATTTTTGTTTATTATAAGAATTGTAGAGCATAAAATTGTCTACAAGAAAGTCCTATAATTTTTTTATATTTGTTATAATTTTTAAATCAAGGTTGTTATATTTGGGCTTTTTCCCTTGTTGACGAGTTGACAACAGTTACTGTTAAATTTCCATCTTCGATGTATTTTTATGATTTCCTACGATTTTCTTTAACTTGTCATGAGGCTCCATCATATTATTTAATGTTTAAAAGAATATTGGCAATTTTTTTCATATGGATGTTTATTGATTTTTTATTCCCCATGGTATTTTAACAATTAAATGTTTTTTCACGAATTTGAAACTTTTAAACCGTCAAAATCAATACCTAACCTTGCAGCCGTCGCTGTGACAGATATACCGAATTTTTAACGTTGTTTCCCGCAAATGCACTTTTTCAAGTTTGCGCTGGTCCCTCAGAAACTGCCCCTGATCGGTTGGTTTTTTCCTTGCAGCATCTCCGGGTGCAAGTACAGTAGGATCGGGTGCCCGTGGCGCGGGCCCGTGCACGAGCGCGCCGAGCACGAAAGCGAGTGCACGCACCCGAACCGCAAAGGCTCGGAGGTCATAGAGGCCCTGGAGGTCATGGACCAGCAGATGTCCGAGGAAAGGAAGCTCTACGACACGATTTTCGATCTGCTGGGATACGAGAAGATCATCTTTAACGGTACGTCAACAACCCTGATAGCAAAATTTGATTCTAAGAATCTTCTAAGAAGATATGGAATATTCTTAGAACCTTCTCTTATTGCCAAGAATGTTCTTAGGGACTTTTCAAACATTCAATAGATACCCTTTTAATGATGCAATTAGATTCTTAGAAGCTTCTTAAAACCTTTCTAAAAAGCATTCTAAGAACATTTTAAGAATACGTTTTTGGAATGTTCTTAGAAGGTTTCTTTCTTATGGAGCTTCTAGGAAGCTTTTGAGAATATTTCCAAATATGTCAGATACCCACGTTCTAATATGTTGGATTCTACATTCGTAAAATTCTTCAGGAGGCGACAAATACGCCTCACTGTCATAATATGACAGTGAAATGTATTTGTCGTCCCCTTAAAAAATTTTGCGACATATTAATATATATTTATTTAAAAATATTAAATAAACAATTTGACCTCTAAACCATAAGTTGTATGACATTATTTCATAAAAAGTAAAATTGGAAAATTTTGTGGGAAAAGTCAGATTAGATTGAAGTTGAAGATAGTTAGGATTATTATACATAAAAATGTTAATTCAGATATTAAAAATCGGTATACAAATTAATAAATATTTATTTTTAACAAAAAATAAAATATAAAAAAACAAAATATTTCCTTATAAAATAATTCTTCATAAAAGAACAAACCAAATAGTTCTTCATAAAAAAAACATTTTTCATTGTATTTAAGTTGGATAGAAGATTTTATATAAAAGCCGGATAATTTAGATACCTATAGTAAAAGTATTTTTGTTATCGAATATTGTTTTAATTTGACAAATAACTATAAAAAAAAATTTTGGGTTGTGTTTTTTACTTAGTATTTAATACTAAGTATAGGTACCTTTATACGTAGATTATGGTATATTTTACTATTATATAGAAACCTAACTGAACTGAATTTGCTTAACAGAATGTTCCAGGAATATTCCTAAATGAACTTTATATAGCAATTACTTTCTCAACATTCTAAGCATATGTTTAGAGTGGATTAATTTTTACCACTAAACTTTGCACCTTCTAAGAACCTGCCTATAGGCCATGGCCTGCAGTGAGAATATTCATATATATATATCCTATATAGGATTATGCTATATTTCTTCTAAACATGTTCTTTAGAAGAAATATAGCATGATCCTAAGAATATTCTCACTGGAAGGTTTAAAAAACATTCTCAGAACATGACTAAAAGAAATATAGCATGATCCTAAGAATATTCCCACTGGAAGGTTTTAAAAAACATTCTTAGAATAAACTGTGCTATCAGGGAACACATTTTTCTTGTCGAACAATCGGGATTCAATTGCTTTTGTAGATTTGCAGCTGAAACCCTATCGCACGGACGAATTCGTGCACCGTTTGTTCTACGAGTCTTCGAGATTTTCCGCTTTTAACAATCAATGGGTGGTCAAGGCCAGAATAAATAACAGTCAGAAGGATCCCACGCAAAGTTCGGATAGAGAGATGACCTATCAGGTACTGTAACACTTTTTTTATAACAATCATTCCAAGAAGCATCGGGTTTTCGCAACGCGCGCGCCATCTGGTGGTGTTTTCAACAATACATCTAAAGCATAAGAACTGCACATCATTTTTAAATAAATAGATAGAGAGGAAGACAAATTTTGTTCAATTGCGCACGTTATTTGTGTTTCGCGTTGCAAGTAAAAAAAATCTCAAAACTGCTTTTTTTACTTGTGACACTTTTGAACCGGGTTTCCGATACAATTGTGTTTTAATTTTTATTATTAGTAAGAACTTATGCAGGCTGTAAAAAAATATGTGGTTAGGGTGAAAAGTAGTAAGTAGCAATTAGTACCTTTACTGACCGTTTTTAATTTTCATTTTATCTTTTCTTTTGCATGCATTCATCCACTGTGCCGCCAGATCTTTATTTTTTGAAAATCGAAAATATTTATTGTTAGGCTCCCAAACAGCATTTTAAGTTTAAATAACTACAAATTTACTACCAAGTCAACTTTAACCAAAACGGTTTTATACCGGTATAGATACGAAAAATTACCAAATTTGGGGAATGGTTTATTTCTTTATTTTCCTACACAATAACCTTTTGATCTACTAAGAGAATAACGCAATAAAAACAATATAAATACCTCAAATTCACGTAAAAATAACGATATAATTACTAACAGTTTGCTCTCTCTTTCTAAAACATTCGTAATTTCTTTGTTCTTTTAATTTATATTTTACAAAATGGTACTTACAAAGTAATAAAGAGTAAAATTAACATAAATTGTCAAAACTAATAATGTTTTGCTTTAAAACTCAAACGCACATTATTTTATTGATAAACATAGGCACGAAACATCTTAAAAATTATATGCCTTCTAAATATTTTACGGTTTTAAGAAAAATTATTGCTTGGGTAAAAATTCAACAAAACTTAAAACCTACAAAATTTTATAAAATCTTTTAAAAATAATTGTGTTTTAATCATTTTTAATAACTAAAACTTTCCTTATTATATTTTAGAAAAATATTTATGAAAAAATATTATATAAATGTTTAAATAGTATTTATTACCACTAATAACCCTAAAAAATACCAGGCGTATAGGAATTATTTAAGGTTATAAAGTGGTCTTAATATCGTAAAATTGTGACGTATGAATAACATTTACCATTAAGTAAAAATTCTGACGTTAAATTTTCCTCTAGGTGAAATACACTTATAAGTAATTTTCTTTCGTAAAAATTACGTCCCTCATAATTCTTTAAAGGTAAAAATAACATAAATAAAACTTAAAAAAAGTTTTACTTTAAAGTAAATTTTTAAGGTTAATTTAATAAAATATTTACTTAAATTAAGTAATATTGCCTCAACACAATATAACACAAACTTAATAAATAAACTGGTATAAATTTAAACACCGGTGCGTGGTTTATAAATACCTTGTAAATGGTTGTTCAATAAATGCAGTAAAACCATCGAGCGTGGCTTATACTTAAAAAAACACAATAATTTCTAAAAAACTCAAAAGAAAACGTAGTAAAACACATAACATTTGAATCTGGTTCGCACGTGACGTCATATGATAACGGAACGACTTATTTGCATTTTTAGTTGATTTTGAAGTCGAAATCGACGACCCCGTTAAATTTGTCGTACATCGTGCTTCGCGGTCCCGTCGGAGACATCCACGTTAAGCCCAGGATCCACGAGTTCGAATTCACAGACGTCAACAACGAAAGTCCGTACGTGAACCTGCCCGTGCCGGATACAGCCGAGTGCAACCGACTTTTGGCGGCGAAAACAATAAATTTCAGGTAAAACAAATTCTCTTACGGGCATTTTCTTAACTTTTACTATTTACACTGTGCTGTTCTGAGAGGTGATTTTTGGACTTTCTGTGAAACCTAATTTTTTTTATATTCTTGTTAATTAGGTCATAACTAAAATTTTAAGAGCAAAAAAAAAAAAATTTGACGTTTTGAATTGTTTTAATTGGCTGTTTATTAAAAATATGTATGCACACTTTCAATTCTCCAATTAAAACTTGCGATTTTATTTAAATATTATCATAACTTTTTAAATCTCCTAAAAAAAGGTCTATACATTTTTTATATCTTTTACTGTTTTGTTGTAATACACGTTTAAAGTTTTAATTTAAGGTTAAATGTATAGTAGGGGAAGGTGGGGGAATTTTGCGCGGGGGGTAATTTTACGCATAAACAATTCTTCCAGATATTAAGTAAATTATACATTTTTTGAATGTTGCAAACTTGGAAACGTTGCTTTGGGTATACGGGGACTAAAGTGTACCGCAATTAAGCTTGTAGCTTTTAGCTAGTGACCATGGTCACTATCTAACTGTGATACATGTACGTTGATCTAAGAAATCCATGTCGTTTCCCCTACGAGTTAAGTTTAAATTTCTGTCCAATCTGGTGTATGTTTAAATTGTTCAGGTTAACTTTTGGAAAGTTTTTTAGTATCACAATATTTTTCTTGCAATGGGGGTAATTTTACGCTGAAAAATTGGGGTAATTTTGCGCTGCAAAATTTGGCCAATATGGGAGCTTTGGTATACAGGAGCCTAGATTGTTCAGCATAAACAGTTCCATTTGGGCACACGCGGAGTGTAGCGAAAAAAAAAACCCTAAAACTACATATGTGACAAATGCTGCATGTAGACCCTCTTATTTCTAAGAACAAAAATTTTATTTTTAGTTATTTATTTTTGATTTTGTTTGTTTTGTTTGTTTCATAGAGAAAATAGTTTTGTTTTATTTTTATGTTTTAATATAATAATATTATAGAAATAAACGGTTTATTTAGATACCTACAAATCTTTCTCTATACAGCGCAAATTTTCCCACTATGATGCGCAAAATTACCCTGATAGGTGGGTAATTTTGCGCAAATGCATTATTTAAAAAAATGTAGTTTTTGCATACCAAAAATTTTTTTTTATAAATTGCGCATTATATACACATAGTAAACATAGTAGACTATCGCTGGTATTAATTGCAAAATTTCACATTTAAACTTAACAAAGATACTAGAGATTTTGCTTAGATGCGCAGAATTCCCCCACCTTCCCCTATACATTTATTAAACAATAATTCTAAGGGTGCCACATTTTATTTAGGGCCGATTTATTCATTTTTGATTTATTTGACGAATAATTTCTTTGGATACTAGATATTGCCAAGACATGAAAGTTATCGGCCCGATAAACTTTACTAAAGATGAATAAACCGGTCCTTGGTTAAATTTCATGAATTTCTTCGTAACTTTTACTACAATTTTTCATTTTTGATTATAAAAAACACTTTAAAAAACTAAACAAAAATTACGTATACTGAAAATGACAATTCAAACGTCAAATAAATTTTTAATAGATGTAAGTTTCATGGCAACCTTTAAGGATATATTAATTAAGGGAACATAAATGTATACGTCAAAAGTTACATTAAAAGTTTGAACGTTTATTGCAACAAAACAGTAAAATATATAAAAAAAATTGTAAAAACCTTTTTTTAGTTATGCAAATATTAAATATTTAAATTAAATCGCTAGTTTTAATTGGATAATTGAAAGAGTGCATAATATTTTTAATAAATAGCCAATTAAAACAATTCAAACCGTCAAATTTTTTTTTTTGCTCTTAAAAATTTAGTTATGACCTAATTAACAAGAATATAAAAAAAATAGGTTTCACAGAAAGTCCAAAAATCACCTCTCAGAACAGCACTGTGTTTAGCCTCTTGTCAAACAAATTTATTTTTTTATATGGCTAAAAAAATTAAATTTGTATTAGGTATATTTTTTGACAAAAGGCTGAAACTAAAAGTTCAAAAAATGCCCATAAAACGATTTCTATGTTAAAGAAGGAAGCTGGTTCTTAAAAAAAAGCTGGAAAATGTGGCCATTTTATGTTCAGTCTTGGCAAAATTTGACTATCAAATTTAAAAAAATGCCCTCAAAAACATTTTTACCAAATATTAATGATTGTTTTTTATTTTTTCAGATTAATTATGTTCTTGGCATCCAAATAAGTGAGAAGAAATTTTAATATATTAATTTACAAAGATTCAATTTTAAGTTTTACAATAAATTAATGTGCTATATAGATTTTACAAATACCTTCTTTATTTTACTTGTTTTAAAGATCTCTTTAGTTTTTAAGGTTTTTGTGGTCACAACACAAAGTATTTCATATTTTTTTTATTTTGCATATAGACATAGGAGTATTTATTTTTATTTTTCAAATGAATATATTAATCAATTTATGATGCCATTTCTATTTTTGTTTTGTTGAGTTTGATGAAAGCTCAAAAATTTTATATTTACTATAAATTTTTTATATACACATGACAAATGATATTTTGACTTTATTTATACATATTTTGACTTAGATTAAGGGATGGGTTAGAATAAAATACATGGTAAAATTATCAATTGCTTTTATTTTTCCTTCTAATCAGTTCTATTTCAGCACTTCCAAGCACTTAAAACACCTTTTTCTCCACCAGTCAACAAGACCTTTGCCTTAAAAAAAATAATATTAACTTAAAAAAAAATTTTTAATTCAAACTTACATTTTTTACATATGAGCTACTTTTAACTCTTTGTGTATTATCAATAAAACAAAAAGCAGGACCAACTTTATTCTTACAAAATTGTAAAGCCCTTAAACATTCACCATCATGTGCATTTGAACCAGTTAAAATCAATAAGGATTTTTCTGTTTGATGAGTGTTTACAGTATAAACATAATTCTCACTTTTTCTCTAAAAATAAATTGGTTATTAATAAAAAGAAGCCATAAGGGCTAAAATATAAAAATTAAAAAAATGCCCACAAAACAAACCTTAATATCTTGTGCAATCTGACTTCTTTTAATATGATGGGAAGGTTCAGCATCATCCAATTTCCATATTTGCACATCGGCAGTATGTGTACAACAACCAATATAATCATCTTTATTTTCACTGTACCACGTTAATTTCTCTATAGAAGACTCGGTATTCATTGAATCAATAAGAGCATCATCTTCATTTGTCTGTGATAAATCATATATATTAATAAGGCCATCTGTGGATCCAGATATTAACTTATTACTGTCATTTTGGTGAAATTTCACTTGCGTTATGTCATCTGTGTGTGATTCCCAGTAACCACCCAGTAAGTTTTTGCTTCTTACGTCCCAGAATAGCAGAAAAGCATCGCCTTCAAATAAATCGCATCCAGCACTTAATAATTTGCCATTTGGTGAAATATCAAAGCAATTGAAAGTTTTATTGTTGCCTTCTGCACAAGTTGAGTCTAAAATTTATTTAAAATAAAGTAAACATTATTTAATGGTACTTAATATTGAAATTACCTACAAAGTTTTTAACAGCAGCCTTGGGTGTTCTTATATCAAACAATTTAATATTGCCATCGTTAGAACAAGTGTAAATTAAATTATTATTATCCTGACTAAATTGGCAGTCAACAATGGACCCTGTTATACCTCCCAAAGTACAATTTTTTGCCAATTGACTATTTAAATTAAAAACATGAAAACTATTATCAGATAAGCCAACTCCTATATTTGGATTATTATCACTGAAAATTAACACAACTCTTATACTGTAAAAATTTTAAAAATATTGGTAACTTACTTTGTACTGCTTAATTGCATTAAATATTTATTTTTTCCAAAGTTTTCTTCAAACAACAATTTTGAATTCGAAAATTCTCTACTAATTTCGTTGGTATCGCACAAATCTTCATCCGAACAGCTTCCTTCTTCGTCGCTTATATCATTTTCCAACTCTAGTTCCTTCATTTTTATTATAGACATTATTTATTAAAAAATACACGTTTTTCCAAAAGTATTTGACATGCATTTGAAAAGTAGGGTTAGAAAACCATAGACAAACAAAATAGAAAAAGTTTTATACAAACTTTATTTTTTCTATGTATTAGTAATTTCTATGGTTTTTGACACGTTTTGCAGTTTACCAACAAAATAAAAGTAAAATCACTATATTGTTTTGATCAGGTCAGAGATCAGGTGTATATTTCTTAGGTATATTTAAAGGTATATAAAAGAAATTTTGCTTGCAAATTATTAATCAAAACATTATAAAAACTTATTTTTAAAGTCTCCAGTGTATTTTAATCAATTTTAGTGTATTACAAGCATTCCTAACCAAAGAAAATGTCCACTTCAGCTTTGGCATCTTTAACAGCTACCTACACCGATTCAGAGGGTGAAAACGAGAACGACGATGAAGAAAACCCAAACGAGGGCTCCGTTACGCAAAAATCCCCGTCTGGTTCCGCCTCTGACAACAAATCCACCAACTCATCTCGACCAAGTAGCCCAACACAAGTACGAGTGACAAGTCGAGTGGCAAAACTGGTTTCGTACCATGACGATACCATCGCGAGCGATGACGATGCCGAAATGGACGAGGCGGTGCCCCACGAAGTCATAATGATGACTGAGAGTGAAGAAACGATGGAAGGTGGTGATATGCTTGAGGAAGATGGGGAATTGATACCCCCCGAGCCCCCGGGGCACTGCTCCATCGAGTTGCAGGATAAAATCGCCAAGTTGCACGAAAAAATGCAGACGCAGAAGCTGGATATGAATATGATCATACAAAAACGTAAGGATTTCAGAAATCCCAGCATCTACGAGAAGCTCATACAGTTCTGTCAGTTGAACGAATTAGGTACAGTAAAATATAAATTAAATATTATAAACAACTTTTTTGTAATGTTTTATTTTAGGTACAAACTATCCCCCAGTATTGTACGACCCCCTTAAGTGGAGTAAGGAATCATACTATGAAGATCTGGCCAAAGTACAAAAAGCTGAGATGGATAAGAGGGAAAAAGAGCGCAAAACAAAAGCGGATTTAATGACGAGTGCGAAAAATAAGTACGACGAAGAGAAAAAACGGAAAAGTAAATGGGATCAGCCAGGAGGGGGGGGTTTGGCTTCACAAAGTATCAAACCTGCCGGTTTGGTTCAACCATCCCTAACAAACAGTGCCACTGGTACTAAAAGTACGGTTATATCTGCTTTCGGTTCTCTACCAAAAAAACCCAGGCCATAGATTAATGTTGTTAATATTAGAGAATTAAGATATAAGGTTTAAGTTAAATAAATTATTTTGGAATTTTTTTCGTTGTTTTTATTTTACGAAATTATTTGAGGTAGATTTTTCCCATTCCTTTATTAATTTCAAATTTATTGCTAAAATCTGTCATAAAAAGCGTTTTTAACGCCATTTAATCATACAATCTGAATTATTGTAAATTTTTGTGGGAAGAAATCGACCATTTTACGAAATAAAATTGTACCTATTTCATTGTAAATTATCGCGATTCTGTCAAATTCGGTTTAGTGGCCTTTGCGTTTTTGTTTTGTTTCGAAGGGGGCGCGCGCCGTCCCGATTGGTCGCTTGGACCGTCGCCATGGCAACGGTGTCGTACACAGCTGTGACATCTACCAGCTGATGCTTCAAGCTCTCTTGCGGTCGGGCTTTGTGTCGGTTCGGGCGGAGCATGCGCCGCGCGTCAAAGCACGCAAGGGAAAGGGAGTTGAGAAATGGCCGCGGTAAGCAGTGGTCGGAGTGAAACGATGGATCCGCAAAAGGAAACGCAGAACGGGGCCGTGGACCGTTTGAAAAGACTTTATCCGGCAGTGAACGAGGAAAGGACGCCCCTGCCGCGTTCCTGGAGCCCCAAAGAAAAATACAGCTACATCGGACTGTCCCTCAACAATTTGCGTGTTCACTACAGAGGTAAGCACATATCCCCGAGTATTTGTTGTTATTTTCAAGGTTCGCGTTGAGAACGAAAACCCTAATGACCCTGTCGAATGTCCACCATCGTTAATCGAGTTATTTTAAGAAATCCCATCGATTGTTTTTTGTTTTTCTCTCGTTCTGCGTGTACCAAACAAAGAAATCAGCTGATTGTGACATAGGGGGAACATCTAGTTGGCTTCCAAATTGAAAACCAACCAGATGGCCTGCTATTCAATAGCAGCTATTGACAATCCAGCCAGCGACTGCTAAATTTTATTAACATAATAAAGTCGAAAGATTTTATTAACATCAAGCTCAAATCCAAGACAATAGACGTGCTACGTGTTTCCTTTATTTCGCTTCAATTAATAAAATGATAAACCTACATTAGTGTGTAACATACTTTCACATTCCTACAAATAAAATAAATTGCTTCAAATTCGTGGTTAATTTTTTATTTTTAAAATATACATCTTTATTATTTTGCCATTACCTTGCAAAAAACAAAATACGTGTAATCGTTTAAGTTTTCCGTGTTCTTATCTAGTAGGTATGATTTCTTCAGAGTTTCAAAACCATTTTATTCTATTAATAAATAAATGATTTTCACTACACGTCGAGTTGAAACCAATCTTGTCTTTGTGGCATTTTTACATTTTTAAAATAAAAGGCAATTAAATGCTCATAAAATTCTCTATTTAAAGTTTTCATAGGTACATAGAATGTCTTCAAAATTTAATATATGATTCTGTGAGGCATCAGACACATTCACAAATAACTCCAGATTTTTTTACAGCGCAGTTTTCAAGAAAATAATTTTTAAAGTTCCTTTTTTTTCAAACGCCATTTTATGATTTGGTATCACGAGCTCCCTCATGAAATTTCCATATAAAATAAACTAAATAATCAATTTTTAAGCTATCAACGTTATCCTATTTTGTTAGTTTTATTTTTATGATAATCTATAAAAAAAATTACCACTTTTTAAAATTGTAATTTTAAATTTTGTGCTGTCAACTTCAGAAATACAAAAATATGACAGTTTCAAACCTTAAATTTGCGATTATAACAACAAATTAACGATTTATATTATTACTTATTTACTTTTTATGTTGTTTTTAGTTTTTAATGATATCAATTTTTTAAATTTCACGTAAAAATAGTTTTCCGGGTTCAGTTGAATCTTTTGTTTATGTTCGTAAACCTGACAAGCATACGCATGTTTATACACGCATTAAACGCAGCAGGCGACATTTGTGATATAAATAACGCGTCTAATTCTGTTTCGCACTTAAAATTAGGTACTCGGTAGAATTCCTATCAACAATTAATCATACTATATAAGTTAGGTATATAATATTTATAACACGCAGTTTGTTAATAAAAAAATTTTTAAATGTTGAATATTTATGAAAAATGAAGGTAAACTGGGGCAAAATACATTTTGCTGTGGTAAATTAATAGGTTTGAAGTTGACCAATCTCAGTGGTAGTTTCAAATATAGAAAAATAATGTGAACAAGCCTTAACATTTTGGCACATTAAAGTTCTGTTATGACTGACAAGCTTTATCTGATCCTTCCGAAAAATCGATCGAGATGTTAAATAGATTTAACCTTACTCTATGCTTGCAATAATAATTAATATACTGTACGTTTTATGTGTCGTTTAACAAAAAAAATCTTGAAAATAAAACTTTCTATACTATTGGGCTTTGCTCAAAGTTACATAACAATTTTTTTGCTAGATTAATTTTATTTCGAGCATGATAATAATTTGGTTGTCCCTGTATAAATCTGTAAATACCAAAGATAACCTTTTGTTGCGGCCATGCTTTCTTTTGTCTTACCTCTCTTTAGCTGTCAAAATGACAAAAATATTGATAACCGGAAGTAAGGTTAGTTGTCCGTAAAGAAAGTTTTGATCTTGATGTCAGACAAGTCGTTCGAAATTTCGTGTATTGTACTTAATAACATATTCCACATAAATGTTTTATCTTTAATTAAATATTTGTCATGTTGTTATGTTTTTTGTATTTTTGCCTTGCTACTACTGTTGTCTGCCTTTTTAAATGAATAATGTAGCTATCTAATTGTCAGATAAGAAATCCGTTTTCATGAACTAGGTGCCAAGATTGTTATTATTTATTTTGACCTTAAACTCCACCATACAAATAAAGGTGAGATTCTTAAGCAACAAAAAATGAATATTTTATGATACAATTTTTATTTAATACACACTGAACTTCAGTGACTGAAGCCCTTGACCTAAAAACGCGTCACATCACCGGGCCTTCCAGGTGATGACGTCATAGTAATGCATTTGTTTCCTTCTCACCCCTTCCATTTAAGCTCTCACCCAGGTTAACCAGGACAATAATTACCTTCCATCAATAACACGACATTAAATTTTCCTAACCAACGAGAACTTATCAGTTTCAACTTGACAACGCTGCCTGCGTTGGCACAGGCTTTTGTTTCCGATCAAGGTTGCTCTTAGGTTGCATTGCCGATTGTTTTTGCTAATAATTTATGCGTATTTCATAATCTAGCAATCTTGCACGTGTTGATGATTCCTTGTTACAATTTTTAATTGTTATTTTAATTGTTAACAATATAACGTTTTTTATTATTAATTAACTGAAATTAAGGACAAATTTTAAAATAATTGTTGAAAAAATGATTCTGGCATGTTCTTATTTTATTGTGATTGATAAAAATAGATTTTGCGATATCACGCTTAATTTTATGAATAATTTTATTAGCGTTATTTTAAAGGCGCAGTAAAAACGTTGTTAATTTTGTATAGAGGACCGTATCTAGGTCAATGAATTATACTGAACATCCCGTTTGTGTACCTATAGGTAGAGCCAACATAAAAACACAAAAATTTTACAAAAAATCTTTCCATTTAAAGTTCATTGCACAGGTGCGTCTCGATTGTTTTTTGCGTTCGGGAGGAATAAAGTCGTCTGGGGAAAGACCCTGCACCGTCAGGGCCAATGACCTCTAACAGCTATGGCATACATATGTATATATATAGAGTCCACAAAAATCACCGATACCAAACTAAACTTTATTATTTACTGTCTGTATATCAGAGGCTTCGCTCCCGCGGGTCCAAGAAATGTACGCAACCAAGATTACACGTGGATGTAATATCGGTTGCGTTGTTTTACATTACATTACAGGGTAGATTATTAATTTTGCATTTATAATAATTAAGGATATTTTTCTATAAAATGCCAAAAATCAATATAAAAGAATAAACCCCATTTACATAATAAGGCTTTATTAATGTTTAGTTATTATTTTGACATTTACCTACCTAAATGTAAAATTAAAATTTTATTTTGAGTAAAAACAAAGGATCATTCAACTCCACTGTTTACTACGTACTATGAGTATTGTGTTATTTATCATTGACAATATGCTGTAGGATATTTTTTATCTTGAATTAATTAATTAATTAATTATAAAATTATATTTTTAATTACGAACCAAAGTACTTTGACAAGTATAACTTCAATGTTCTTTTTAATGTCAAAACTGTTAAAAAAAAAGTAAAAACCAGGTTTTGCAAAAAAAAATTGACACTCTTTTTCAATTTATTTAGGACATGGAAAAACTCACAGAGATGCTGCCAGCGTCCAGGCTACGCACCCCATACCTGCAGGATGCGGCCTATATTATTTCGAGGTTAAAATCGTCAGCAAAGGTCGCGATGGATACATGGGAATAGGCCTTTCGGCACACGGGGTCAACATGAACAGATTACCGGGTAAATGATCTTTTAAAATCTTAATCGAGCAGGCTGTGCTTTTTTATGTTGGCAATAGCAAATGACGAATGTCAAGTACTTATAAGTGACGTTTTAAAAAAATAATTCACAGCCATGTTGGATTGTTTGTTTAAAAAAACATTGCATTTTTTAATTGTTCAAGAAAATATAAGAATTCATTATGGATAAACTAACTTTTGAAGTATTCCTTGGTCGACAATGTTTGTTTTTCCATATACATACATCGACAAAAATATTTTGTGCATTTTCAAAATATAGCGTTTTCCACACGATACGCAAAAACCGGTATGTTGATGCGCATGTTATAGCTATCCAGTGTTGCCAACCTCAAAAAAAAAATTATAAATTATAAATTAAGAAAAGTCATATTTATTTTAACACAAACTTTGATAAAATAAAATAAATTAGGTACAAACAAAAAAATAAACTTTGGTAAAAAAATAATAAATTACCTATTTTAAATTTAATAAATTAACACTTTTAATTAAAAATAATATCGCATTCATCACAGTCTTGATTATTGAATAAATTATCTTTAGTTATGTATTTCCACATATCTTCTCAGGGCTCAAAATTTATACATTTTTTTTTTAAATTTTTATACCGTTCGAAAAAATCTTTTCTTAAAAACCACAAACATACAACATAACTGCTGCTAACCTAGAACATTAATTTTTATTAACAGCTGTTTATGAAAATGTAATACTTTATTGGCAGGACTGATCGCAACGTTGCCTAATTTATTTTCGGTGCAAATGCATGCTTAAAAATTATAATACTTAAATTTTGTTAAAACAATATTGTAAATGTGGTACAATTATGGTATTATGGTACGCTATAAAAATGAAAGGTACAGACCTTTAAAATTATGGTACAAATACCATAATTTTGGTATGGTTGGCAACACTGTAGCTATCTACCTGCACCGTTTGACGTCATGAGCGAACCAATTAATTTCCTTCCTTCCTATTATTTTTCTAAATATTTTTTATTCACTTGAATTAACCTCGGAATTAACTTAACTTTCGCTAGACAGAATTTTACATTTTTTTAATGAGAAAGGTAACAAAATTATAAAAATGCATTTATAATTGTCAAAAATAGAAGAATCATCTCAAAACTGCTTTTTTAACTTGTGACACTTTTAAAGCGAGTTTCCAATACAATTTAATTTAATTTTTATTATTAGTAAGAACTTATGCAAGCTTTAAAAAATATGTGGTAGGGTGAAGAGTTACTACATATAAGTATCTAACAGAAAATTGGTTATACCAAAAATTGCCTTTACTTACCGTTTTTTATTTTCATTTTATCCTTTCTCTTGCATGCATTCATCCACTGTGCCGCCAGATCTTTATTTTTTGGAAATCGAAAATATTTAATGTTAGGTTAGGTTGTGTGTTGTCTGTTTATATTTCTGCTGTCTGCTACAGCACAGCCCGGCTTATTTTAAATAGTCCAACCACGGTCTTATATACAGGTCTTGCAACTTTAAGCTTCGAGGTGGCTTCCTTAACGTGCCAAGCCGCTAGGTGGCACTAAGATCGAAGGGGTAAAGTCAATTAAATGAACTACTTAGTTAAATGTGGAACTACTGCATAACCATAACCTAACTTTTTAAATTCTTTTTCTGTTTTGTTTACATTTTCAAAAATTTAATATTTGTGAGTTTGTTTCGGATAATTTACGTTAACAAAATAGGACAACAAAGTCTATACTCTATGCACAAAGTCCTCGGCCGTCACATGCCCAGACCAAACATGTTAATGTATAAAATACATACGTATATCATATATATGTTACAGCTAATGTGTAAACATGGATAGTTTATAAAGTAGCTGGGTAGTTTATAAACTAGCCAAACTGTCAACTATTTTAATCTAATTAATAAGTAAAAACTCCCTGTAACAAAATACACAAGCTTGTTTATAAAAATGTAGGTTATGTTTCTTAACACAGAACATAAGTAGGTAGTTCATTTGACCTTTTATCCCATAGACTTTAAGGACTTAGAGCCGGTTTTACAATCGTTAGATTAAGTTAGCTTATTTGGCGGATAACTTTCATAGAAACCTTCTAAGAAAATTATCCACCAGAGAGCTTATCTAACGATTGTAAAACCCAAAGATAAAGAAGGTAAAAACGACCTTTAAACATCTATGGTTTATCCATCCAACTCGATGCGCCATCTGGTGGGTGTCTCATTAGAGAGGTCACTTTTCCTATTGAAATTGGGCGAAGTTGCAAGACCTGTATATAAGACCGTGAGTCCAACAAATATAACACATTGTGTTAAACACAAGCTTAATAAATAACCTGGTATAAAACACCCGTGTGTGGTTTATAAATACCTTGTAAATAGTTATTGCTGTTCAATAAATGCAGTAAAAACTGAACAATATAATATTTTCTAAAGAAAACTCAATGCCTATGCAAAACTGTTTTTTGAACATTTGAATCTGGTTTGCACTTGACGTCACATGCGCGGAGTAGACGAGTTTTTGTTTCATAACCAGCGTATGTGCAATTTTTTAAGAATCCTGCACAAAAATTGTCTTGGTTGTTAGGTTGGGACAAACAGTCGTACGGTTACCACGGCGACGACGGTAACTCGTTTTGTTCTTCCGGCACTGGGCAGAGTTACGGGCCGACCTTCACCACGGGCGACGTGATCGGCTGCGGCGTCAACCTCATCGACAACACGTGCTTCTACACGAAGAACGGACACCATCTCGGCACCGCCTTCAGAGATCTACCTGTAAGATTAGCGAAATCGTCTTGGTACTCTCTTAAAATGAATTAGTCAAAAATAACTAATTATAAGTCATATTTGACTAATTGTCATAGCGAAAAAGCACTCACTAATAATTAGTCAAATTCCACTGAATGAGATAGTTAAATTAGTAAATTTAAATTTAAAAAAGTTTTGACCCAGCCTGGGATTGAACTCACGTCTGTCACTTGAAATCAAATCAAAAATATTTATTCATGTTATTGTAAATATAATAAATTGTAAAAAATAATTTCAAGTATATAAAGGTATTTAAATAAAATGAACAAAACAAATGTGCCTGGCACGTAATGTTCATCATAAAGGAGGCCACTATATATACGTTTCTGTCACTTGAGAAGCTTGTCAACCTAACCTCATAACCAGTCAGCCGCCCTTATAAAAATAAATTTTATTTGTCAATAAATATTGTTCATAATATTTTAAAGTTTAATATATTATTTGTGTTACTGTTTTGAGCTAAACTTTTTGCATCTTTATTTGTTTTATGGGTCATTTAACCATGGAGAGGTATATTCATTTAATTCAAATAATACTTTGTTGGCCGTAAACGATTAAAGAAATTAGTTACTTTTAACTGTCAGAAATAGTCAAATATGCTGACTAATCTTAAATTAGTCAAACTTTAACTATTTACGTAGTAAAAAAAAACTATTTAAAAGTGAAAACGACTATTTTATTAGTAAAAAATGCTGGTACTAATTCAAATAGTAGAATTTTGACTATTTCATTTTTAGAGAGTAGGAACTATTTGACGAACGAAATTTTTTTAGCCAAATTTGTATCCCACTGTGGGCCTGCAGACGCCCGGCGAAGTGGTCGACGCAAATTTCGGCCAGGAACCGTTCGTGTTCGACATCGAGGACATGATGAAGGAGCTGAGGTCCAGGACTCGAACGGAAATCTTGGATTTTCCCGTACCTGAGAGCCAGGGCGAATGGCAGGCCATATTAAATAGGTACGTGAGTTATTTTTGAATTTCCTTTACATTTCCCTCAACTGTCCCTCAACTTTAATATTTTAGAAAAAATTTTGTTTAACGCCATTTGGAACTTTAAGTTTTTAGCAAAATTGTAAAATTTTAAATTTAACCCTATCAAAAAACTTTTCCCAACAGTAAAGAAAAGTAGCTGTCCCACTTGCAATAATATTCACTACTTAATGCTATTTAAGCATCCTCTTTTTTTACATGATTAAGAATATATTACAAATATTAGAGAAAAAGCCCATTTGTGGGAATATTTAAAAATACAAGTGGTTAAAATAACCCCTAAAGTTTGTCCCTTAATTTTGGTCCCCTAGGTGACATCTTCTGGGTCACAGCTTTTATAAATGACCTTTTGAATTGGACGCACATTTTTTGGTGCTGCCCCCTTGCGGCAATGTATTTGGTAACGGATTTTAGTAGGAAATGGTGTATTAAACTATCTTGAAACCACAACACGTTTTTTTGTATTTTTTATACCAGCGTGGCAAAACTGTGCATTCTCCTGTGTCACAGTAATAAAAAGTAGTAAAGGTACAAGTTGGACTTTGTTTGATTTTCAAAAGTAAGTAGGTATCCTAGTAATGGTTTTAAGGGCAAAAATACAAATTTTTATCTTTTAAACAGTAAAGAGGATATGTTCTAAAAACATACATTTTTCCCCTGTGTCACACCTCTCCTGGATCACATATTGTGTGACCCAGGGGAAAGTTATGTGACCCAGGGGACAATTCCAAAGAAATAAATTATAATATATTTTTGAAATATATAATAATAAACTTATACAGTGTGACCCATCTATTTGCGACTCACCCCTGTAAAATCTTTATTTATTGTGCGATTTTAACCGGATTTGTTTTAAAGTGTAGATCTTGTTAAACTGTATTTTTTGAGCAAAAGACGCCAAATTAGTACAAAATACAAGGCCTTTAAGAGTAAATTTTTAAGAATTCATATTGGCGATTTTTTTAAACAAAATCTAAGCACGGCACTGGATTCACCACCCCTCAAAACGACCCTATAGGTACTAAATTTTATTGAAAATTTTAAAGTAGAAAAATGCACAATAATAACCACAAAAGTTTATTCTGTCAAGTTATCTTATAGGTATTATGAAAAAAACATACCATATTACTATTAGTTTAATTTTATTTCAATAAATAACTTGACAAAATAAATTTTGGTAGTTATTTTTGTGCATGTTTTTTCTTAAAATTTTTCAATAAAATTTAGTATAGGGTCGTTTTCGGGGGTGGTGAATCCAGTGCCGTGCTTAGATTTTGTTTAAAAAAATCGCTGATATGAATTCTTAAAAATTTACTCTTAAAAACTGACATAGTAGGCCTTGTATTTTGTAAAAATATGTATGTCGTTTTTTGCTTCAAAAATACAGTTTATCAAGATCTACAATTAAAACAAATCCGGTTAAAATCGCACAATAAATTACGATTTTACAGGGTTGAGTGGCAAACAAATGGGTCACACTGTAGGAAATTTTAAAAATATTTTTTTTTGACCTTCCAACTTTTCTGTTTCTGACAGTACGTAGCCAATTTAAAATAATGTCATCCACCTTTTTAATAGTAATTTTCTTAGTCAATGTATTTTGCCTCAAAGAAGCTGGAAAAAATTTTTGGTAGTTCAACAAAACAATGTTTATATTGACTTTTTATTATTATTTTATTAATATTACTAATAACTTAAACTTTTCATTAATTTATTGCTCGTTAAATTGGACAAGCTGGGCCCAGATAAAAAATCGAGAAAAAACCTTTTTAATACGCATTAAAAGAAAATTTCTTAAACTCACTTTTTTTATGGACATTTTTTAAATACAACAAATATATTAAAAATACTTATGTTTGTAAGAAAGTTGAGAAATAGAACATAGTTTTTGGTTTTACTTAGTTTTGTACTCAAAATTTTTTTATAAATAATAAATTTATGTTATTTTTTTAAACAAATCCTAGTGTAAATAAAAGAATTATAACAAGCAAAAAAATATATTTTCAAAATAATAATAAGCATTTGTGACCCAGGGGACCACGTTTTTCTTTTTTAAGGGCTTACTTAACAAAATCCAACTTTTAGGTGTTAAATAACACCCCCAAATAAACAAAATTTGAAGAAAAAAAAACAGGTTTGTAGATTAAGTTTTTGTTTTTACTTTTTCTTCTTTAAATGTACAAGAATTTTGAAAATGACCCACATACACAATTTTTATTATGGACGACAATTTATTTATCGTTTGTTTTAGAATGGTATCCACTTATTTAATTCACCACGGTTATTGCAACACAGCAGAAGCTTTCGCCCAAATCACAGATCAACCTTTTCAAGAGGACGTTCTCTCTATTAAAAATCGACAGAGTAAGTTTAAGAGACATCTTCGGGCATTAATGGGGTAGTTAAATTTTTTCTGACCTATACTTTTTATGGTTTTATTCAAGGCGTTTTGTAATATTAAATATTTCTGTGAAATCAGAATTTCAATTGAGTTTACCGTTTTCGAGATATTTACAAAAAATATAAATTTTTATGACGACACAAACCTCGCCATGTGACCAACATTCTAAGATTTCTATTGGTTGAAAATTACCCTGTTGTCAAGTTGTCTTGTTAATGATTTCATTCGGTTATGTCAGAAAATACCCGAAGAGGTTATGTACAAATACCGTCACTGTCAGTTGAGTGAAAGATGGTCACCAAATTCATTAAGTAACTATCTTCCTTATTACGAGGTATCATATTACTGTTTGATATTTTAGAGTCCAAGATATATCTAAAAGAATATAAAGAATTAGGCATTATACTAATGAAATGCATTTACGACAAAATATGATTATAATTATAGGTACTTACTTTATTTGTTTAAAAGCTCCAATGTTCAATGTAACCAACCATTCCACAAGATTCCTCTGCTTTGGAGTCCGTTATTAATAAATCACTTATCTAATATCAATTACAAATAACATAACAATAACATTGATTTTCAATAATCTAAATTTAAAAAAACATAACCCGAAAAAAAGAAACGTCAGAAAATCAATTCTTCTTCTTCTTGTCAACTAAAATTATAGATCAAGTGGTTTTAAATATTATAACGTGGCGCCATCTATCGTAAGAATCTTAAACTAAACACACCATAGAAAAAGGTGGCAACGTTGTCAATAGCCTAGTGACGTAATTAGGAGAGTTTGTTTTGTAAATATCTCGAAAACGGTAAACTCAATTGAAATTCCGATTTCACAGATATGTTTAAAATTACAAAACGCCTTGAATAAAACCATAAAAAGTATAGGTCAGAAAAAATTTAACTACCCCATTTGACGACGTTTTAGTTAGTTTAGTGAAAATAAAAATATCGTTTCAGAAATTCTAAAGCTGGTGTTGGCGGGTCGGATGGGCGAGGCGATCGAGAGGACGGGTCGCGTGTACCCGGGTCTGTTGGAGAACAACCAGAACCTGCTGTTCATGCTCAAGTGCCGGCAGTTCGTCGAAATGGTCAACGGATCGGATATAGAGGTGTGCGGCTCGAAAAAATGCCACTACCAAGCCTCCCCCCGTGCTCCCTCGAGCCCCATACAGACCTCCGTCATACAGTCCACCAAAGGTTTCGCCACCAAAGGTAACTTCATTCAATTTTTACAAGAATTTTTGTGAAAATTTTAGTTTTATAACATAAGTATTTATTTAAAAGTACATTTTTTTGTAAAATTATATTAAATGTGAAAATTATTTTATTATCTCAATATAAAAATGCAAAAGTATTAAATAATTTCTTGACGTCAATATTTAAAATGACCTTTTGATTTCGCCCTAGTAGTGCAGTTAACTAGATTTAACTGAAAAAACGTTAAAAATTTTGCGATTGTTAGTCTATTTTCAAGGGATACATTTTGATTTACCCAGAACAATTTAAGACTTTAACGCCGGTAGATTCTCAAGTTAGAAATTCTAACGTAAATATGGTTACTTTATTTTCGTATAGATGTCGCTTTATACAAATATTTAATTTAAATATTTTTTTAGATAATATTAAGTATTCGTAAAACAAGGCCTTAAAAAAATTTTTGGGAAAAATTAACTTTTTTCTGAAAATATACAAAGCAATCAACAACTAATAATCCTTAAGAATAATAAATTTATTACAGAAAAAAACTAAACATTCAATTAAATTAAACGTAAACGTAAACATAAACTTTTTGCAAAAGGGAATCTATTGAAAATATCCATTTACAAAATAATGAATGATTTTTAGGTACATAATCTTAAATTACAAAATTATAATTTAATAAATCAATGTGTCAAATAAAATGATAGTTATGTTCACACAGATCCAAATTTGTTTTTTTGCGACCCAGTAAAAGATGTCCTATATGATTATAATCAGAGAAGAAAATTTCCTTTTTTGTTGATATTACCCTTTGAATAAAATGAAATTTTTTGGAAAATTTCCCATTTTTCCGGTTTTTTTTCGTCGGCTTAATTTTTTCGGAAGTTTTAAAACCCTACTCCTAAAAAGCGATTTTATAACAATTCTATTTATACAATCAAATCTATAGAAAATTCAAACAATTTCAGGCATTTTTGTGAGCTGTTTTAATAGATATTTTTTATAATAATATACAGTGTGACCTATTTGTTTACGACTCACCCTTGTAAAATCTTTATTTATTGTGCGATTTTAACCGGATTTGTTTTAAATGTAGATCTTGATAAACTGTATTTTTGAAGCAAAAAAAGACATTTTTTAAGAATTCATATTAGAGATTTTTTAAAATAAAATCTAAGCATGGCACTGGATTCACCACCCCTCAAAACGATCCTATACCAAATTTTATTGAAAAATATTAAGAAAAAAAATGCAGTTATCTTTGAAAAAACATTGAAATAAAATTAAACTTATAGTAATAGTACCATGTTAATATTAGTTTAATTTTATTTCAATGTTTTTTTCATGGATAACATGGCAAAATAAATTTTTGTAGTTATTTGTATCTAGTTTTGTTCTTAAAATTTTTCAATAAAATTTAGTATAGGGTAGTTTTGAGGGGTGGTGAATCCAGTGCCATGCTTAGATTTTGTTTAATATGAATTCTTAAAAATTTACTCTTAAAAACTGCCATAGTAGGCCTTGTATTTTGTACTAATATGGCGTCCTTTGCTCCAAAAATACAGTTTATCAAGATCTACACTTTAAAACAAATCCGGTTAAAATCGCACAATAAATAAATATTTTTCAGGGGTGAGTCGCAAACAAATGGCTCACACTGTATCTAAACATACTGTTGGTTGTAAGGAAAAAAAAGGCACCGCAACGTGGGTTCTTGAAATTTTTGAAAACAAAAATAAAAAAAAAAGTATTCTTTGTTACTCTCCTGCCAATATACCATCTCTATGCAAAAAATCACGTCGATCCGTTGCTCCGTTACTGCTTGAAAGGCAAACAAACAAACACACTTTGGCAAATATTTATGTCGGGATTTATTATTATACAGACTGTATAGAATCAAGTAAGTAAGGCTGGAGACAAGGATGATTAATTATATTCTGATCAGAGAAAAAGAAACAAACTTTAATTGGGCGTAGTTTAAACCATTCGTAATTACGAACCATAGTTGCCAGGTTGTTTTAAATCGGAAGAGAACGATTATAATTACCTATTTAATAAATAGTTCAATTTTATTTGTTTGAAACTTTAAAAATAACAAAAAAATTAACAATATTAAAAAATAAGAAAAACAACCCTTTTACGAAACAATAATAGTATATGACAACAGCGCGGCATGCAGCCAGATACAAGGGCATGCAGTTTGAGTTTGTTCAGTAGCTCCGAGGCTGTCGTAGGGAAATGTGTATAGTTTTTAAGAAATACATTTTCGCCATTAACTAGAATTTAATGGATTTTAAACAATACTTTTTTTTATTTGCAGAAATGCATTAAAACAAAACAAACGAATTCGATAAAAATAAAACCTATAAATTCTCAAACAAAAATAGTTCTAAAATAACGAAAATAACTTTTTTTCTAAATTAAATGTTCAAATAGGCCACCAGCAGCAGTTAAACAATACCCTAGCCTATCATAAAAATTACTGCGCACGTTAAACAGCATTTCAGGACTAATATCTCCCAATGTATTAAAGATTTGCACCCTTAATTCATCGAGATTATTGTAGCTACACTGGGTAAAGGCCTGTTTTGAAACATATTTTAAAATAAAGTTTGTATTTGGCGATACGATCTACCAGTGTGATGCCATACCATAATTTGGTATTTTTCATCACGGGTAAAAACCATTTAATACTTTTTTATTCTTACAAAGACGTACGCAAAGTCTCAGTGCACTTCTTAAACTGACGCACAGATCATACGACGATGATACGGCAAGCAAACAAATTCAATCCCTACCACAGTGGGCGGGGTTTGGCACTTGTTTTATTTAAGTGTATCTATTCGTTTCAATACACACTGTATACTAGATATTTTTTTCCGAAAAAATCCAGGCAACAAGCAGCAAAACCTCGACACGAACGAAATGAACGAAACGAACTTGTCACACAACGGCACTGACTGCGACGCCATCGCCGACCGCCAAGGCGGCGGCGACGACGGCGACGTGGAGATGATCTCCATCCTGGACGTCGACAACGAGGAGGCCGTGAACGGGCACGCGCAGCAGCCCGACGCGTGCAACGGCAAGAACGCCAGCAGCAACGGCTATCAGAACGGCAACACCGCCGCCACGCGTGCCAACCCCCAAACCACGACGACGACGGACGAGCCGATCGTTTGCGACAACGAGGACGAGGACATGGGTAAGTCTAAACATCATTTTTTACATTTCAAAAACAATATACAGGGTACAGGGCTCCCACACCTCCTAAAATTCATAAAATTCCTAAAATTTGGCTTAAACCTTAAAAACTCCTAAAATTGCCATCAATCTCCTAAAACTCCTAAAAATTAAATATAAGTAGGCAACTTGACTGCATTTAATTAAGGTAGTTGTGCTAAAAAATTTCTTTTTTAAAAAGTAATTTAAAAAATATATATTTTTGGGTTCTAGTTTATTAAATTCTTTTTAAAATGATATAGGTATCACAACCTACATTTTTCTTAAAAAACAACAAAATATACCATAAAACAAAATCCATGTAGTAGCTTCTAGACTTCTACAAAATTGTCATTTTTAGCCATATTTCGTTAATTTTCGACAAAAATATACCGTGTTATATATCAAACAAAAGGATTTTTCATTTTCTTTTAAATGATAGCTAAAATAGTAAACAATTGTCATTTTATTTTATTTTTATTCTCTTTTCCGTCCTTGCATTATCAAACATGTAATGTACCTATCTATAGTATAGAAACTAGCTTAAGCTTTTAAAACATGACGAAATGTGAAATGAATATCTACTACTACTACTTTTATATTTTTATATTTTTATTTTTTATTGTTTGTATATTTTTGTTGTATTGTTGTGAGAGGATGAATCCGTATAGAGTGTTAACGTGCACTCTCTGGATTTTTCAAAATAAACGTATTTTCTTTCTTTCTTTCTTTCAATTTAAAGAATGTTTTGCTGTACATGCACTTTATATTTTTTCTATTATGAGATTTTTTAGTAACAATAACATTACAATTATTGTTAATTATGAACTAAACTGTTAAATTTTTTTTCAAAATATAAATACATCATTAAACTTTGGCCTACTTTTTTAGCCATATCTATCGACGCTTTTTTTTTAAATAAAATTAAAAGTGTGGTGAAATTTCTACTTGTAGATATATACAAAAGTAGTAATTTTACCTCACTTTTCATTTTATTAAAAAAAACTCGTCGAGCGATTTGGCTAAAAAACTAGTCAATATAACCTATTTGTACAAAAGAAGTGATATTTATTTATATTTTTGTTAAAAAGAATTACTTATTTTTTTCTTATTTTTTAAGTATAGTGTAGAGTTATTTTTATTTAATTAAATAAATTCATTTGCATACTTTTTTTCTCCTAAAGTTCTCCAAAAAAACTCCTAAATTCCTAAATAAAATTTGTAATTTGATATTTTAAGTAACTTTTTTATCAAAACTAAAAAATAAGAGAGTTATAGGCCTTCCAAGTTTAATTAAATTTTGAGCCGGTCCTGGCTATTGTTAACAAAAAACATAACCGTAAAAATAAAAATAACAAAATAAACAATGCAAAATGTCATCTATGACAACAAACATAACCATTTAAATCAAAATGACATTTAGCAATGAAAAATGTCAGTTTTTTTCTGCCTCAATTATTGTTAAAAATGGTTCATAATTATAGCAATAATGAATTAGTGGAAATGTTACTAATTTATGGAGACATTTTTATTGCAAAATGTCAATTTGATTTAAATGGTTATGTTTGTTGTCAAATATGACATTTTGCATTGTTTATTTTGATATTTTTATGGTTATGTTTTTCGTTAACAATAGCCAGGACCGGCTTAAAATTTAATTAAACTTTGATGGGCTATATCTTTTTTATTTTTGAGTTTTGATAAAAAAGTTACTTAAAATATTTATTTGTGTAGCCGATTTCTACACACTGTTAAAAGAAACGCGTCAACTTATGGTTTTTCTAGACAATTTAAAGAACATATAATTTTTTTGTCAATGTCATATTTTTAACAAAACATCTCCTTCAGACGTGGACTTGCCCGCCAGCTGCAGCGGTGGCAGCAGCAGGAAAAGCTGCTTGAAGCCGGCGGTGGAGCGAATACTGGAGTTCGGACGGGAGTTGTACAGCATGTCGCAGCGGCTGCAGGTGGACCAGCAGGTGTCCACCGAGAAGAATCAGAAAATGCTGGAGGACGCTTTCAGCCTTTTAGCCTACTCGAACCCGTGGTCGAGCCCGGTGGGCTGGCAGCTCAACCCCACGCAGCGCGAAAACGTCTGTGCTTCCCTTAATTCAGCTATCTTAGGTGAGGAAATCAATATTTTCCTATTTTATTCAATTTAATTCAAAATATAACAAAAAAAAACTAACAATATAAAATGAAAATTTTAAATAATAAAAAAAAATTCCAAATCCATCAAATCGACCAGGTTTGTGTTAAAAATGTTTCAATTTAAATTACCGTTTACAAAAATAAACCAAGAATAAAATATTAAAACTACAATTTTTAAAAACCAATATTTTAAATTTTTAAAGTAAAACTTTTTTGATGTTTTATTTATGTTATTTTTACCTATTTTAATAACCCTTTATAGTTTCAAAACTTTAAAGTATTATGAGGGACGTAATTTTTACGAAAGAAAATTACTTATAACTTATATAAGTTATAAGTGTATTTCACCTAAAGGAAAATTTAACGGTAATTTTTAACGTCAGAATTTTTACTTAATGGTAAATGTTGCTCATAATTTTACGATATTAAGTATTAGGTATTTTTTAGAGTTATTAGTGATAATAAATACTATTAATATTGATTAAACAGGGAAAATATTTTTTCATAAATATTTTTCAAAAATATAATAAGGAAAGTTTTAGTTATTAAAAAATAATTAAAACTAAATAATTTTTAAAAGATTTTATAAAATTTTGTAGGTTTTAGGTTTTGTTGAATTTTTACCCAAGCAATAATTTTTCTTAAAACCGTAAAATATTTAGAGGGCATATAATTTTTAAGATGTATTGTGCCTATTTTTACCAATAAAATAATGTGCGTTTTAATGCAAAATTTTATTAGTATTGACAATTTAAGTTATACTTTTTAAGTACCATTTTGTAAAATATAAATTAAAAAAACAAAGAAATTACGAATGTCAATGTTTTAGAAAGACAGAGCAAACAGTTGGTAATTATAGCGTTATTTTTACGTAAATTTGTGATATTTATATTGTTTTTATTACGTTATTCTCTTAGTATATCAAAAAGATTATTATGTAGGTAAAATAACGAAATAAACCATTCTCCAAATTTGGTAATTTTTCGTATCTATACCGTTATAAAACCGTTTTGGGTAACCGTAAAAATACTTTAAAGTTGACTTGGTGGTAAATTTGTAGTTATTTAAACTTAAAATGCTGCTTGGGTTGCATTTTATATTTAAAATATTTTTTGATTATCAATTGTTTTGAGTTTAAAAAAATTTAACTTTTTAAACTATTTTGGTAGAAAATGTATTATATGTTTTTATTTTGAATTAAAATTTAACTTTACCAATTTAATCTAAATAATTTTATTAAAAATTATTTAGGATTTACAAAATTAAAAATTTATAAATGTAAATCTAAAATTTTTAGTTGGGAAAATTTTAAACCAATAAAATTTTAAATTAAGAAATTATTTAATGAACATTAAAACAACGTGCCAAAAAATTCCTATGGGTGATCAAAACAAATTTAAGAAAACAAATACCAGTCTTTGATTTGATTTTGGTGGAGACACTGTAAAAAAAAATCTTTTTTCCTGGTCGATTTGAACAATCAATGAATAAAATAAAAATAAAAAATCAAATATTAATGATTATTTCCCTCATTATAATATGAACCAATCAAAAGCCTTGAATTTTCGAATAAATGAATAAAATAAAAATAAAAAATCAAATATTAATGATTATTTCCCTCATTATAATATGAACCAATCAAAAGCCTTGAATTTTCGAATAAATGAATAAAATAAAAATAAAAAATCAAATATTAATGATTATTTCCCTCATTATAATATGAACCAATCAAAAGCCTTGAATTTTCGAATAAATTTCGTTTAAATAAGCGATTAAATCACTAAAACTATTTAACAGCGATTAAATTTTAGCATTCATATTGGATTTTTGTTTACGATTTTATGGTGTTATTTACAAGTTTTAACAAACATTTTTTAAAAAACAATAAAAAATAAGTTATCTAGTTTACGAAATATCAATTATTACTTATTACATACCTTAAATTAATGGAATTTTCTTTAAAAAAATATTTATAAATTTTGACACATGCGTCAGATTTTATGAATTGTCAAATAGTTTCCTTTAATTCGAGAAATAATCTAGACGTATATCACTCAACCTATAAATTTAATCTGTCAAACTATGCTCAGTAAGTTTTTTATTTGATTTTTCTTTTTGGAAAATAGTTTCATGCAAAAAAATTAAAAATAAAACCCCTCGACCGCTACGCGGTCTCGTGATTTTATTAAATTATTTTGCATTCAACATTTTCCAACAAAAACCAAACAAAAAACTACTGAGCCTAGTTTAACCGATTAAATTCATAGTTCTCGTGATATAATATATAAGAAAAATGAAAAAAATTGGCAATTTGACATTTTTCTCGTTATTCGCAGAGTCGAACAACAGGCCGCGCAGGCCGCCCCTGGAGGTGGCGTTCGCGCACGCGCAAGAACTAATCCACCTGATGTCCGCCACTGGCCTGGGCTCCTGCGCCTTCGCCTCCTTGATTGAACTGCTGGACCAGTGACGACGCAACCCGCAGTACGCCGCGACACCCCCGGCGCCCTCGTGCACCGCCCCCCTCCACCTGCCGCACCGCCCCTCACGATGACAATGACAACGCGACTGCCCATCATTCAAAAACAAACAGACACTTACTCAAAAGTAGCAGAAACAAATCTGAAATTTGTGTGTAAATAAATAGTTACGACGGAACGGTTGTTGCATGCTTTCAGTGCTTTTATTTTGGCAACAATAATTCGGTAAACATAGGCATAGTAATCGAGTTTTCTATGCAATTTATCTATAAATACAATAATCAAGAAAGCTGTCATCCTAAACAACTGTCATTTCAGCTTTATAGGTTAAAACAAACGTCACTTTGACGTCTGACATCGTACATTGTTGCCAATTTGTAATCGTGAAAAGAAGGGGAATTTCGAAATAAAAAATAAAATTGAGTCAGTTACAAATTAAAAATTGTAGTAGATTGGATATGATTAAAAAAGCGTAAGATTGTAAATATGTGACCAAATCATGGGAAATAAACATTATGATAATTTTTATTGTGAAGAATAATTTAAATAAAGCAAGAAATATAATTCATCTCTTATTTTTAAAACCTTTTTTATTATTATTTCTTGTTTTTTTATCATTTAAAGGAATCCTCAACTTTTGTTTTCTAAATTACGTCAAACAAAAACATTATTTCATTTATTAATTCGACATGTTCTTTGTGATAAATAAACCTGTTGAGGGTGGGAGGATGAAAAGTGTACTTTTTGTGATTTGATTTTATAGTTTTTCGAATCAAATTAAATATATTTTTTAATCGTTTGTTGTGAAATTGTAAAATCAAAGTTACAAAGCCATCTCAATTTATTTTGGGCGTTTCAACTTTATTTTCAGGTGTTCTTTATTTGTTTATTGTAGACCTACCATTTCATAGTATAATTATTTGTAAATAAGTTATAAAAATGTTATGATTTAATTAATTAATTAATAATAAACTAATAATTACGTTTATTTGTTTTAATTTTTTTTTCTTCGTTTTTTGAAGTTAGAGGTAAGTAATTTATTTTGCCATTATTTATTAACAAAATTTGTAGTTTAAAGCATTTTTTATATTGCGTGCAATGGTGAACGTGATTGTGAAAATTATTGTACAGTTATCAAAATAAACTTTATAATTTGTGTTTTACTTTTTCACTAAATCAACCTTGTCAAATCAATTAAAATTAAAAAAGCATAAATAAAAAAATCACTCGGAAAATTACCAAATAAACAATAGAGAAGCCAAAAACGATTTTAAAATTTTCCGTTGACAGTTCTCCGCCCCTGTTCATGCGTCGTTTTTCCATGCGAAGCGTATGCGCAGTTGCCACGTTGCTTTCAAATGAAGGAATATGTAATTCAATTATTTTTGTACTGCCTGGGAAAAAGTCGAATAGTCTTTGCCGTTTTTCGATCATTAATTATTAATAAAATAAAGTAGCCAATCAGAGGCGTGTTTTAGCAGAATTATTAGAGGTGGGAGAACTATAATTTGCAGCTTTTAAAAATTCCATATAAAATCGTAGTGTAAAATTACCTTTATTATATTGTTGACATGGTCAGTGTTTAACTTGATACATTCTTTTTTTTTTGGAAAATTGGTGGCCCTAATACAGGTTCTTAATCGTTTTAAACGTTGTGTTTCTTACAGAGGCGCTTGTAAGCCTAAATGTGCTAAAACAACCGTTTTACTCCTCTTTTGGTAAAAATAAACCCTATTCCATCAGGGCTGTCATTAAACTGTCAAATTTCAATTTTAAGGTTAATTTACCATAACCCACAAATTTAAATTTGATAGTTTGATACGTCCCTGATAGAATATATTCCCAACCCAACCTTATAAGGTTTAAAATGATTGTTCTTAGCACTCATTTGAGGCTTTCAAGTGCCTCTGTAAGAAACACAACGTTTAAAACGATTTTTAATCTGTATAAACATAAAAATGGCCGCCGTGATTTTTAGTATGGGCGAAACAAGATAAAACAGGGTTTGTTGTGTGGATTGTGATTATTACATATACATTCAAATATCTCCAATTAAATATTAATGTTAAAATTAATAAAATAATTATTATCTACTCCTACATTGACGAGCTGTAACTTTATGGCGTTTTATTGACGGGCTGAAGTTAACAACAGTGGCTTTTCGACATTTTACGTCACGGGCTGAAGTTAGCTTTATTATAAATTGGGAAAAAGTGAGGTTAAATTCGGGTGACAGTTGACAGATGTCAAAATTTTAACAAATAAAATTGGCTTTAAATTCTGTTTTATGTTCGTCGTAGATAAAGTATAGTATGCAACTCGTTTATAAACTTCTCTAGACACTCGTTTTTATTAAACACTCGCTCGCAAGCTTCGCTCGTGCTTAATTAAACTCGTAACTAAAATGGCGTTTATAAAACTCATAGAAGTAACAGTGTTATTTCTATGATAAAACTTGATACATAATATACTATAAAAAAAGTAAAGAATATCATTATCAACCTTGTATTAACTTATTTATTAAGTCGCCTTGTATAAGCAAATAATAATAATCAAACACCATACAATTTTTAAAAAAATATTTATTTTTAGGTTAAATAAGCACTATTGACAGTTAGGGGAAAAAGAGAAAAGCATTAGACGTGGCAACGTTGCAATGTGGGAGTCGTTGTGGGGACTTGCGCACGTTGCGTTCTGATCTGCATCGAGCGACAGCGCGGGCGCTTGTAGTGGCGCCGATCGCAGTGAGGAGAGCCCGCAACACCGCGCAACACCGCCTAAGTTTCAGTGTTTAGTGGTTTTCAAGTGCGTTCCTCTTCTCAGGATAAAGAAGAAGAGCAGGCCGCCGCAGGAAGACAAAAACGCATAGACACACACCAAGGAGTTGTGATGATTGTGCGAGTCTAGCAGTGTGTCCAGCAATAAAGTAGTAGGTAGTGCGTGCAAGAGGACAGTTGCAGCAGCGGTCGGTGGGTAGTTTGTGCACAGTGCGTCCAGTAAGACCGGTCAACGACGTTTTGCAAGGAAGAAATTTGCAAGATGGGGTGCACATCTTCGGCGGAGGAAAGGGCGGCTCTGGCGCGCAGCAAGCAGATAGAGAAAAATCTCAAAGAGGATGGCATACAGGCCGCCAAGGACATTAAGCTGCTGCTTTTGGGTGAGTAGGGCGGGGGTTGGGACCGACTCGATATCCCTGCCCTGTTGCCAAATCCACCTACTTTATTACCACAACCACCATTCACAATCTACAACCACTTTTTTAAATCACTTTCTCTTTCCTTAAACGTCGCCGCGGTAACCCTTGCATCATGTTTTTACTGCCAAATCAATCATTTTCTACTACTCTCGTTAGGTAACGTTTTTGTATGAATCATGTTACCTACTTCTTGTTTCCAATTTTATTCACAAAAAACTCGTTTTTGTTTAATTTGATTTTGCTTTAAATGTCATAATTTAACACTATTCATGTCAAAACAATTTAAACAACTTCCTATACACTAAAATAAATGCCTTTAAAAATCTAGCAACCGTGGTTTTCACATTTCGTTGTAAATAAAGTCGATGTGGCAACAGGGCTTACTTTTGCTTGGCACTGGGTGCGGAGTCATGCGCAACCTGCCAATTTCACATTTCATCCCCCTTTATATTCTTGCTTTCTACATACAGAGTGTTTCATAATTATTGACATAATATTATTGTAATTATTTCGAATATTTGCCTACATTGTAACACAGTACATTATGCAACCATTTAAAAGTCAAAAAAGGGAATTTTTAGCTTCCCTTTTTAAAACTTTAAGAAAAAAAATACATTTGTTGGCATCACTGCCAAAATTGACAATTTAACCCCTGTTTTAACTGATCTTTGATTTTTATTCCAACGCCGCCTATATTTTTACATTTTCTTTGAATAAAATTACCTAAAAACGTTCGAATCTAGTGGGTACAAGTCATGTATTACCTTTCACAGCCTACTATAGACTAAAATGTAACTTTTATTTATCATTTTAAATGGTTAAATTAAAAAACTGATTTATTTCTTATCTACTTCCACCCCGGTTCTCGGAATGAATCACGATAATGTTTACACAGATTTGTGCAAATCCTGATAACCACAAAAATGAATTTTAAAGTTGATATTGATTAGATCATAAGTAATAATATTAAATATTATGTAGTTACTTTTTAAAGATAAAATCGAAATAATAACCGATACATTATCTAATAACAGGCAAATGCAATTATTTATCGGATAAATAATTTATTTAGGTACTTAATACAAATAGGTTATTATGTTCTTTGATACAATATGGCATTTTTATAGGCAATTTTTTACAATTTTTTAATGAGCAATAGTGTAATGAAAATAAAAACGTTATATTTGCAAAACCAATATGGCGAGCAACTAAAATAACTATTTCTTTACATCTTAAAACCAATAACACAGGGGCGGCGATAATTTAAATAAATCGATTTGATTTATTTCGATAATTAGTTAAACGCGAAAAATAGTGAAAACAACTCGATACAAACGGAGCCTTTAATATAAACAAAGACATAAATAAACGCGATGTCTTGTAGCAGCCGTTTTTTGTTGTTTGTTATTAACAAATTGTTAACGCTTTTGACGCACGCTACTGACGTACTCGAATCGCGGAAGGTGGGGAGAGTAACCCCCGCCATGTTGCCAAACTTAACGTAATTTTCTTGATCTAATTTTTAGATTTTGCAAACAGTTAAGTTTAGGATACATAACGGAAATGTTTTATATGAGAATAAATATTTTAAATGTCTTGTGTAATTAGTACCTAGGTATTACCTTATTATTAACTTTTCAAATATTTTAATTAGCTACATTATAGACTTGAAGAAATAAAAATATGTAGGTATACGAAAATATGATTTAAAGTCGTTTATAAAAATAGGTAATTATTATTTACAAATGTAGTTCTTAAAATATATCGGCAACGTCGATTAACAAGCACATACACAATCAAGTAAGCGCACACAAACGTACAAATTTAACGGTGTTCAGTTAGTATCAGAGCGGGCTGTTATAACAGTATACGAAACACATGTGACAAACCTATGTGAGGACGGGGTGTGGAGAAAGTAAAAAAACACCATCTGCCACACGCGCAGATATCGAGTAATCAATCCATCACTCCGATACCTACGATAACTAGATTAATTTGACATCGATAACGCCGACACAGCACACTTTGTGCATTTGAGGTTCTGTGCGTCAAAAGTGATATACCGCGTAAGGCGCGCGTGTTTTTTTTTTCGAGGGTGTTGAGTGAAGGTTTTCACCACGTCGTGCCTGGAGAATTGCGCCATGGGGTGCACCGTCTCCGCTGAGGAGCGGGCCGCAGCCGCCATAACCAGAAAAATTGATCAGACGCTGAAAGAAGAAGGCGAAAAGGAAAAGCGAGTGGTTAAATTGTTATTATTGGGTATGTTAACAACAATTGCTCTAAATTTGGAACTTATTGAATAAATAGTTTGTAATTACCTATAGCAAACATTTTGTAGATTTAATAACAAAATCCTCTGTCAATAATTCAACCCAGTAACAAAAGTATTTCTTGAAAATTGGGAGAATTTTGATAAGAAATGTTGCTTTATTAATCAATGTCCTAAACAAAAAAATGTGGTAGACATTTTTTTAAAAATTATTTATCTACAAACGCTGCTTTCAGTAATAGCATTTGCATTAATTATAAAGTAAATTTACGTTATGTTTATAAAAATAACACTCTTCCAGATGCAGAAAAGCATTGATAAATATAGTTATTATTATTTGTCAAAAAAAAACAGTTTACAAAAACGTTTTGTAGAATTAATGAAACCCTAATGGTATTATAGAAATTTTGTAAATTTTACAAATCCCTTTTTCGTTTAAATAAAACTTTTTTTTTATAATATTAATAAAATTTATGTAAATTTAACAGCAAATTAATAGTCAATTCAATAAACTATTTTCATTGTAACAATGGTCACATTTTCAACCTACTGTTGGGTTTTGGGTAGTTTTTTTTAAATAATTGCAAGGCATTAAAACAAATTATTTATTATAACAAATAATTAACTTATATTATATGATGTACAAAATAAAAAAAATACGAACTCACTTTTTAAACAAGTCTGCTTCGTTTATAGAATAGACCTTAAATATTTCTTTTAGAAAACGTCGAAATTTTAATTTTCTTAGTGATCTTTTGGATATTTTTATCATGCTAGATTTTAACACACTTCAAGGGAAATAACAAAAGTTTTGTTACCATTGCAAAACAATAGTAAATATTAAAAAAGTATTTTTATGGCAATAAAATATTTTTGTTATTGTTCTTAACGTAATTAAAAAAGATTTTTAACTGAAATAAAATTAATTTGAATTACAAAGTAATTTAAAAAAGAAAAATATGCCATAGTAAAATGAACTAATTTTACTATAACAACTGCGCAATTCTTTATGTAAGCGCAATTCACGCACAACTATAGATTTAACAAAAACATTTTAAGTTTGACAAAGATTTATTATAAACATAAAGTATTTCTTATTGCCATGACAATATGATAACAACTACTTATAACTTTGTTGGATGAACATTTTTTTTTATAAAAGCTCAACATTGCTGCTTCATTATAGTAAATTAGAATTTTATTAACAGTAAAAAAAGTTTATTCTGTAAATAAAAATAATCTCATTACTTTGACAAATCGGAGGTTTTTCTCCCTATAAGACTGAAAATTTAATAATATTAGGTGGTAAATTTTTTTATAGCAATTGCAATTTTAAATTTAAATTAAATAATATTATTTTATTAATCGCTTACAAAATTATTTTCATTATCAGTGCATATACATTTTTCTTAGTGTACCTATGGTATACTATGTATATTTCTTTCTGCTGGGTTATCAGTAAAAATACCATGTCAAACAATGAATAAATGTTTTTGTTATATTTTTTACAGGAATTCCTGGCGCTAATAAACCAATAATTGCAGAGATAACACTTATCAATATAAAAATATAGTCTTTTTGCAGTTATAACCGTATTGATTGTTTCTATGTAGGTTTCATAAAAATAAGTTTTACAGAAATTGAAAATTGTACACTTTTATAAAAAAGTCAGATTTATTTAAATTACCTAATTCACTTTTCCTATATACCTATATACCTAGATACAAAGTCAAAATTAAAAAAAATTATTTCAATGGACAAATTTTAATAGTTAAATAAAAAATTTCTTCATAATTATTTTAACTACAAAATTTTATTTATTATTATTTATAAGATATAAACGACAGCTAAGCCAATCAGATCGCACCACTGTTCTTGTTGGGTTTATTTTACTTAAATTTTCCGAAAATGGTATTAAAGGGACAAAGCATAGGTAATTTTTACCTGATTCAATTAAATTAGAAGTAAAAGTCATTTGACTTAATTAGCTTGAATAAACTCAAATTACCTATATTTTCTTTACAAGCAGGAGTTTAATAAAAAAAGATTTTTTTTCGTAAAAACTATTTATCTGCTTCTATTCCATAATATTGTTTTTTTCCAGTGAATAATGATAAACATTATAAATTCCCTACCTAACAACGGGAATAATGAACTTATTATTCACGTTGTTAGGCATCAGTAATTGGCTGATTTGAAACAACTAAAATCCAAAAACTAAAAAAATATAGACACCCGAAATGTGAATTTAAAATAGGAGTAGGTACTATCAATTATGTTATTTTTATGTCTAAACGTTTGAAATATTTAAAATTAGCATAATGTTGACAAATTAACATATAACCGTTTAGTAGGACTCAAGGTTGTTGCTAACAACTACCTCTAAATAACTTTTAATTTTTTAAATCTTTTGTCTTGCCTTTACAATGCATTTAAATAATATTTCCGGAATCTATGTGCAATATGCATATGTTTTGCATAGTAAAACGCTTTTTGGCCTATACTCGCAATTTTTATTATACTCATTGTTATCGCTGATAATAATAATATTAGTTATTGCAATAGTCAACAGCAATTTGTATTCTGAACAGGGTTGCCAGGTGTAAAATAGGTTCTCAGATTTTTGAAAATTAAATGATTTATTATGACTTTTCTTTTAAATTGGACCTTCTTAATAAAACCGAATACAAAA